TTTGAAGTCTCCACAACAAACTAATTTAAATCCTCGAACCCCCCTGTGATCATCTTGTTTCAGTAGCTTCATACGGGTGACGTTTGGTTCAGGTTACCACTCCCTCGGTTCCTCCTATGGAGAACATGGAATTCCTTTTAATGTACGAAATTAATCGAACAAACCAAAGGCATCAACTTCGCCATAGGCGCAGTGCATTGAAGATGATACAAGAAAGATTTATCATTTACAATAGCAATTTCAAGTGTTAATGGACATTGATAACAAACCAGAAATTACACTTACCATAAACAACGAAAGAACAAAGTAATGGAAAACCGTCGATTATTCCAGAATATATAAAAGAATTAACCCATTCGCGTGCCGTTTAAAGAAATGGAAATTAAAACACAAAAGGTAAAGAATACATTATTGATCATTAATGATGTGAATGCAGACTCTGAAATGAAATTCCAAAAACTACTTAACTATGATTGTAGAAGGTGAATCATTTGTTCATTCAGATGCTGTTCCTTGTAGAAAGTCCCAAATACGGCTTTGAAGATTTGGTTAATCGATCATTTTTAGAGGGCGCTGGTATATTACTGCTATAGCAAGGCAATTATTGTTTTGAAGAAATTTGAAATGAAGAACTGAATGATACATTACACATCAACCGTCTCTTTAAACTTATGCTTTCATTCGGAGTTGGTTATTTTTTAAACGACGCAAGTATAAGTGTGTAGTAAAATATCAAATCAATGGTTTTTCTTATATTTTATGAATGCCTATTAGGAGGAAACAATCAAATTTACACTTGTGATAAGTAGGCAGAGAGTTACACTCTCCTAAAGATTGTCTATGCTTCTGAAATATTGATTTATTGATTATTTAAACTTATATATTGTGTTTTCGCATGAATAGAAGACAACTCTGGTTTGCGTTAGAACAATTCTTTGGCAGAAGAACAATAATAAAGTAGAACCAGGCAAAATATTTCTTCTAAAGGACATAGAGCGGTGAATGATACAACATTCATATCAAAGTATGAAAGTTCCGCATTGCGCCCCAAAACAATCACGGTTGTTAAGACGAAATGTTTCGTTGATGAATTACCCCCAAACCCTTCACCATGCGCAGCACCAAGGTTAATGGGAAAAAAATATTTAAGAAGCCATAGATTATGAAGCTCGCTACCGAACCCACAATTTAGCAATCAGTTTGGTATTTCATGTTTCTATTTCTGAGTGACTGAGATATTTATTACAATATTTCATCGATATCGTCTTTGTTATACACTGAAGCCCCACTCTGCAATAGATATATAGATTATTATGTTTCTGTGACATATAATCGGGGACAAAAACATAGAACTCTGTTCGAAATCCCATTCTGCTCTGTGTTTGACACAATCAAGGCATCACACTACAAAGGATGTTTTTTGTCAAGCATCGTCGTAACATGGTTATTTGTTCTGTCACAGTGTCAAAATAACCGTTACGTACTGAGATGAATGCATGTGTATTTGTGAGACCAACATATACGTGAGTTAATAACTATATACACATTTCTTTTCAAGTGTTACATAAGAATGAGATCTCACAGCATTGCTCGAAAAGTCTCTGATTTTGTTTTAGTGTGTTGCTGGTCTTGGGTTCCATTGGAAATTTCATCTCAGCATCAACATTAAACCAATTATTTGAATTTCTATCGTTTTACATGTCATTCAATGTTTCTTTTTCTAGAATGAAAACAGAGCAGAGGCCTAATACGTTCGTACTTTATTTTACACGATTCAATTATTTTTCCTATATCGTTCGTGTGTTGTCAGGTTCGCTCAATATTCAAGTCATATAACTTGTGTTGCTTATTAGTATTATTGATTTAGAAAACCTTTTAAACTGTTTTAGCGTTAGCAGGCATGTCATAATTTGGCATATTTTGTAAATTGCAGTAAATTAAGATATCATTTTCTGTTTTGTAACTATTTACATTTGAAGTTTAAATGTGTATAATTCCTCCTTGAAATATATATAGCTTACGTATACAGATAATATCAGACTGAAAAGAAGACAGAGCAATATCCTCTTCAGGTCAGTTATCAGTATGGTGTCCATCACTACAAAATCGAAACTTCTTTTTTTGGGATGACTTTGTGGTGAAGTGATGAGCAGTTGTATAGAAAGAATCTGAAGAAAGAACTGCCACCGTTTGAAATACTTGTTGTGACTAATTATATAGCAACTCTCAGTTGAATATATAGCCAACAACACCTGTATTGGGAATGTTTACTCAATTAACACATTCTTCATTAAATGTGAGAACGCAGTAATGACATGACTTATCATTATATCGTCTTTCCGTGGTATTTACTGACAACAGGATTTCTATGTTCCCAATTAGTAGATATGCATTTGTATCATCATAAAACACAACGTATACAAGCTATGCTATGTTGTGTATATATGTACAAGATAATTGTCTGATGCTTTCATTTTACATTAAGATTGGAATTATCAAACAGGAAATATTCGTGAGAAAAGTTTTGCGCATGTTTACATGCGTATCCTTACCATGTATCCGGAGACTCAGTAATTTAATCATTGGCGTATTTTTATCCGGTTAAATCAACATGTCAGTTCCCAAATCACTGAAGCAATTAACAGCTGATATTTATGATCATCCGATTGTTCTAACTTGTTCTCGTCCTTGAAAACAGTCCCTTGACACATTTGTTTTTATCAAAACAGCACGATAGTAAATGCGAGACTCCCTTCTTATCTAAAATCTGAAGATTTTGAACAAAAGTCTGTATTGCAACTGCATGAAAAAATTTTGAATCAATTGGTGTTCAAATGCTTCTCACAAGACATTTTGTTCAGTTTGAAATTTTATCATATTGAACAGTTTTGTATGTATGTATGTATGTATGTATGTATGTATGTATGTATGTATGTATGTATGTATGTGTTTGTATGTATGTATGTATGTATGTATGTATGTATGTATGTATGTATGTATGTATGTATGTATGTATGTATGTATGTATGTATGTATGCTTTGCTGACATTTTAATTGTTATAACAATTGCAAGTTTACCTACATTGTCCCATGGTTATGGTTATACAATAATTTAATTATCACAATAGCATTTTAACCCGTTATTTCATTATAGTTTGCTATCGTTTCAACTTTCAACGGAATGGTAACACAACATTATTGGTGTAACAAGAATGTATGTTTCTTAGTGAATGGTTCACTTCCATATAGCCGGCATGTTGTTACAGTTAGGTAACAGTTGTAGGTGATTTTTTGCTCTAAAACTGCAATATTAAAATAGTAGTAAGGCAATATGAGGCTACATTGTTTTTTCAGGCGACCCAAAAATGAGTTTTGAAAAACAGTCTGAATGAATACAAAAAAAAATGTTGTTTTTAATGACTTAAACCGCAATGGGTTACAATGAAGCCAAAAATTTATTCCAGCTTCTACAAAATTGTAATTTCGAAAACGCTTGTGAATAATCCTTATGCAGTATGTTTTGCTATTGCAATAAAAGTTATTGCAGAACATGTGATGATCGTTTGCACGTGATATAATATGCCTACAAACCGCTTTATCTGAAGTGGTAACCAATTTGTGCCTGTCTAAATATTCTCATTTCTTTTCTCTTACCGTGGGAACAAAACAAGGGTCTAGGATATATCTTTTTTTTTTTATTTTCCTCATACCAAAGTCAATACCGTTTCGTTTCGATATCCTAGCCAAATACTGATATTTCTTTTTCATTATGTATCAAATGGCCATTGAGACATCATATGACATAATATGTGTGAATGTATATTAAATCACATATCAGTCATTCAATAGCAGAGTACAAATAGAGGAAAGTGAGAGTACTTACCTACTTTAACAACCTTAGACCAGTCAAGTTGAAAACATCCTTTATCAACTCATCATTTCGACGACACGTTGTTACTAATGAAGAGAAACTCTCTCTCAAGTAACGTAAACTTGTAATGTGTTTGTGGCCTATGAGATTATCACCGTTATTAGACTTAGTAATAATTTTCAAGGTTTTCTATTTCTGGAACAATAACATTGTTAGAGATAGTTAAAGCTAAACGACAAATGAAACACGTGTAGCTGTTAATTTCTGAGTGAGAGATAACTGGGGAATTGTTATATTTAAAAAGTATGGATATGTTGAATTTATTACATATAAAATAAATTGAATATATATTTAAACACTTTAAAAGTATTACCAAATATCATATGTTTGTATATATTTAGCAACATATTAAAGCAATATATTTCAAAAACCGGATCCTACACACGAGTTTGTCATAAAACTATTTAAAACTGTTATAATAATCAAACACTGGATACGATATATCAGCTGACAGAGTATCGTGTTAATGGATACTTTGGTAGTTGTAATTGTCCCCAGTTGATTTTCACCTCCTGGATAGAAAATTAGATTCAGACAGATAACACCAGTTTTCTATGCTTTTATATATACAGTACATACATTAATGTCATGTTCAACGCCAGCTTCGTGCCGGTGATGTTTATATGTGCCCCAGTCGTGTTTTACAGTCCTCAGCTATAGTTTTTTTCAGTAAATCTATGACGATAGAAAATGGAAGCAGTTCAATTTTTCATCAGTTCTCAGGAAGTGAAAACAAAGCCCATAGTAATAAGAACCTGGAAAGGAAGCCAGCAAACCTTCCTATCTATGATAACATCCTCAGCTCTTAACAATTTTATCCTAAAACGGCCTGGCCTCAGACATATCTGCTAATGACAACAATGGATCTGTAATGACTGTATTTGCCACGTTGGTTCCTCGACCACAGCAGTAGAGAGTCTTGCCAGCATTGCGGCTTTATGGAAATTAATGAGAGGGAAAATCTAGATAATATTTGTGCTTTGCGAGAATGCGTTGTGTATAGCTTGGGCACCTGGTGTGATTCGCCACCACGCCATTATATTTAACATATCTTTGATTTTTTTTTCAGAGAGTGACCATTGTCATGACATTGCGGGGTCCTTGGATTATGTCGACCACGTGCCCCCTTTGCCCACAAGGAGAAAAACAACATCCGGGTTGGGTCCAACATTAATTAGAAGACCGACCCTTGACAGGGACAAACGCCATCGAGCATCGCTTCCAGCTCAAATCATTGGTGAATACAACACACAAAATGGGAGATCACCGGCAAAACGCAAAAGAGACAGTTTTTTGAAAAGACGACACAACTCAGCCTCAGCAATTCAGCTATCTGCTGTTTCTAGTGTGCCGACGTGTTTATCCAGTATGTCAGAATGTAATGAAGATGGAAATGGGCATACGGACGACGTTAAAAACTCACATACACATGATTCTCAATCCCAGGCATATATTCGCCTTCATTCCAGTGCAGACGACTCATCGTCTAACTTCAGTCGAAAGGAGCATCCTGTGCATAGCAATAGTTGTCCTCATATTGAAACGACGTCTTACCAAATGTTTGATATTATAGGCGACCAGTCGGGGATTAAGTTCCCATGGCAACGCGATGCGTCAACGCAGTGTAACATTCAAATAGAACGAGGGAATTATGTAAAATCGAGAAGTGTTGATACTTCGTCATCGTCAAGCTCAAGTCTGACCCCACCTAACACTTTGTCTCTGTCCTATCTGGACTGTGGAAACAGGGGAGGTCAGGGAATCGTTCGACCCCATTCTATTGGATGTCTGGAAGGAACAGTCCATGAGGGAGAGATAGAGCGCCTAAGACAGGAACAGGCTCGTAAAGCTAGAAAATCCGACTCTTTTCTTCAAGTTTCACCACGAGCGTTAAGGAAACGCGCGTCCTTAGCGGTCTCGGACGACCATGGGTCTGTTTCGGATCTTGGTTCAATATCTGAAAATCCCGATATCGAAGGGTAATGTAATTTTCTTCTTTCATAACAGATTAGTTTCAAAGTATATTCGATATCAAATAAGTATCATAACAGTCTTCATTTTATTATTAGGGTATTGTTTTTGGTATATATCTAACAACTTTGCATTTATGATGATACTACGTGTAACTTTTCTGCATGTTTGATTGGGAACATTTGTACATATTCATTTAGTTTTAATTTAATTAAATTGTCCGACCTTTTTGACAAAATACAAGGAATACATTTGCAATGGGATTTAAGACCAATATTCTATATTGATTTACACATGTATATACAATATATTTTCTTTTCAGTCGAGATTTCAGTTTAGAAGAAAATCATATGGCTGATTTGTCTTCTGAACTTCGCCGTATCTCTTTGAAATCTGCGGAGCAGTACCGAGATATCAACGTTCTTCCGTCGCCTCGAGTTTCCCCCACAATATTTGATGGGAGTAATCAGAGAAATTCCGGGTCGGAATCGGACGACTGTTCCGGACCAGGTAAATCGCATCAGGTTGATCAGCCTTTGCTATTGAAAGAAATAATAATAGGTACACGCATTTTATCGCATTACCATGATAAGCTGTTTTTTCAACTTATTTACATTCACCTATCCTGACAGACTACAGGGATTTTTTCTCCTATCACGTAATAGAATATTTGTAAAGAGAAAAAATACATTCATATACAATGATTATGCTAAGATGAGATTTGGAGCTGGACATTCGGAGGTAATATTTAAGGATAATCGGGCTGAGAATAGTCAGTTGTTTTGAAGGCCTTGATAGTAGTTCAAAAAAAATTTGAGAACTTTGTTTTAAGTTTTTTTATATACGTATGTCTACATGGCGTCTTGAAAAGATTATTGTCGATCGAATCACAATATTTGACAGGTTGGCATTTTTATTGTTTTCTTTATTCAATTTGGATCCAAACTTCGAACGTCAAGATGGTTAAGATATTTGTCGTATAAAAGGCCCGCATAAGGAAACCTAGTTTTGATAATTGAGATACATGTAACTTATCAGTCGCCTCCTGGGATTGGATGGTTAGGTCTTTCGTATCACTGACGAATCAGAAAAGAACTTAACAGCTGTATGATGCATTTTTGTTGTTTGTTTGGCGATAGTGTTTCCATGTAGATCTTGACCAATCTAAGTTTATCATATCACTTTCTTAAATGATATCAAAGTATCCAAAGCATCACACACGTCCAGCTTCATATCGCACAGAAAAAAAATTTCGAAATGAGATCATTATGCAGACTGTAAAACTGACCTTATCTCATTTTGGAGCGTAACACTACTCAATTTGATTGACCAAGATTTACATGACGGTTGTTGTTGATGAAGCAGAAAACACTTAACCATGTGGAACACCTGGTTTATTCTCCTCGATAAATGTCTCTTTTGTTCATGCTTTACCTTTAAGACTCTATTGATATGTTGTCTTATTCGTTGATTTAGAATATTGTTAATGATATATTCATATGTCTACACAAAAATAAATTAAACAATGAGAAAGGAAAGAATGAAAAAGAAAAACAATGGAAGGAAAATATCAAACTTGAGTGAACAAATACATCCTATTTCTGATCACTCTCAGATGGTTACATTTACGTGTATTATGCTTCACAGAGGTTCTTTTTTGAAGTCATAATTAGGTTTTGAACTTTATCTCATATATCATTAATATTTACGATCATTTACCTAGCCAGTAGAACGATTCTAATCGATATCACAATTCTTTAAGCCAAAAACATTGACATTTGTATAACTTGGTTGCCAGAAATGACCAAAATTAGTTCATGACACGTCCTCGGTCTAGTTATAAAACCTTATTTTCAGAAGTCACATTCGCATAAAATCTTACCTTTCCATTTTATTCGAATGTAGCTATGACAACAACATCCCACATATCCTACATATTTCCTATCATGATCAATGGCATTGCTGACGTATGATGATTAAGTAGTGTTGGTAACGATTACAAGAACAGAACGTAAATATGAATTATGCAAAATCAGCCCGACTGCAACGATTATTACAACATACCGTAGAATACAATGCAAGTGGCGGTTGGCACGCTTGTATACCCCTGGGAATTTCGTAATAATCCAATACTGGCAACTGCAATCAATGTTAACGGCTAGCATTTTTGTATTGGTAATCCGACTCCATATTCACCATGGTCTGCAAAGAGTAGATATTCAAATCATTGTTTGATCACAGACGGTGCAATAGCGATTTGACAACATGTATATGTTGATGTTTTTCTCTACTGTTTATTCTCTTATATCCAAATAGCCACTCGTGATAAGGAGGTAAATGTCTGTCTTACCTCACGAATGCTTGGTTATAAACGATCATTATCTTTTCATGTTATTACAAAACTCTCTCAAAAGCATCCGGTTGGATCACGTGACATGATTGATGTTTTCGCTTCTACGCGTAGTATCTCATGGGAGTTGCATCAATATCAGTTGAACACTTCTACGTATTAAATTGGGGAACTGATGGCCAATATAATGTATAGTCTAAATATGATATAACAACATCGAATTATTCTCCCCTGCAAACTGTCAGAGTGTGTCGATTTCACACGGGGAAAATCAGCTGTTTTTTCCCACCGGTGTCATATTTAAAACAGTCGTGAAGCTAAGCCTGGAAACTTTTGTCGCTTTGTTATGTTATCATGAACTTCGTCGTTTCTTTCGATGGCTAGAGTAATTTGATATTGAAAAATGTCTTTCGAAACATGTCAATTTTTGGTCATTGCCGTTGATATTAATTTAGTTTGTATTGATTTAACATTCGGACCTGGTTAATAGTTGCAGAATAGCACAGATATAAGAATTACTGTTGGGTATTGTACAAAAGACATAGAAGTGAATCTCACAATTTAATACAAGTAGAGAAAAAATACAGTAAAGCCAAATAATGAAGTAAACTGCATCATACTGTGATGCTAAGGCCATTATTCTTCAACCCAGGAGACAACTGAGAAAATATTAGAAATGATGGAAAGTCAAAGCATAGATGCCTTGCTGCCCTTTTATCAAATTTATCATTTTCATAAATCTTATAATGTTAGAAGTTGGAAAATAACAATTTATCCTCATCTTTATCAACAAGAAATAAAATGTTGATAAAGTTTTGTAGCTCAAATCATGTTTGATGTTATGTAATCCTCTATAAATTTGTCAAATAGAGAAGTGAATTGTCATAGAATCAATTACCTATCGATATAAAACGAAATTTACTATCGATCTTACAGGTATATTTCAATCAACAGAGAAAACAGATTCACAGGAGTTCCTATAACAGGTGGCGGTTTTGCATACTTTGCCCTTTGGTAGTTGTGGCATTTTCTTGTTTTCTTTGAAGAGAATATTTACTGTCATTGCTTTATTCCACAGATTCACGGACACGGAAGTATCTAACAATTCCAAGAAAGGTAGGTAATATTTTTCCCTATTATACAGTACATATCCCTGACATTTCAATTTTTTATCATTTAGCATTTATTAACAATATATTCTCAACATTTGAATGATCTCATTGAGTAACATTCTATTCCTTTGTGCGATATGAAGCTGTCTTGTTAGTACGCTTGTTAGTTCCGTTACTGATTTCTTTTTCTCTTTTTGGAAAATTACATTTAATTAGATTGACCAAGATGTAAGTTGCGAATGTGGTAGAAAAAGAAGAGGACGCATTTTCCTTGTGCGTTTTCAAAAGACTTCGTGTAAATCTTTCTTTTGCTCTTATTTTGCCTTAGTTTCATAGCAATTTTGTTTGAATTAAGATTCTTCGATTATTTTTGTTATTTTTTTCTCAAAATTCATTAAAACAATGACTTCATTTATTTGAAATGATAGAGTAATTAAGAACAGTTTTGGGCAATTATTTCAAAGCGCATCGGTAGATCAGCTCATTTTTAATTTGACGCACCACATTATATCTTTAAAAATGTAATCAGTGCTATGATAAGTTAAACAATGTTTCTTACGTCCAAAACATAAAAAAACACGCTAAAACAAGCGATATAAAGTATGTATTTTTATATCTCCATTTTCATGATTGGAACTTGAACTATTTCCACCGTAGCATTATTTGGGTGTTATTTCGATTTTCAATAGATTCCAAATATAAACTCTCCGATTCACAATGTATTCATAGAAGAACATCTTGAGAAAAAATGAGGACTCTAATTAGTAGTGTAGTGTTCGCTTGAGGGAATACGCTATAGTTCGTTTGACCCTTCATCTAAATGAAAGGCAAACTTTTCTGGAGTGGAAATACGATTCCTTTTGAATAATTGCTGCTTACAACCCTACAGCAGTAGTTTCAAACGGGAGTAGTGTCATGGGATGGTGAGATGTCATCAGATATCGATGTTTGTTATTTTATTGAGAACTCTTTTAGTTGGCCAAATAGGCTATAATTGACAACAGATATGTCTCTGAGCCAAGTATTTATAGCTGTTTTATCACGTGTTGTTACGGTTACTGCTTATATTGTTTTGTTAGGAACATGTTTATGATATGTTGCTATAGTAAATGTTTTTGTTTGTATGGTAACTTGTTGCCATATGATAGTATGGTAGTTGTCGATGTAACTGTTTATCACCTGTAGTTATGGTATATGTTTATCACCTGTAGCCATGGTAACTTTATATCACCTGTAGTTATGGTATCTGTTTATCACCTAACTGTATATCACCTATATTTATGGTATTTGTATATCACTTGTAGTCTTGGTATCTGTTCATTACCTGTAGTCCTGGTAACTGTTTATCACTCATTATGATGGTAACTGTTAGAACATTGTAAAAATGAGACTTGTATGAATAACATATTTCAGTACAAACTGAGAGTTAGATACAGTAGAGCCAGGTAATGAATTAACTACGCCATTCGAATGTTTCATCCTTTTAGGACCCGTCAGTTATAATAAGGACCTATATTTGAAACCGTAGAGGCGACTGAGGAAAACAGAAATTCATCAAAAGAAATGTCAACATGTAAATGGAAAGGTGCACTAGCAACATACATATACATATAATTGAATGAATTTCCTAGTTTCTGAAATATTCGGCTTACTTTGTTGGAGTTATGCAACGCTTAATACAAGATAATAAGAGGAGCATTTCATAACGAAAATGCTATAAATGTTTAATTTATTTATCGCATATGTATCTTATACCTTCTATAAAATTATCCCTTCTAACAGACTGTTTTCCTGTGAGGTAAATCAGATAATCTACTCATGTTACCGACCGAAATGCATTGCCTGGACTGTCGTTAGTTCCTTGTTACGTATATATACCAGGTTAGAAGATTCTATCATTTCATATTCAAAATTATATTAACATAAATCATTTCTATAAAATGCAGTATAATTTTCTCCAGTAAATCGGTCATTTTTTCTTAAATCATACTTTTAATGAAATCGTTAATGTTAACAGCTTAAGAACTAGACTAAAAATTTGTCGTGGAAATAGACCTTTTGTCAAATCGAAAAGCATCTTTCAAACCATACTTCACAAATTTCGGCATATTATCGTATGAATAAATCACATCCATTCACCTCACTCCCCTCCCACACACACACCACCACCAACATCACCACCACACAACAATGTGTAATGGCGTTATTTAGGTTGAAGTGAATCATGACTTTGTTGAAATTAATTGTACTTTGTCCTTTTCGTCTAATTGGTGTCGATATATTAGGCTACTATATGTAACAGCATTTCTCGCAATATTGCTAATCGTTGTCCTTGTTAATCTTTATCCAGAAAATCGGTGCATGTTCGTAGTCGTTGACCTACATGCCAACATGCATTCTCTTGATATATATATCTCAAACAGCTTTACCTTAATTTCATTATCTCAAACTGTTAAGTACTTAACGCTATTTTCGTAACCGATTCCATTTAATTTCTTTCGTTAATCACATTAAGTAGAATCCTACATCCACCTTTCAATTGAACTCTCCAGGGATCGTTCTCGATAGCAAGTCAATGTAATTAGTAAACGGCAGTAAATCAAACGTCTTTTGCTCGTTCAAAGATCAGCACATTCAACGTTAAATGGGCGCTTGACTTCGATGATGTATAATGAATTTCAATTACAGCGCCAGGTGATATGGCAGCCTCATTTATGCAGATTTATATATGAATTATATATACAGATATACCGACAGATATCATCACGTGCATTTCACGTGATCACATATAAGTGTGATATCCTTTACAATAGATAAATATGTATTGCTATAAAATAACAATGCTGGGAAAGAATTAAATGTACATCACTAATGAAGTTTCTTACATTAACTAGAGAGGGTGAACGTATACTTGACTGTACTTTCTTAACGTAACGAGTTTGTGATGTTCACGAAGTGACAGCATGTGTTAATCAGGATGAGTGTGTGCGTTGATTAGGAGATCAGCTTGCGTTCTGCACGAGCTGAGTGGGTGCTGATTACGATGTGAGTGTTTGTTGTTCATTAGGTTACCGTGTTGTTCACAAGATGAGTGTTTGTTGTTCACGAAATGAGTATGAATTGTTCATGAGGCGAATGTTTTCTGCACGCGATGGGTGTATGTTGATCACCAGATGGGTGTGCAACTTTCATGTTGAGTGTTTTATTCAAAAGATGAATTTGTGTTGATCATGAGATTATTGTGTGTTTTGACGAGGTGAGTGTGAGTCATTAACGAGGTAAATGTGTGTTTCTCACAAGGTGAATGTTTGTTGTTCACGAGATGAATGTGATGTTCACGAGGTAGGTTTGTGTTGTTCACGAGATGAATGTGATGTTCACGAGGTAGGTGTGTGTTGTTCTTGAGATGAATATGTGATGTTCACGAGGTAGGTGTGTGTAGTTATCGAGATGAATGTGTGATGTTCACGAGGTAGGTGTGTGTAGTTCTCGAGATGAATGTGTGATGTTCACGAGGTAGGTGTGTGTTGTTCTTGAGATGAATGTGTGATGTTCACGAGGTAGGTGTGTGTAGTTATCGAGATGAATGTGTGATGTTCACGAGGTAGGTGTGTGTAGTTCTCGAGATGAATGTGTGATGTTCACGAGGTAGGTGTGTGTTGTTCACGAGATGAATGTGTGATGTTCACGAGGAAGTTGTGTGTTGTTCTCGAGACGAATGTGTGATGTTCACGAGGTAGGTGTGTGTTGTTCTTGAGATGAATGTGTGATGTTCACGAGGTAGGTGTGTGTTGTTCTCGAGATGAATGTGCATTGATCACGAAGTGTGTGTTGCTCTCAAGATGAATGTGCGTTGACCATGAGATGATTTTGTGTTGTTCACGATATGATTGTTTATTCACGAAATGGTTGTGTTGCTCAGGAGATGAATGTTACTTGTTTACGCAGTGAATGAATTGCTCACGAGACCACGTGTTTAGGACGTTGAACTTGTGCAAGACTGATCTATGTGTTTCGAGAACAAATGTATTTACGACATGAGAGTGTGTATTTAAGCTATTTATTTTGTCATAATGTCAGTTTTATGTTTTAAGAAATAAAGACCCTATGTTTTCAGGATACAAGTGTATAATAGCATGATTCGTCCTGATCACTTGCTATTGATGTATTTTGTGGCGATTAAGCCACCTCTCAAATCTATGCTGTGTTACGGTTTATTCAACATTATAATGTAGATAATTGATTAAGTGCACATTAATATTAGCCGGTGCTTTGGAAACCTGACCACTGATGGCCAGAGGGGTTTAAACATTAATGATCAACTGCAGGTGTCATGACAGAGTGGCGTCAATTGATTTTCAGCTACAGTTAAGGGGAGCGGTACAACATTTAGTGGCGCTACTATTTCACCTGTTCAGTGGAATACCGGGGGCTAATTTTACAGATGCTGTCTGAGAAGCGATACTATATCACACAGTACCGTTCTGCCGAGCGACTGTCTCCAGCTATTGCGATAGGTAGAATTTTCACTGGCAAAATACAACACTGGTGTCCATTTCCATCGCTTATTGCTGTTTTGTTATGACTTATTATCGTTGCATGTGATTTGCCTTTTTCCGCTGCCGTCTCATTTTCTGAACACGAGAAATAATCCAGCACGTCGGCCATTGATTTGACAATTGGTCGGCTTTACAACGTATACAGGTATCCATTATTCAGAAATTGATAGTCTCATTCCGAAAGTGATAATGGAGTGTCTGCGGAGGTGTTTCGTGGATTTTGCGATTTTGTTGAGGAGAAGTCTGACTACTTCCAAGTGATTACTAATATGCCTTCTTATAAAGGATTATGAACAGCAATGTGTGGATAAATAAATAGGATTTAATCCGTATAAAACTTTTCTTTGTGCTGTGGAATTAGAGCAAACGACATTCCTAATAATATACCAGCTGAGACATTTTCTGGTAGTTCTAAGAAAAAAAAGTACAATGACTCGGAATTACCATTTGAGGTAGGGAATGTCCCGTACTCACGCAGACGCAATGTCAGGTGTACCAAGATCGAAATCGAGATGTAGAAGGCGTAGAGCCCTTTGGCGGGCTTACACCGTTGATGTTACGTGTCATTTGGCTCAACTTCCCGTCCTTGGCGAGGGTTCGGTAGGGTTGTTCGTAATACCATACATACATACATGCAACCATAGAATATAGTATCATTTTCTTAGATACGAAGTGTTTTTCTCGTTATAGAAACTATAAAAATTCCCTAGCAGTAATCAGTATAAATAATTACATGTCAATTTCACTTTACAAATTTAATAACATCCTACTTGATGAAAATTGGGGGAAATATTGAGTTTTGTAAATAGATATACCTATAACAGTTTATGTATTAACCATCAGATATATTTGTAAGAGTGCCGTCAGATGATTCTTCTGTCGTAACTATTTAATCATTTACTGGATAGACTCCAAATCGTAATTTTGTTAGAATAGTAATTGCATTATAGTCATTCAGTGTTGCATTTGACGTTTATAGAGCTCTCGCCGTCGCTCCTCGCTTAGTCTGACGAGTGTATCAGATGAGAGTGATGTTGAACCGTCCCCTCCTGTGGCTAGACGTGGGAGACGTGCCGCCATTGTGGACACCAAGGTAAGGCGTCTTTATTTTGCTTTGATAAACATGGACAATAATCTTTTGTATTTTTCTGTGTGCTAATTACATCGACATGCCGTTCTGTATATAAAACATTTCTGATTGTTGTAATTCTTCAGCAGGATACTAATTATTGGACGTAGCCTTGCTTATGTCATGCAACATAATCTTCGGGAAAACAGGAATTTGTGACATTCGATTCATTTTTCATATGAAAGTCATTTTTGTTAGAACAGTGTATTTAATTCAACATTCCTTTATTTCAGAACTTTGGTGATGTCTCTCCTACCACGCTTTCACCAGAAGTATCCCCCAGCAACTCATGTGACGAAGGTGATAATGCAAGGTAATACTCAATTATATTGAATTTATAAATGAAAACGTTTATCTTATCATATGTTTGTTTATCGGTTTAGTTTTGGAGAGTTTTGTTGAAATGGGCACCACTTAACGTAGAATCGTGTTTACCAACCTCCAGAATAAACGTATTCATCTCCATTTTCGCCCAGATTATTTAATGAAAATCTTTGAGATTGCTCAATAATTAGCTCTCTGCTGGTGGTTTTTAGTCCCTGTGCATGATCTTCTATACCCCGGCATGCCATGTCTGGATTTTTATGATCAATGGCACCAGTACAGAATTAACACACATATTTCATGTTACATTATAATCATCAAATATTTCAAACTTTAACTGAATCGTTCAGATATATTTGGTAAAAGCTCTTCATCTTCTTAAAAAGTATATGTTTGTTAGAATCATCTGGAACTTTTATCAACCTTTCTACGACATATCTAATATACTTGTAACCTTCTCTTTGAGACCAATCCAAATTTTTTTTATCCCCCTCCCCCCTTTGAGAACAATCCAGATTTATTTTGTTTTATTAGGTCAACTGAGACAAACTCTTAGGGTGACCTATTGCGATCCCCTTTGTCCGGCGTCGTGCTCCGTAAACTTTTCCGACTTCTTGAAACCTATTAAACCGATTTTGCTGAAGTTTTACAAAAACCATTCATTGTTAAACGCGCACCGAAATTATAAACTATATGGTCCCCAAGCCCAAGGGGCCTGCGGGGCGGGCCAAAAAGGGACAAATTCATTGAAACTTTTAAAATCTTCATCTTAAATCCCAGGTATTGCAGAATCAATACTCTTCATAAAAGGACTGCAGATGCTCTATGAAAATTGTAAATTTCATGACCCCAGGATCTCACATTCCCCCCGGGAAGGGATAAAATTTTACTATAGTTTTTATAGGAAAATCACATTTTTGAACGTTATTTGTTCATTTGGTATTGGATTTTTTTCAAACCTTGTTAGAATTATTTATAAGTTCAAGATGACAGTTTGATAAGATGCAAATATTTGCCTCGGCTGACCCCAGGGGCTGTTGGGCAGGGCAGATTTACATTTTTTAATCCTCTTTCAGAAATCGTTCAAACTTTGTTAGAATTTTTTTATTAGTATAAGCAGACTGTTTGACGATATACATATATTAACATTGACTGACCCAAGGGACTGATGGGTTGGGCCAAAATTATGTCAAATTGACTGATAAGAAAATTCATATTTTGATTGTAATTTCTTTTAACTAAAACTTTTCTGAGAGCAATGCGGATTTGTTTTGATCTGTTTCGGAGAATCAATCGCATTAATTTTCTACCCCCACCCAGATTTCGAAGGCCAATCCGAATTTTTTATATCTCCCTCTTCGATTAATTAAGATTGTCTTATCATAACTTCTGAGACCAATATGGATTGTCTTAACCCAACTTCTGAAATTTCAAACATTTTTGTTCCTACGACAACGACGAGTTGTTAAGATGAACTGATGTGAAGTTTCATGTGTCATTTGGGAATCCATTAAAATTGTTTCAAAATTACTAAATTCTTGCTGAAAAATGCACATGACATGATAATTAAACTGAAATAAAGAAAAAATATCTCCAAACAGTAACAAAGTTATTTAATATTATCAGAATTGTAGATATTGATTCCTTACACAGTGTATGTGTTATTGCCCAGTTTCTTTTAGACGATAATATACTGGAAGTATCAGCCTGTTTGATTGCCACCATGACATGAACAGTTATGTGGGTGGAGTGTTATGCATTATCACAAACAGACAGACGTGATTTCATGATCAGGAAATATTCCTTCGCCAAATAAAACACCTTGGAGATCTGGATTTTGATTAAATCTCCCGGGGGAGAGGGTCTAAAGCAACTGATATCTAAATTGCAAGTATCTTTAGTTCACGTTGGTGCATCACCGCCTATAGTGAGAGACTGACTTCTTGTTTGGCGATGGAATATCTCGGTATTTTGAGGTGAACAGCAAAAACCAATGTCAAATTTATTAATTGGAGTAATTGAATACGCTGATGTTAAACTAAACATGGAACATGTAACATTTATGGACTGCCTTTTACATTCCAATATCTTTTAATCCACAAAAGTTCAATCAGAGAAAAACAAACTAAGACAAATCGTTTGTCCATCCTTACATTGTATGTTACAGTCCAGGAAACACCCATTATATCAATAAACATGAAACAATTCGTTTGTTTATTTAGTGGTCACGTGGACCGGAGAGGCTTGGAACATTTAGCATGTTTCTTATCATTACATCAGAACTACAACCTTTGACCTTCACCCCGACCCTTCTCTCGACCATATGTTTTTCTTTACAAACGTTTACAAAGACCTATGATAAAGTCATATATACATTATTATTTTTTTCAAAATGACTTTTGTCTGTTAACCGATAAGAGCTACAGGAATCGTTTAACCAAGGAATACAAATGATTTATTAAGTATTTAATTGGTTTTCTTTAGCAAAGAATAGACCTAGGGATAGTAAATACTAGATGGCTCTTAATCAGAAAATGATCCGACATTATTTCTTTGTCGTTAATGGCATGGCTATCATATTTAATCAATATCGAGACCAAATTGTGAACGTAACCACGGTCCTGAACTGCGGTTCACCTCTGTTTCCTGTGGACATGATACTATGTTACATGTTAGCATATGGCCTTGTGCGTTTTGCACATAGACATGGTCACCCAGCGAAGATACCATCAATTACACGAGATATCGATACACGTGTTATAGAACTATGTTCAATAAATCGATTTGTTTTCTATTTCTGCGCCAGTGGTATAATTGTTACAATATGATTGTCAAGAGGATACACATATGATGACAAAGATAACATCGACTTTATATGCTTTCATGTGAAACGCGTTTCAATTTTCTACTTATGTAATAGTCTTTATTGACTTAAACTTGAGAACTGCCATTTTCAAAAAGTGTTAAAATCGAAGATTGACAGTATGTGGGTTGTTTACTCTCGACGAGGCTGAGGACAAGAATGTATTTCCTGTGTTTTAACTTATGCGGGTAACGTCTATCTCTGGCACGAACAATCATGAATGCACATTTGATAATGGGAAAAATCATATCACTTAGCAGAGCATACAATTTGCATCCAATGCTGAAACTAATTTCACAAAGGCCTTGCCTAACATGCAGGCGTCTCTATTTGTTTCATCAATAACTTCTGTCCGTCCCTTTGACAAATTATGTGTCGCGTCACATAATGGTCCATGCCAGGCTAACTTCGAGTGAAATTGTATCACAGGCTTCAAATAGGATTGTAAATGATAATTGATTTTTTCGGAAAATGAATTAAAAATGATTATAGCTCTTTAAATTTATTTTCACGTTAGTTGTAGTTTATAAACGATTTAGTAACAGCCTTTCAGAACATGCAGTGTAAATAAGTAGGTCACTTTGATCAATCGGCATTAAATTGTGTGGTTTTCTACTTGTTAAAAGTGTCAAACATACTTGGATTCTTTACCATTAGTTTCCTATAGTGCTAAGTCAATATTTTGACATAAAGTGTCTAATTTATCTGTTGATTGGTTATGTTCTGGAAGGATTTCAAGATTTAGGATCTTAGCATCACTGACAATGTCCAAAAGTACAAAACAACTGTATGATGTTGTTAAATTCATTATTTCACACTGCCGAATTAATAAAAAAAATTTACCTCGGGATTAAGTCTTAAATAGATGAATACTCCAAAACGCTGAGTGATTCACCTTAACTGAATTACGTAGTGTATAAAATGTTTGAAACATTGCCATTCTGCCCTTTAAATTATACGGCCTGCAGCGAATTTGCTGCACTTGACTATATTGTTTGTAGTTTGCTTTCTGAAAATTATAGATCGATAATTTGAACGGGATCATGACAGTTTTCATGCCTACGATGACATACATTATCGCCGGCCTGTATAGAATGTGATGACGTAATACCCAGATAGATAAGGAAAACAACAAGGCAGATAATCAAATTTATCAACTGATCAGCCAATATATACTTTATTTCAGTTTGGACGTGTTAAAATCTTATTTCCTGTTTAATTTTTTCAACATTTTTTTTTTTTTTTTTAAGATTTGTCGGATTGCTTCCTGTTGTATAAAATTAAACTTTGCGTATATATATTTATTACGGATGTTTATTGAAATATCATCATCAAGTTGACCATACTATGCCAGAAGAATAAGCCTGACAGGAGAGTTTTATTAACTTGAGCGTGTCTTTAGGCGATTATGACAATATAACACTTGATATGCCGTCCGGATTGGCATGTCCCGCCACGGGTCTGATATTATTAGAGTGCAGAGTAAATAATGTGGTCTGCAAATGTTACTTGTTGCTAGTGTTGTCATTGCAGTTCAACATTGATATGATGGCTCAGTGTGGAATTTATAATCATATCCTGATTAGAATGACAAAGAAAGGGATACACTTCCTGCTGTGCGAAAATGGACGGAGAATTGTGTTTTTACGTGTTTGCTTTTAGGTACGAATGTGATGTCAAATGTTATTAATTTTCGTTGTCGAATCACAGAATTCTTCTATGTGTGCTCGTTTGCGATTGGCGATAATCAAATTACCATTGGGTCACGTGTTTTCTTTTATATGTAGGATTAACTTATTAAATGTTGCGATCTCCATTGCATTTAATGGATTAAATGGTTAGTCACGTTTGATATTCGGGAAATCCGATATTTGAGATTGTGTTAAACTGTGCGTTATCAATGTGTTATTGGTATGTTTGTGTCATTAATGATACTCATGGTATTTAAAAACGTAAATGCGAAAGGGAACCTTTGATTCAAAACTAAGTAATTTGTTTCATTTATTAAAACAATTTGTATCTATTATGCTTCTTAGCTTTCTGTATTTACAAATTTCTAAAAATACGCGACCGGCCTATTTCTGTCAGAGCGGATGTTTACCACTCATGTGCAATGAACCTACAATATTCCACGGAATGCTTTGTTAGAGATCGGCTTTTATGTGGTAGATCGCATTGTATATGCAAACATCAAGACCTACTTGCAAGGTATATAAACCGATCACATATTGTTTGCATTTCGGAAAAAGGCTAGGGGTTTTCCCGTTTCAAACAAAAGAAACAAGAAATTATTAATACACAGAAATTGATGTGTATGATTATGAGGAAGCTTCATCGTTTGTAGACTTGCTGTTATTAGATAAAAAAGTGAAATGTTGGTAATTTGTAGGAGATTTTAGTCTTAATTCATTCAAAATGTATATGTATATTTATATCGACTCCATGGGTGTGTGAGGTATGCTACAATACAAATCGCTCTATCAACCGACACGTACTAGAATACATTAAAATACATGTAACTTCAGAATATGTTTTTGCGGCCCAACATATGCAAATTGAATGTCAAGCTTTATGGTGTTTTTCATTTTTCGGATTAGGGTTGAGTTTAATATATTGGGTGTGTTCATTCTATTACGAAAGGATTACGTCTGATGTGGATTTATCTTTCTTTTAATACTGGCTTGTTCTGTTGTAAATGGAGCCGTTTTGACTACCTAATACTTAGTAATGTTACATGTTTGGAATTACGTGCATTTGGCTCTAGACAATTATGTTTTACATTGACTGTCCAATTTTAGTAACATTGCGGAAAGACTACGGCGCCGGAAGAGTTCAGTGGACCTCACAATGAATGTGTATCCTGGGGATCTTCTAGTGCACGATCATCATAGAAAACTCATGAAGCGAAACACTATCGCCGACCTGTATTCACAGAAAAATGGATCATCGACAAGTATTTCAGATGGTAAGAATGCTGATAAATTTGCCAAATTGGACATCAGTTAATTAATGTGATATATTGTTTTAGAAATACCATCGTGTGTCTCAAGGTATTCATAGGGTGAATAAAAAGTCTGCGTTAGTGAATCAGGGTATGCACTACCATACTGCTAAGCAATAAATCGGGATCCTTAATCGAAAAAGATATGCATTTAAAAAGAAAAATTACGTTTAAACATGAAATTAAATCACTAGTTTATCTCGAAGACAGAGACGTACTTGAAAATTTTGAAATCGTCTTTTCCTTTGCAAATTACGGAATTTTACCAGTATCTTATGCGAGGCTAGTTCCATGTCATTTCAGCTTTAGTATGTGAAATGTAAACACAACACGCGACAAATGTTTGGCCACACTATTTATGATTCCTTGCTAAATGACAAAATGATAAGAAAATGTTTATTTTGTCAATGAGAGGCTTTAATTGTCCATAGAGAAGATGGGGTTACAGGAACAATAAATTCTCAATTTGTCTCTTTGTAAGAGGTTGATGATCAATTCTTTTTACATGTAAAAGCTATGGAACCCGCGAATTCTTGTATGACACCTGTTACCTATGAACGTTAAATGAATGACTTCGTGAATACTGAAAAATATTCATTTCTCAAAAATCAAATTATCTGCAGTAGTTGAATGTACATGTATATACCATGGGAGGCATGAACATGTTTAGTTACTTATGTGTTCTATGTCTCGTAGAATTGAATTTCGACGCCCGCAATAATGCAAAGAAATTCAATGTATTATTTGTAACAACGATACCATCTGCAGGTACTAAAGTTATGCATGTATCACACTTTCCTCAAGATTTAAGATGAAAATCCATCCTCTATGCCGTGGTATGTTATAAACACTATTGTGTAGCAACCGCAATAGGAGATTTTAACTATTACAAATTTCGTTCTATCAATAAAGCTAATTGGTGACTATTATCACTTCTTTCTTCTTTCAGATCACAAAAAGGGAAGGCAGTCGTTTTCTCTTCGTAAATTAGTAAGTACTTGGATACTACTTTTTACTCATACACTTTCTTTTGTTAAAAAAAGTCGTGAATAACTATGACTATCAACGGTGTTAAAATAAAATGTCATAAACAAACTTATAAGCCTACTCAGACAAGTGTCTTTTTCATTCGAATACAAATCAAAGATTTCTTTTCTGTTAGTAGTTAAAAGAAGTAATTAATACTTCAGAAGAGTTTATCAAAGTAAGTGACTAAATTATAACTAAATAAAAGAAAATCTTATTTACATATTTATATCAGATGCATTGTCAGGTTAATATATGATGTGTTGAAGTCCAGAAAATATGTTCATCATGTGAGGATATACGGTAATGTATAATCCTTCATAATACATGTAAGTGGGGTTTCTTGCAACATAGGACGTTAAAATAACAGCATAATCACTGAAGAAATAAGAAACGCTAGATGGTTTTACATAAAATGTATTTCTTTCATATTAGTGATTGTTGTGTATGTATCCAGGAAGATGCAGGCTTTGAAACATAAAAGAATTCGTTTGCCATCTACTTTATCAACAACTTCCCACAATCCTGACTGTTTTCGTTATCGTTGCGATGACTATGTACAGTAATATTTTGTATATTCTGTTACAGGTTTGCTCACATTAACGAAAAATGTTAGATCACTTATTTCAAATATAATCGTTGTGACATGTTTTATTCTGTTTTACAAATAACGGCAAGCTAACGGATAAGTCTGGCTACCATAAAAAAAAAGAACAAAATTAGGTATTTTCACTTAGTGCAAATTTTTACGAGCAGCGAGCATTTTGAATCAATTTCAACAGATATTGTATGTTTTACTTAACATCCTAATTGCCTCTGATTTCAGCGTTTCACATTGTGTTACACTTTTTTATACATTTTGAGTTGGGATCACGGCTGCGTTTTGACATCATGAGTTTATATGTTGTTAGAAGATCTGGTCTACCTGCTACACAGAGTGATTTGGAAATGAATAAGGCCTAGGATGACTTTGTTCAATTAACATATTTTACAATCATTCATTCTACAGATGAAAACACGAAGCAAAGAATCCATTCCTCGCTTAGAAGATGTTTTAAGTCAAATGAAGCCGTCGGAATTCCGTGACAATCATTTGTCTGCTTATAAGGTACAGTCATTATCACCTGTCATCTTTTGATCTTTCAATCTTTGGTGATAATTGGGCTATAAATGATAGTAGTAAACATAAAAAACGAAGAAAATATCGCCATGTCAACTGAATCTTAATTGAAACAAATTACATTAACCTTGGGCATACTATGATAAAAGAACACGAAGACTCCTAAAAAATACTGGGAAAATAAGAAAAGGTGTTCTGGAAGGGTAAGCGTCTTCGGCTTCATCCACAACAATCCAGGACAAAATAAACAACAACCAGACATACTAAAGTATACCAAACACGTCCATCTTCATATCACACATGGCCATTATTATGACGACTGTAAAGGTTGCTTTTAAAATTAACAATAACGGTCATTTATAATCATTATAGTTATAACCACCTCCAAATGCATGCGTTAGATTAAAACTACAGATAACTATAATGATGTTTAGGATTCAGGTTACCTGTAATGTAGAGTATGGACGTATCCATTACCTTATTAAAATTCCTTTCTGTGAGCTGAAGTGAACGTGTCCCTTTAAAGTGTTGTGAAGATTGTCCAGTTACCTGGTTCTATGTTTTGTTTATCATAGTTTTGCTTCTTTTGTATCTATCGATTTAATGTATGCCCATAACTGTAATCATCGGATGCTTTAAGTAAATTGTAGCAATTAATTTGTGTAAGGGATTTCTTACGTGTTTCTACCTTTTATTTTGCTGTAAATTTAAGAAAGTTGTGATCGAGTTGATATTCACTTGCCGTGTTACATGATTTTCTTTTGTTTTGCTTTGTGATGTTTACAGAACCTGCATTGGTCCGACCTGATTGCTAGCTCTGATAAACAGACGGATGCCGTTAAACTACCAGAAGTAGAAAGGAAACGACGTGAAGCAGTATGGGAACTCTTCAAAAGTGAATGTGTCTTCCTCATTGACCATCTAATGGTTCTAAAACATGTACGTTCTCTGCACCAACTAATCAACCGTGCTATCAATAAATAAAGGAAATAGCACATGCGCCGCCACCTGTCGATCGTTGTGAAATCATTGCTGCCCATAACATGATTAAAGAAACAACTGATATTTCATTTAGAGAAGTTTCCATTTAAGTGCGGATGTGCGACGTCTGTAAAACGTCTCAACCTTATTTCTGTGAAAAATGTTCTTCTTTCTCTTTTTTTTTAAAGAGGAAGGGGGAGGGGTAAAATCGAATCTAGTATAATTGCAGTTTTGTTGCCTTTTTCATAACGCAGCGGCGTTCATCTGCAAAAATAGCTCAGATTAAGACGATGCTCAATTTATATATTACTTTCATTCCTCCGCTTTATGTTCATTTCAATTATAAAGGTGAAGTGTAAAAACCACATAACACTTAAAGCGATCCATTACGCCCACGTCTTGCAAAGGAATCAGAGCTGCGCAAATAGATTTTAATGAGAGTTCCATTATTATCGCTTTTTATATCTAACATGTTAACATGTACTTTGAAAACCCTCTCCCTCTGAAGGTCACCCATTCAATCGTTATAGAGCATATTACGTTACCAAATAAAGAGTTGCCATTCTCACATCCATAGCGTTAATCACCGGGAAATCGTTATCAGTTTACAATACAAGTTAGCTTTTCTTTTCCATATTGATGGGTTTGTGATAATGACACCGCTTTGATGATGCAATATGTAGGTCAGTGCATCTCTTCATGTAATCTTCCAGGGCATTTTATTGTTTTAAATACCCGTTTATATAACCTTATAATCAAAGGCCTTTAATTTTCACAGTGTTTTATGGAGCCGTTAAAAAAGGTTCAAGTTGAAGGTCACGTGATGTTTGCTGAGCCACAAGACATATTCGGTAACCTTGACGAGCTTTGTTACGTAAGTTCACATGTACTGAAAATGTTATTGATATATTCAATTGAATCATACATCACTGTTCTAATTTTTGACATTGTTAATAGAAGATAATTAAAAAAATGTTTAACGCAATAATGATTCCCTTGTACCTCATTAGCAATTACACAAACATTTCAATTTCTTTTGCAGGTGAGTTATACGTTTTGTAAAGATTTCATATCTGCCTTGCTCAAGGATATGAGCTCAACTGACTTCGGAAGCACAAGTGTCTTAATCAGAGCCTTTGAACGGGTAAGAACAAGTGTCTAAATCAGAGCCTTTGAACGGGTAAGAACAAGTGTCTTAATCAGAGCCTTTGAACGGGTAAGAACAAGTGTCTTAATCAGAGCCTTTGAACGGGTAAGAACAAGTGTCTAAATCAGAGACTTTGAACGGGTAAGAACAAGTGTCTAAATCAGAGTCTTTGAACGGGTAAGAACAAGTGTCTAAATCAGAGACTTTGAACGGGTAAACATAAGTGTTTAAACCAGAGTCTTAGAGCGGGTAAGAAGACGTGTCTTATCAATCACAGACTTTGAACGAGTAAACATAAGTGTTTAAACCAGAGTCTTAGAGCGGGTAAGAAGACGTGTCTTATCAATCACAGACTTTGAGCGAGTAAACATAAGTGTTTAAACCAGAGTCTTAGAGCGTTTAAGAAACACGTGTCTTATTAATCAGAGACTTTGAACGGGTAAACAGTACTAAATGAGAACGAATCCTTAGTGTCGAACACCTTATGATACTATGTGCAAAAACAGCACGAACTTTCATTAATGAATCAGCAGGGCAGTAGAGTGAATGAATGGTAATACTGAAGGCACGAAAGTCATGAATTGTTATGAAAGCGGCAGCAGTGAACAGGTTACAATAGTAAGCGATCGTAAAGTACTGAATGTAAAGAATCAAGAAACTGGCTTGTAGTAATGGGCAGGCTAGCAACATTATAAAATAGGTCTGCAATGACTACCAATAGCAAAGCTGCAAGATTAAAAAACGGACGAGTAGAAGTGAATGAAAATAGAAAATGGTAACTAATTACAAAGTAGAGAAAGCAGTAGTGAATCGGGACGAAACGTCTCGTAACAGAAGCAGTAACAGTGAATGGGAACAATTTGTCTCGTGACAGAAGAAGTCAACTGAGCAGTGAATAGTACCAATTTGTGGATGCCAGAGAAGTATTTCGCGAAGTAATCTCTGGTAACAATTCTTGGATGTCACAGAAGTGAGCTGAGAAGTGAATTAGTGTTCCCAGTAGTACTCAACCGTACATCTTTCTTACTGTACAAATTATCAAAAAAGACAAATCGACGTTATTTATGATTCATGTCTACAAACTATAATGATGATTTGAATGTACACTTGTAGTTCACAACTCATTCAAGAGATGGAGGAGTGTACCATATCTACTGTCTCAACTATGTGAATGCCTTGACTTACCTCGAACAGCTGAGACGACACGAAGACTTCACAGAGTTCGAAAAGGTTGGCAAATTTAATAGACTTTAACGAATGCTGTTATGTTTTAAAATCTTAATGCATTTTAAATTGGCTGAACACTTCTTTCTTGAACACCTGTTCCATGAGCCTTCCAAGATATATTTACCTTCTATGTGATTATTCGTTATTATGTTTCAACGGGAGTATTTTGAATCGTAACTTCAACGCAAAATACTTTTTGATGCTTTCTTTTACTACAGAATTCTCCCGACAAACATTTATCATTATTATCCATAACCTACCTCCTGGCCTAACTAACAAATTATACGCTTCCTTCAAGGTCATGGTTTTCAATAACATCACAATAACTTCACACCACAAATGAAGTTTTTTCCCTACCGATAATTTTCCGACATATAAACCACTTGTTTTCATGATCGATTTTTATAGTTGATCAGGGAAGATCTTCCCATTGTACATGGCTATCAAAATGAACTGCTGTATGTCTTAGACGTCAATGTTACTGTATTACTCAGACTTGCTGATAAATGTAAACTTCCCCATGATACTCTTAAACCATTTCAGAGTAAGACATAACAGATTATACCTTGCTCGTATTAATGTCATACTGGCAATGATAGACCACACATTTATTGGCGTGCGGGTTATGTGTAGACTCTGCTGTAAAGACATTTAGGGTCAAGTTTAGGACATAATGATGTACTGAATTGAGATAGAGGTTTCTACGTCATGACGATTTTCTGTTTTACGATTAAATTGCTGACGCTTTATAAACGAAATTGATTGCAAGCTTTATCTACAGTTACTTGTGGTAGTATGGTTATATACAATGAAGAAACATGCTATACTCCTAATTTTTGTGACTGTTGTTCACTCAAGCGTGAATATTATGCATTATTGTTTGAATCCGTTATAATTGCTAAAATATCATTTGCAAATACATACATCTCTGAAGTAAGTTATATCTAGTAAGGTTTTGACTGAAGACTTTTTTTCATTTATTGTAACAGTGGTGTACGCAGGATCCACGCTGTAATCGTCTCCAGTTAACGGATCTTTTAGTGGCGCCAATGCAGCACTGCACCAAATTTCCTTTATTGCTCAACAATATTAAAAAATACACCGATAATAGCGCGGAGAGAAAGCTGCTCACAGACCTCATAGACAAAGTTGGAGTGTCTTTACGTAAGTAAATATTTTAAGAATTATAATATAAATGTAATCGTGTTGACGTAAGCAACCTCTAATAAAACTTGTAGGCAAAGTGAAAGTGTTACCACGTAAGTAATGACGTTACTAGCTGCTCATAAACTCATAGACAAGGGTGAGGTGCCTTTACCAAAATAACAGTTTAAAGAATTAGTTTAAGAATAATGAATGTGATTGTGTTTACGCCAGCAACAATACATAGAACTCATGGACAAAGTAAAGTGTCACCGCGTAGGTAACTGTATATGGAACTTGCAGACCAATTTAGGGTGTCTCTACGTCACTCACTGCTCATAAAACGTATCGACAAAGTTGAGTGGATTTACGTAAGTAAAGTTCAGACCCTATAGATAAAGCTGTATGGTCTTTGCGTCAGTTTCAGAATTAAAAGTGTTCATGGCTTAACGAATGCACTTCTCTTTAGATGTCATAGATATAACGAAATTTACAACAATACCGAAGTACTTAAAAACGATTTCACTGAATGAGGTTTTGTCCGGTCATGTTAGTTCTGTTTACGGTATTAAGTGCTCAGCGAACTAGTTCTCAAATTAAAGGATCGAATTCATACATGGAATGATTATGTTATTACGGACTTAGCTGTTGTGTGAACGCATATCAAATGTGAAAATGTTTTAGGCTTTTCTTGAAAATAATGATGGCTTGTATATTGGAAAGTGAATTATCTACAGAACATGTAGTTGGAGTGAGCACTTCTTGCATATAGAGTGTTCGCCCTCTCAAGGAATTATAATTCAGCACTATACACAGTTTGGCGTCTCTTAAAAGGACATCGATACTTCTTTATTATTTTACACAAAAGGCGATAACCACGAAATTTAGACATCTGACGAACTCTTGATCTGCTACGAATTTATTTCCACATTTGAAGTAAAGGGCAAGAACGTGTTATTCCACGAAAATAACAAACTGTACGAAATATTCAAAAGGTTATTGACATCCTTTTTATTGCCTTGAATACCATTTCAGACATTTTAGTAGGAAAGAAAATTGCAATAGAAAAATGTCATATCTCATTAATCCACAGACAATCAGCGACAGACACTTAACACCGATAATAAACTCATTTTATCATTGTGATTTTACTATTGTAGAGAAAATGGAGGATAAAATGAAGTGGGCGAAGAATTACGAACGTCTTCAAGAGATTCAAGGACAACTTGTTTGGCCATCAGTAGCAGACATTGACCCTCGAGCATTTGTCCCTGACGTAAGTTACAAACCATTAAGTTACCATTCACACCTTTATCACTAGCACGTGACTGATGGCTAGCCGCTTGCCCAAAGCTATTAATGATGTAGTGGGAAAATATTTCATTGCACTTTGCTGGTTGTTTCTTTTGATTGGTTTCTTTCACTGTCATTTTTGTACCATCTGGTACTGTCTGTTTATTTGTTGATTAATTCATTAATCACACATTGTCTTTAATTTGTGTATACGGCTTTAACGTCATCAGTAGCAGGTGTTTTATCTTCTATGAATTGAATGAGTATCTGGTTATTGAAAATTGATAAGACTTTAAAAAAAAATTGATATACGGTTCAGAAATAAAAGCTCCTTTATTCCAGTAACATCAATCCAGACAGTTTTTGTATGGTCTTTTATATGGTTTATTATATTCAGTTTTATAAATATAGCTTTTTTACGCAAGAATAATCTACATAGATAGTAAATTTACAGCTCTGTATTGAGTGTAAACATTATATTTTCGTGGTTTCTTATATTCCAGTTACTGAATCACAAGTTCGAGAAAATTAGCTTTCGCGAAGCAGACCATACTCTACTACATGTTTAGTCGTTACTGTTTTCCTTGTTTCGATCGTGAAGCTGGGAAGTAGGTTACACCCTAAAAATATTAGGTTTACGATCTACGTGTTATTTCCGCATCCGAAGGGAGACAAATGCGATTCTTTTATCTTTGTTATTTAAAACAACGTCTTCTTTCACTGATGTTATATTTGAGTGTTCTGTTTTCCAGTTTCTCAAAACTGCCTTAACTAAACAGCCATGTGAACGGATGATATGTAGTCCAAAACGTCAGCTTATACATGAAGGATATCTGACACTTGTTGGTAAGTAATATATCAGAACAAATCCTTGTTTTGAGAACTTGTCAGGATTTATGATAGAAATAAACAGTTCGAAAACACCATATTTCAAACAAACAAAACTGCCAATCGATGGTTGCTTTAGTCACCTCGCTAGACTTCCTAGTGGCAAAGAGGGACGCTACCGTATTTGTAGTATGATATAGGAATGGTGGTTGACGCTTTTGAGTAATAAGTGAGTTTTGTCAGCAATCTTGTAACAGTAATTCATTATTGTACCATTGACAAACAATATTTAAACTGTAAATAATGTGTTTTCGACAGTTTCGAGGTTTTCAAGGGCATTTCACACCTTTTCTTAAATTTGGAAGGGAGGTATTTGAACATGTACATTTTTGTTGTTTTTGACCATGGACGAATTGACCATCAAACTTTTTAAAAAATTGTTTAATTGATCATAATTCTTGTGATATTCTTAACCATATAGTCGAAATTATATGTCAATGATGTTATTTCGTTTTGTTCACGGTCATTAAAGACAGAATTTCCAGCAGGGACGTTACATTTAAATTATCTGATGATATGTTTCATGCATTTAAGCAGTAATAACAACGTCAAGACAAGCGAGAAATTAATTTCCTGTAAATCAGGCCAAGCAGGGACAACTGAAAAATATATTTACTGAGCGAAATTAGATAACTGTACCGTATTCAGGAAAGCAAACAAACTGTTTCGGCAATATTTTTGCTTAATAAATATTTCAAATGTTTACAAAAATGACTAAATATCTACAACAGTTCCAACTTTTGATTTTATTCAAACATTCCGTATTCATGTGAATCTCGTTGATTGGTGCACGTTAACACTATCATTGAAAGGACATTTTAGTATTGTGACATAAGGCACTATTAATGTCATAGCAGATGGAAGACAGAAATTATCATACAGCAAAAAACAAGAGAACGTCATTGGTTAGAAACATCTTATTTTTGAAAAGTGTGAAGTTTAGATTATTCTTGTTTTAATGTTAAAAATTTAAGAATAAGAGGAATATTTTGATGTTTCTCTTTAAAAGTTTAACAACAATTAATTATATGTCATGATTGGATAATTCAGACAGTGCCGTAGAAGGATTACACAACAGTATGATGCATTCAGTTTATTATTTAGCTCTACTGAATCTAAAGTTAATTTTGTATTGGAAAGTATTATTTACTTTCGTGTCCTTTATACAATCGTTTGGTTATCATGAATTGTATGTCTATCAAATAACTATCTCACTAATTAAATATATTTACTAATCATCATATAGTGTTCATTTCTAATGTAATATATTCCCACGTGTTTGTAGAGTCAGCCAAGACATCTGATGTTTATGTGTTCCTGTTTGACGATATTCTACTTATCACAAGAACAAAGAAACCACAGAGGAAGGTATGAAGAAACAAATAAATAATGGTCAAATGTGGTCAAGAAAACCTTTCTGTACCATTATTCACTTCTGTGTGATGCATATACGAAGAATGGTTTATATATGTACCCTGACAAACTGTTCATCATAGATCACAAACGGCCAGACACAGTTGAAGGATAAATGCTTCCTTTCACTACTGTTATACGTTTGTTATGACAACATAATGAACTATACTTCAAACCGAAGAAATACGTTTTACAAATTCGTTCGTTTGTGTAGCGTACAATAGTGGCACAGAAACTATTTTAAACGTTACCAGCTAATGTTGTTTGGTTGTGGAAAAGGAGTTTAAATGAGTACCATGAAAACACGTCAGTCAAAAGTTCCTATTTGTGTCTCCACATTTCCAATGTTGAAGGGGCATATATAATGTTACTCTTGTCGTCATTCCATTATAATTTCGGTTTTGCTCATTTACTCCTAACAGTAATAGAACTGTAACTTGATATGCAGTTGTATCGAGATCATATGCAGGTTAAGTTCTTATTCTTATGATCAAATTAACTCAATGGGAGACCAAATTAGAGAGCCTCTTCCAACTTCGGTGGGATTTTGGTCTTCAAACCTGCAGACAGAATTTCAATTTTATTTCAGATTCTTTACCATAGTTTCTGTGAGCAGCAATGGATTTTGTTTCTTGAGTCATCAGTACACTTTCTGGCAATATCAATTAAACGTTTCCAAACTTCTCTATAGGCGGGAGCATTCTTGTCACTCCGAAACATAGAATTTCCTCTTAAAATTGTCGTTTAAGTCTTCGCAATACAATAGACTTGGTACACAATAACATACCCCAATGTCGCCTTGGCTGGCTCTGGCCTTTATCATTATTCTACTTTTTTGTGTTTACTCACCATCCACTGGGAACATAAACAACGTTTGATATTGTATAGTCAATTAATGTGGTATGACGTTTTCGCTTATCCAATGTAAACCATTCGTCTTTATACCTTTTATTTCAGAAACATTCCATAGACAGTGTTCACATTCGGTTGCAACAGTCCGGTCTATCGGAGAAAACAGTCCACACAGTATACAGGCAGCCAGTGGCCTTGGACAGACTCAGTGTCCATGATATCACCCCATCTGACGCTACAGGTAACGAAGTTTGAGGTGTGACGTGACTGAAATCTCGAACATATTCCATATTAAGGAAAATTGGCACTATAAAACATTTTATTCTTTCTTTGTGAATCTTGAAACACTGAAATTATTCGATTTAAACTTTCAGCAAATGGTCTGAAGCACGCCTTCGTCCTCGTCCAGATCAGTCGGTACCAGCAAATCATCGGGGTATTTACGCTACAGGCGGTCACAGAATCACACAAGGTATATACACTACAAGCGCATTATTTACACTACAGGTGACCATAGACACTCGCAAATATTAACGCTACATGCGGAAACAGACAATCACAAGGAATTAGCATCAAATTAGTTTACAAAAAGTATTTTTGCACCACAGACGATCACATACTATGGAAAATAAATATTTACACTACAGGCCGTCGCAGATGTTCAAATGGTACAGGAACATACTACTTTGTTTTGTGATCCACTTCAATCACATTTTAAAACGGTCGGTAAGTTGCTAGAGTTATCATCCATTCCGCAACACACGTACGTCAATTACCGCTGAACCGCTCAAGACTAACTCCAGATTCTCGTAAAAATGAGACTTTATTTTCATCGTAAAAACAGAACTAGTTAATTTTGAAGGAATAAGGAGAGCATTGATAAACAAATGTATAGAAAACAGGTTTCTCTAGCATTGGTTTGGATAAATAAATAACTGTATTGTCTTGATGTTATAATGAAATATTGAAAGCTAGTATTATATGAGAATTGTACAATGATACAGTCATAAACTATATACAGTTACTAGAAATTAATGGAATATTATGAATTGATATAGTACGAATTATACTTCATTTTACACCGTTATATATATATATTATATGAACTCTTGTGCATATTTATACAGCACACCCCATGACAATTCCTTCTCACAAACGATAATGAAAAAAAATCGTTTCAGGCTCTTTGGGTGGAAAAGCTGTCACATGCGAGAGAGAAGTTTAATTCCGTGCCTGATATTTTGGCAAGTCAGTTATCGCCTGGAGAGGAAGGTCAAGTTCAGGAAGGATTAATATCGTCGGACATTATCCGAGCGACTAAACAAAGTCGCCGGGCCCCGTCATTGAAAAACCCTCACGGAAAGTCCTTATCAATGGATGCTGTTTATCTGTGATAAGTACAGATGTAAGTATACTTCGTCACGTTCAATTAGAAAAATGTTCAAAGCCACGAACAGTTGTGATTGTGAATCGCTTAAATCTCCCGCTTATTCAGGAATGGTTAATTTCCAATGGAGCAAGGTTAAGAATGAAAAATGATCGATAAAATCTAATAGATATTGCTAAATTGTGTTATTGGGTTCTTGTCGAGTTTGTGATACGTAGACACGATGAGAACCTATTTTTTAAAATGTGTTGTTGCTGACGATTAGTATTCCATCGTGATAGCTTGGCCAACCTTGCTAATATGTACTCCTTGAATCAAGTGATTAACTGGTGAAATATTTATATTTTGTGGGGAAAGGACTACAAGACCAATACGTTTTGATATGATAATTCGGAAAAGTGATGTCTTAACTTCCAAGTTCAAGTATTCGGACCTTATTGTAATAAATATAGAATAACTTTATTCACAGTATACAGCTGAAGAAGAGTATTTTTTATAAAAAGAAAGATCAGTGGTTTATCGATCATTGATCAGAATTCGAAGAAAATATAAACCCAATAATACCTCAGTACATGAATTGATTCTAGTCTATTGATAACTAGAGAATTATATATAAATTATTGACAAACTATTTGCATATTGTTTTATAATTAATTAATATTCATTTGTGTCGGTTCATTGTTAACGGACCGAGTCATAAAGATATCAATTCGTGAAAAAGCATATAAACTTACATGTGGAGATAATCAAAAGTATGTCTACTGTCAGTTCAAAGTTAGTAAATGGCGCTCAGGTTGCTTGTTCTTAGTAATATAATCGGAATTGTCAGCGGATACTGGACTAGCTAAAGGTTTTGGAAATTCCAAGATCCTATTCCGATAAAAAAATCGTGAAAAAGTGAAAAATAAGTATTTCATCACCAAGAACATATCTGCTGCCTTATCAAATACATTACTTAGCGCGCAAGCTGCTTTTTCTCATTAACATTTTCAGAATGTTGAGCTCTCTGACTACGGCATAGTATTTGGAAATTCCTCTATAATTAAAGACTTGCTGCAAAATTTCCCTAAATTATGGTACATTCTTTACAATAAGTAAGTACTTTAAGTTATATATCATGTCTGTCACATTTGTTAACAGTAAACAATCTTCTCTTTCGGCATTGGGTCATAGAAAGTGAAAATAGAACCCTATTTACTTCATTTTCACTTCTTTAATGTTTTGGAACATGTTCATTTAGACCAGGTTTGTAAACCTTACCATAACATTTAACTGTACGATATTTTATTTTGTGTTACCATATTCTCCTTATTTTTCTATAATAAATTCTTGAAAATAAAGATTCCAATGCCGTGAGATATGTGCTGTAAAATAACTACGATCGCCGACAAACCACAAATATCACCTAAAATCAAAAGTGCTATATAATTTCCATGTGTCTCTAACGTGGCCTACATCCATGGTAACAAGAAGTGGAAAACTGGCTGGTACAGTAATCATATTTTATATTTATATATACGATTCTTGTTATATTTTTGTAGGCTTTCATTGTGAATCTGCTGCGTCGAGTGTGATAGTATTTAAGGCGATGTTGTGATAAATTGGATGAATATGTTTAATTAATTCCCAACTTTTCATTCATAAGTTTTAAGTGATAATTAAATATATGTATATTTGTATGTTCATCAAAATAATAAACAATCATAAGAAATCCTTTTTAAATCCAATTATATATTCACAACAGATGCGTTTTAGTTATAATGTGATCAATAAAATCGTTACTATTTAAATCAATTTGTATTTGTTTTCAATATGAAACATCGCATATGTTGTTTACAAAGACTGCGACATTAACAGCGATTCCGATTCCAAACAATATTTTCAATGAACTGAAAGCAATTGCCCTAAATTCTTCTTCTGTCAATTTGTATACTTTCCTGTATCGTTTTCCCGCTGTTTCAAATACTGAACTTGAGTATTTCCTCAACTGACGCAGAGTTCCTTATCTGGAATCAGTTTTGGTGACCTTTAGGTGTGGGAGTATTCTTAAGCAAATGACAAGTTTGATTTAATGGACGAACTAAAAACGGTTTCTGCACGAGACACCTGATCTCCGATACATGTATATGATACAAACTCAGAATTGCTTTAAGTATTACAAACACCGTAGAGCTGGTTATGTCCAATCAAAATCAGAAAATTGGTGAGATACAGGCAGAAAGAAAAAGGTTTTTCGTGATGCCTGATAGCATTCCGATAGAAATTCACTGGATTACTGTGGAGGCACAGCCACATACTGCGCCATCAACACCACTGGTCAATGCGAATACAACCCATTAGGAGTCTAAAACACTGAGATAAAAATCGATAAATATAGTCCTAAAATGACGATTTATTGAGGAGGGTCCAAACTGCACTAACGATCACGAGTCTGCAACTTGCACCTCGCACATCGCCAGAACCACAAATTTCACGAAAATCCTACCGGTGATCTGCCATGAATAGCATACAAGCAATCGCAGTACGGCAGCGACCTACAGTCCCAGGAACGAGATTGTGGTCCCTGAACAGTCAAACGAAATCTTCAGTCGTGATTGGTAGATGGCGGAAGAGGAAGACATGATTGATCGGGCGATGCGATCAGAGACATCTGCCTAAAAACCTGTCTGGGCAAAACCTGAAATAGCGTCCGATCGAGGTGGAGGATCTTCTTCAAATTGCTGAAGAAACCAAGGCTGCCTAGACTAGAGGGCCGCTATCAGAAGATGGAAGCATTAATGCTCCCGAAACTTCAGCAACAAAAAATAAAAAAAATCACCCACCTGCCAGGAACAGAGCGTACTAGGCCGAACCCTGTGATCAGGAATCGGAGGGACAAATGATGCAAACTGATTGTTAAGCGATTATAAAAGGAAAGAGTAACCGCCACACTATTTAATTGCCAACTGCATATCCTGGCACCGAGGAATGCGGATAATGAGGGCACACGGAATGTGAGACCCCAGTACCCCAGGGCCTAACCGAGTACGCGGGAGTTACAACCCTTGTTACTTTGGGTCATGGGTCCCTGTGATGAAAACCAAGGGTGCAGTCGTGAGACCGAAAGGCATAGTCTGGAACAGACGGTATGGTAAGTATTGCACAATCAAAAATAAAGAAAAAAATATATATCAAATTTAGACGACTTAAAAATTCATGATTTTGGGAGAATAGATTTTAATGTCAAAGTGGAAAGATATTTATGAATGATGATACGTTGCTAGCATATATACGCATATGAGGTTCGACAAAGACTGTTCATTTAAAATAAAATAAAATTTCTGTCTAATATGAAGAAGATTTCAACGGTAATGTGATAAAGAAAGGATCAATATATTCCGCAAATTAGATCAAAAGCGTTGCATAACCGTACCACAAACAGGCATGTATGAAATATCATTCAACATTTCCTTATGCTACAAAAGGTAGTTATACGGACGAACAGATGAAGATAGTAATCTTATAGACATATACAATGTAACAAAATCAACAAAAGCCGACTGATATATGAAATTAACATGCATCCAAACACAATTTTGCTGTTTTTAATTGGAAAATATTTGCTTATCGCGCGTATCTGAAGATGGCAAAGAATATGTATAATTAAAAGATAACAAAACAGTATACTTTATGATTTAATGTTTTACTGTCAATATATCAAAACATTCATAGCTGAGATTTTACCCTCTTAATTCTATCTTCTTGGCTATTTTATGTTTACATGCCCTATTCGACTAATTAGCACAAGATATAAGACGTATAGACTTAAGTATAATTAAGCTTTACAACAAGCATTAAATCTTGCTAAAACAGAGTCATTCAGGGAATTACTGCTCAAAGTAAAAAATTCATGATTGGAAATCGTCACTCACTTCAGATCAACCATGATCTGATTATTGTGACGATAAATAGCGGATATTACAAATGCTGCCCTATTGGAAATATTGAATATCTGAAATATCATTATCGCCCTAGTTATCATTCGTTATAATGATTAGCGCCAAACAAAATAAATAATGAAAGGCGTAACGACAAACTTCAACTACAAGTCATTCTACGCTGTACCATTACACTTTTAGAAGAAGCATTTATGAATGTGTATTCCTGAGAATCAGTTGCCATGAATAAAAGTACTTCCAAAATATTACTACTGGTCTTTGAAAATATCTGTAAAATGTGTATGTGTGATTGCAAAATTCTCGTTATTAGCCTTTTTAACGATATTCGTCGAGAAAGGCACCATGCAATGTATTTGGCCTTGCATGTATCTTCTTCAAACGGTTGCTGACAACCAAATAAGTGCATGTTTGTGTTCGTGTCGAAACCTGATCCATACAATCAATATACATTTCGACAGTCTTTTGTGAACAGGACTTTATGCTATCAAGCTACCCAGAAGGACTTTACCAATCTGTATAAGAAGAACACCAACATAAAGGCACGCACTGTTTCTTTCAGTCTCTTGATATCCAGAGCTGATATTAGTCTAGCCTAATCACCGGGTCTTGTCTACATTCTGACACAGATCATCTGCAACGAAGAAATATTATTTCAAAATCAACAAAAACAAAAGATGTTAACCAGAGCAGCATATTACCATACTGAAGGGTTACAATTGTATCATTTAGTGCCAAACACATGGTTATTTACAGAGTTACGCTCTGTCGCCAATGTTTTCAATTTTAACAGTGATGCACCTTGTACAGATGGTGACAATTATTCGTTCAAATACATACAACCAGCTAAGTTAAGTTTTAGTTTTTCACAATGTATATGCAATACTAAGGGAATCCATATTTCACATACTACGAATGAGACACACGTATCTATACATTAGAAAATCTAATTCAAGAGAGATAAATCGCACGTGGAACTTGGAAATCGTGCATCAATCAAATACATGAAAATTACGAAATGTATTGAATAACATGGTAAGTGCACCTCCCCATCTAAATTGTGACTTTTCTTTGGATCAGTTAGGGTTTTCTTCAGTCGGCTCTAAAATCTATAGCATCGCTGACGAGTCCTAGAAGAACGAAGCAGTATTTGGTGCAGTTTAATTCATTGTTTGGCTCTACTGTACCTAACTTTAAAGTTGTATTTAACGGTTTTATTCATTTGTGTTTTCTTTAATTTTATAATTTGTAAGAGCTATTAATTTACCCCTGCTATTTAAAAACAAAACATTAAAAAGGCAAGATTTCCCGATTTTGTTTTAGTGTTTATTGAAGGAAAATAAATTATATACGTTCTGTATCGTAATATGTAATTCAAATATCGGCGATAACATTACATACAATTGTTGTATAGTTTGAATTACTGCTTCACATGATACCATTTTAATATTATCTATGAAAAGGGATATTTCGCTGAAACAATGTAATATTTCAGAAAATGAATGTATCTTTATTATCAGGTAGCTTTCAGTTATTCCCTTTGAAATTGAGCGTTTGTGTTTAGCGAGCAGAATTTTAAAAGGAATAAACGTTAATAACATGACTTTGTTATGACCACAAAATAACCAATATTAACTCTTCGTAATAACAGGTCTTTGTAATCTATACTCATTTGATTATTACTCTACTTTTTTGTATTCATTTTAATGCCATAAGGAAGTGTTTATTCAATAATTTACCGCAATCTTGATCGAAAATTATCTCAATTTAAACAAAAAAATGATATACATAGAGAAAATCATCATTACTTCTCAGATTCCACATCTAGCCACTAGAATTGCACAACATTCGTTTTCTGTCTGTAAAATTGTGCTTCATCGTTTCTTTATTACATCTGTAACGTAAATCAACACGAATAAATGGAAATGGGCAAGTAGATCGATCACTTTGTTTTAATTATTCAAGTTTCATCCGCAGGAAACGATCAATCATGATGTGTATTTGATAATGCCCGAGATAGTTAAATTGATAATAATTACCTATTTATGATCCAGTGGCTGCTCCTCATCAGCTTTTTGTAAAGAGCTAGCAACGTTCAGGGTTTGTACTGAGTCGTCATTACTCGAGCTGCGCCTGCGCACAGTCCACGTGATGATAATAATGAGGAAGACGATGGCAGCCAGTGACACAATTCCTATACCAACGCATGCTACTTTGGACAGACTGACATCTGGAGAGAAAGACAACGCTTTCTTAATATATTATCATTCACTGACAAACTAATAAATGGATATCATGTTATTATACATCGACAAACTTTTGTCTGATGAACGTCAAAATATTAAATATCATATCTTACATCTTGAAAGGAAAATGACATCTTTTACTAATTATACTTTGACAGACTTTTATCTGTAAAAAGAGGCAACGTTTTTCATAAATATCATTCTTTATTAAGACAGGGACATAGAATCCAGTCTGGAGAAAAGATTACTTCCTTTGTGTTTATTCTACTAACAAAGTTCTACTGAGTTGAACACAAAATGTTTTCCACTAAATAACTTAATTCTAATATGAATGAACATAGCATGAATTCCGATGTGGGGGAGTTAATTGTACACACACAGTATTTGTTATGACGATTCTTTATATCTTACACCGATATATATTTAATTTAAACATCCTACATATAAACATCAGTTTAAAAGTAATTTTCAAATCTAAACTTGTACTGAGAAGTGCTATTTACTGATGTGGCTTTTGAACAATATTCCAGATTATTGATGGTGTATATTAATTGCTGAAGTTCTAGTCCTCGAAGATTACCGTAACCTGTATGCCACGCTTAATTCAATAGAATATTGGCAAAAATATATACATGAATTTGACTTTGTTCTGAAAGATGTATGGAAATTACGCAATTTATTGGTTTATGGGGCTGGCGTACCTTCCTACCTAGATTTCTGCCATCAATTTTGCTTTTCACCAGTCGCCTTCAAGGCTTCAAATTTAGGTCCTTAGCATCACGGATGAAACAGATTTATAATGTAGTGTTATTTTCTTCAACTCTCTTCTAAACTTGTATTAAATGGTGACTTTTGTACATCTTAGTATAATCTCCCACAATATTCCTGAATGAACAAACACACACCCCTCCGCTTCCCCTCTCTTATATCATTATCATACAAAGAACATATTTTTGTGCCATCCCTTCATATATATCCTTCCATAAGGGACACTGTATTGTTCTCACCTGCATAAGCGACGACCTCAATCCTAAAGGAAGTATTCGTGACACCTTGGGTAAACAGATACACTTTGGCCTCGTGGCTTGTGCTGCACCATTCATCAGGAACATCCTGTCCACAAGTGTAAACCTGTGAACGATTTTAAAATTAGTTAAAGAATCTCGACATGTTACATTTTATATGATAAGCAACGAAAATTTAAAACCTCAAATCACATTTCATGCATCCTCGTTACTCCAGGGGTTACGATCACTTTCGCTCTCTGCACCCGTGGAACATATCATGGCAGGATTGAAGGAACAAGCGATGTAATTTGATTGATCTAGAGTAGGGCACAGTGGAAACACAATGATCAATAACAAGCTAATACGCTAATTTCGAAAATTACAAAGGAACGCCACCCAACATCAAGGTCAGTACAACATACCGTTATGCAACCTTGAGGTTCGTTTGATGTACATCAAAGGATCAAACTAGTCTTTTCGTCCTGTCAACAAGGTGCCACATGTGGAACCTTCAATTTTGTCATGTAATGTTCCAGGGGTGCAGGGAGCCAAAGTGAGCGTAACCCGTGGACTATCGAGAATGATTTGTCCTCGATATATTGCCAGTTTTTCACATATCACGATTTCGTTTTCTTAAACGTTGTTTGAAGTTGTTTGATGTAATTGACATATCAATATCGGCAATTCATGATGAGCAACATAAACAAAATGACAGCAATATTACCGACCGTATTGACGAACTATTTTGTCAATTTTACAATGGATTACTAACTATCCTTTACTTAATAGCAACATACCAACCTCTCTGGATATAACATTATATAACACAGCTTATTTTGACGTTCGGGAGATCTATGTTCCTTGATATCGACTTTTTATGTTAACTCTGGATATAACATTATATAACACAGCTTATTTTGACGTTCGGGAGATCTATGTTCCTTGATATCGACTTTTTATGTTAACAATGTAATTCACTGTGTGAACTTTGACACAATTTCTATCGCCAACATATTTTGTAACGCTAACTTTGCCTTTTCCCCAAAATTTCAATACTTAATTTAGTTAGTAAAATGATCAATCTAGAAAGAAAAGTCTTTTTCTGAGACAATGATAAACTATGACTTGTACAAAAAAAAAAAATAGCCGCCACAACGTTTATGGGTAAATGGTTCCATATTCCCTTCTTTTAATAACATCCTTGGTACATGGAAATTAAAATACGATATATTAAACTTATTGATTTCCATGCGAATTTCATCGATGATTCAGGCTGGTGTTGGCAGTACTGTATAGCCGGGTATTTTACGGAAATTATATTTTCACTATTTCACTGTACATAACGTAATCGCGAAAATTTAATCCGTGAAATAATAAGACACGTGTCTATTATATATCCATTTACACCCAAATCGAGAAATTTTAATTCGCGAAAATATCATTGGATCGTTTTAAAAGAAAACCAGGAAAATTTTGACCCGTAAAAATTACAGGCTACAGTAAATCATAACCAACTGCATTGAACTGCATAGAACACAAATTATATGATTTCCGTCAAATTCTGCTGATAATGTAGACCCGAGGAAACCAAAACATATACATGTACGTGCTGGAAGTCCCGTTGTGGCCTATTTCTAAAGCTTTTATCAGTTGCAGTATCTATTCCGACACGCATTACCGAAATGTGTGCCCTATCATCGTGTTAATTGTCCGTCTAGACAACACTTACTTATCAAATATTACACGAATCAATTGAACAGCCCTTGCTTAAACATATCACTGGCAAATAAAAGCGAAAGTTATGTTATACGAACATTATTAACGCCCCCTCTTAACAATTTAACTAGATAGATTTCCATATAATAAGATAATTTAAATAGTTTAATTCATCAACAATAATAATAACAGACAGACAGAGAGGGAGTCTTATAGTTTCCTCTTTATATTTCACTCTTTCTATCTAATCAGCAAATATTTAAGCAGTTGTCTTACCTCAGCGCTTTTACTATTGAAAATATTTATTATACTGAAAGATGATTTCGCTAATTGCAGTTTCTTCAGTTTGTTAATGCACTGTACCGTAATAATTGTGGATGTTCTAATTCATTATTTGCTAATCAATCAAAAAGGACATCTTGTTAGAACTTGCTTGCGTCAAATTAAGAGTGTTCACACTATATGGATCATTAACTTTAGTAATATGAATTACCATCTTCCAACATTTAGCCTTAAAATTTAAATATTCAAATTTACATTCGCTCCAAAGAGTTACGCATGTTTTCAGTGTATCTTTAAGTTTATCGTGGATATATTTCATTCAAAACTCTCCGACATGACCTGGTAAATGTTTGTTTTATCAAAGACAGTAAATAATTTGATACGCTTTTCTACTAAATAACTTACAGAAGAACTACCTAAAACACTGTACTTAATGAACCCAGTGTATCCTAAGGTTAAAGTGGAGTGTTATCGCATTAGGGAGTACATTGATGTCTTCGTTATCTCTAAGTCAGCAGGAAGGATCCCGACTGAACACTATTTTTATCAGCGTCAAAAGTTGCTGTTAATAAATTCGTCACACATACAGGAATGCCGCAGAAACCTAATAGTACTGTTCTGAACAATGTAAATTGAGTTATTTCGTGTTCAAATGTCAGTAGACACATAATTGACTTTGTGATAACGCCTCTGTTCCATCAAATCGGTATTGTCTGCAAACATTTCTAGCTTTGTACAGTAAACAGTTACAATTCGAGATGTTTTATTTTCAAGATCTAATTTCAAACTTCACAATAAGTGATCGGGTTACTTAAGCGACGTCAGATTAAGAGAAAATGAAATCGATAGAACGTCAGAAAATTGGGACTATCTCCGGATAAGTATCATGTGAATTGAGATCGATTTTCATCATTTAAAGCATATTTAATATAACAATGATATATGTCTGTATCGTGACTCGCTTACAGATATCTGGGTTGAAGCTGTACGGTATAGCACCTCTGTGTTCTTAGCAACCGATGTGAAGCGTCCTTTATGACTATTATTATTATTATGTGAAGTTTTAAAGAAGTCATCTACCCAGCTATAATTATATATGAGGCAGAAAACACACAACGTGTCCGAAGCTTACCTATACCGAGTATCAGTCTTAATACCCGTCAGGATACGTCCAGTGTCGGATTTGATGTCGCCCTGGTATGTGTAAGGATACTTACAATGGTGGGTATGATGTCGCCCTGGTATGTGTAAGGATACTTACAATGGTGGGTATGATGTCGCCCTGGTATGTGTAAGGATACTTACAATGGTGGGTTTGATGTCGGCCTGGTATGTGTTAGGATAATTACAATGGTGGGTATGATGTCGCCCTGCTATTTGTAAGGATACTTACATTGGTGGGAATGATGTCGCCCTGGTATATGTCGCCCTGGTATTTGTAAGGATACTTACATTGGTGGGAATGATGTCGCCCTGGTATGTGTAAGGATACTTACAATGGTGGGTATGATGTGGCCCTGGTATGTGTAAGGATACTTACAATGGTGGGTTCAATGTCGCCCTGGTATTTGTAAGGATACTTACAATGGTGGGTATGATGTCGTCCTGGTATGTGTTAGGATACTTACATTGGTGGGTATGATGTCGCCCTAGTATGTGTAAGGATACTTACAATGGTGGGTTTGATATCGCCCTGGTATGTGTAAGGATACTTACAATGGTGGGTTTGATGTCGCCCTGGTATGTGTAAGGATACTTACAATGGTGGGTATGATGTCGTCCTGGTATGTGTTAGGATACTTACATTGGTGGGTATGATGTCGCCCTGGTATGTGTAAGGATACTTACAATGGTGGGTATGATGTCGCCCTGGTATGTGTAAGGATACTTAGAATATAACCGTTTGATGCCGCCTTGGTATGTGTAAGGATACTTACAATGGTGGGTTTGATGTCGCCCTGGTATGTGTAAAGGTATACTTACAATGTCGGGTTGGAAACCGTCTTGATATGTGCTGTAATATTTAAGTTTGACGCCACAGTCTGTAAAATTGTTGTTTTGTAACATTCTAAAGCATACTCTGTAGTTCGTATCAACATTTGCCTCGTTCTTAGCTTCAAACTGCACCATACAAATAAAAAAGTCTTCACCGTCCCACGTGACCAAGTATTTCTGGTACTGTGTGAGGAAATGAGGTCCACGCTGTTCGTGTGATAAACAGCTTTTCGTCATAGCAACTGAAAAAACAAAAAATTAAAAAATTAAAAGGTAATCTGCAACACAACACCAAAGAGCTATTCTGGACAAGCTGCAAAAAATCTTACCTAATGATTATTAGCATTACAAAATGTGTTCTGTGGTCAGTTTGGACAGGCAAAATTGATCAGATCACCTAATAGAGCACATTTATCACGTGATGGTTTGAAAACGAAGCTAGAAACACGATGCCCGATCCCGGCAGCAGTGACACTGAAAGTAAATCGGGAGAAAAGTTGTGTTTTCTTTGTTTTATTTATGTATATATATGTACACATGAAAAAATATATTGATACACTACAAGTTTGCAGTGCATAGCGCAGGCATAAAGATTATGTTGCACAATCAGAATCATTGCCCATTCGTAAATCGATCTAGCAGAAGATTTAGGCAGAAATTCTACAAATAGAATATCGTAAGGTGGGTTTTGTGTCGCACTGAGGCGCAGGATTTGTAGAAGAACATACTTAAGAAGATATTTATGTCCGGTTTTTGTATAAAAACAGCATCTAACGAAATACCAGTTTGTCCGTAATATATCCCTAAAACATGTCTTACCAGTAATGATTACATGCTAAAAATAACCCTAGTAGCTGAAAACACCTTGGCTGTTTAATCCGACTTCCTGTCGAGATGTGTCTATTTTTTGGAGCGAAAAATCAATCTTCTACCAACTTTGTACACGTAAACATAATGTTAGTATTTCGATAAAAAGACAATATGGTCATTTACGTTTCAAATGGATGGAAAGACTAGACAGAGAAAGGCCGAAAACCGTATAATGCATGTATGATTGGTTTGTTTTGATGTGTTTAGTTTAATGTGTTTATTGACAAATATACTGTAAAGTTTTAAACATATAATTATAGAATCGTCTCCAAATATGGTAATACACATAATAGCAATAGTACAATTACATGTAAGAGTACAGACTGTGTAGAGACAACTTGTTATATATGTAATAGTATTGTCAGAATGGGAGAGGGGAAAAGGACGACAGAGTGGAAGAGATGCTTGCGATGAAGGAAGCTAGAAAGGTAAAGTTGGGAACCAATCCAATTGATCCACACTTTGCGAGAAATGTTGTGTAGCATTAGTTTTGGTAATTTTCAGAAAGTCATTTGGTGAGATATCTTAATCGGCTTTACAAAAATTATCAAAATTGGGATAACAATCTTCACAGCAGTACCACCCACAATGGTCCTCTGTACAGCGAAGGTAGTATACTAACACTAAGAAGATTGTTTTGATTTCGAGTTAATGACCTGCTGTACGATGTTGTTTTTTTATTTATGGACGCGACCTAAGTCTTAATGAGGAACAGAGCAGACTATTAAAGTAATGATAGTTCACAGGAAAGGAAACACTACGGGACCTCAGTAACGGTAACCGGTACGAAACAAGATCAGAAAAACTTTAGTAGTTCATCGTATCTTCTGTAATATCAGGAAATATTACGTCATCAGGTCCACGCGCAGTGCACTGAAGGCAGTTCAATTGTGTTATCCACTGAAATCCATTTTCCACCTTCTTGAATGAAAACAGCTGTGTTTTAAGTGGCAGACTGAAGTTTGCAATATATCTATTCGAACCGTTCATTTGAGGAGATCTCTTTTTTCAAATAGCTCTCTGTCTCCTGTACGCGTGTACGCGTTCGTGGAATAAGCGGTTCACTCTGCACTTCTGCAATAAAACGGAACAGGCAACAGTCGGCGCTTTGTTTCGCGTCTCCCGTCTACAGGGTACTAAATGAATTACCTATTCTCTTTGTATGCATTCTGTCATCTTTTGCATTATATATACTCTCTCTCGTGGATATTTCCCTCAAAACTCAATTGCATTTGCCTCGGGTTAGCGTACGAGAACCTCGAACGAAACAATATTGGCAACCCGCAAATCAACGAAATAAACAATACTAGTACACAACATTTCAAAAGTCAATTACGACTACCAAACTTGACATCTGGTCTTTGCCACCAGATCGACCTCAGCGATCGGAGAGACCTTAGCTCTAACATCAAATAAAATGACGAGTGAATTGCTACCTAGAATTAATATACATCAAATATAGAACCGCAGTGCATGCCACGTTTTCATTGATTCGAATAATGGCACGGTTCAGAATATACACGTGCACCTGACGTTCGTCTAAGATTTATCAGATATATAATATTTACGAAATATTTAATTATGGGGCTAGTCCACCTCTACATCTTCTAAGTAGCTGTCTAGGTTTAATTTAAGCCCTTAGCATCACTGACGAGTCCCAGAAGGACGAAACAGCTGTATGTTTAAATCTGTAGGAAAGGGTGTTATTCCCTTGGATGTCTTTTGTACAATCTTCAACAATCTCTATCTTACAATTATAGATAGTGCCTATACTACATTCTACCATTGAGTCTGGCGACAAGACACATCATCACCTCGCGCCTAACGAAGGGTTTCGCATACACGCCAATACGGTAATTGGACATATATCACTTAGGCGGTATAGTTGTCAGTATACAGTGGGTCTAATGACCAGCAAAATCTCTGTTTCATCTGTTTGTGCTTGTAGCTTCATTATAACACATTCACAAAACGTGAAATCACTGCAGCTAAGATGACGTATTACATTCAAATCGCTCTCATGCATTTTCAAAGAAAGTAAACCTCTCCTGGAACTAATTCTTGTTAATCCTGTGTACATTTTTGTAATCCATTAGATACTGCTAGCCTATATTAGGATTTTGCAGAGAAATTATACAATTAAGGATACTTAATCAGATAAAAAAATAAAATGCGTGAAAACGTTATCACCACGAATTGCTGTTGTTTCAAAATGCCATAGAGCCGACAAACAAAAAGCAGGCCAGTTCAGTATATAAATCACGTGACTAGTGATCATTTACTTTATCGCAGACTTAACAAAGATAAATGAACTAATTACATGGATTGGATTACTACGGTTAATTGACGTCTCGAGCTCTAGCTGTGGAAATATCCATACCAATACAGTCTAATTCATCATCTTTTAGCACTATAGTTAATTTACAACAAACAGTATTTCGTAATCATCAGCCTTATAACAAGGATGAATAGACCATTTTCTTGTTAAGACAACGTTTTCGACCAGTAGAACCATGTGCAATCAATATTTCCCTTGTGTTCTCAGTATTGCCCGTGTAGATACAATCAAGGTACCCCGTCCCTATTTCCCACATACCCCCTTGTACCTATAATGGACACAAAGTTGGACCCGAAGCCCTATGCTCTGTCTCAATATATACTTCCTTGTCACTTTGTCTCCACGGACACAATGAAGGTTTTTTCCTGATGTCCCCTGTCCCGTTTCCCTATATGTTCCATTGTCCCTTGGAACACAATCAGGGTTCGCCCCGATGTCCCTTGTCCCTATGGACACTAAGAGCAGCAGGATGTTTATTGAAAACCTGACCGCGTGGTATTATAGAGAGCGCGAGCACTGACTAGAAGGAAATTCTCGCGCTGCGTGGAGCAAATTGTCTGGCCATATCTGCGGTAACAATAATAGTTGATCGCTTTTACACTTTATACGGACAATGAACAATACCGGGAATAGGACGGAAAGTCCTGTGACTGTAGACAAGGCCACTAGAGGTTTGATCGCAGTTCCTATCTATCCCTGAACCCATACTATGGTTCTGTAGCTACATAGATCGTATTCACTGATGTTACCCAGCACTTAAAACATGTGGTTTATTTCAGATGGCGTGTCGAAAAATAGATCATTCCCCTAGGAAAAACAACTACCAATGTAGATTCCTGTTGAAATGAGTTGATTCGACGCATTCCTGAACATTAAACGTGTATCACTATGGGAGAGCATATTTTGTAAACACACACATTGTATCGGAGATTGCATTGCTTGTTTAACACTTGTATTCCATTTGTTTAATCTTGAAATCGGTTGTAGCTGTGACTAATGGATCACATATAGCCATTGTGACTAATAAAATGAGAGTTCGATGCTAAATTAAACTTATGCGGAGCTCCAGACGCGAATCCATTAGCGTCCCCTGGAATTCCACAGATGCATACAATATAATGTAAAGTCACAGTGAGCTAAAAAAAAAAAAAAAAAGGAGTACACAAAATATCTTTATAAACAGAACAGAAAAATACTTCGCTCCTGTACGTGTGTGGATATATTGATTAAGTTCCATCTGTATCGGTTTCGAAGACAAACGCTGGCCACTAGCTTCAGCACCAACGCTGTTTAAAGCCTCTCTTTACGCGGGTCATGTGATTTGGCGTACACACATAGTGCAAAGAGTGTGTGCATAATAAAACGGAATTTATGTTCTAGAGCGAGGTACAGAAGTGCATTCAGTGAGATAACAGACATGCTTGTGTATACTTACATACGTCCTTATACTGGTCAGTAGTGCTGGACTCTAAACGTCCGAAATTTAAGAGAAACACCAAAAACCCAGGTAGAACCATCTCGTGCATCCTGCCGCTTGGTAACGTTCAAGGGACGTAACTTGTGTGTGTAACATGTAGTAAAATCTCTGTGGAATGAAAGAGGAGACGTCCTATGAAGTTTTAAAGCACATCTTGAATCATATTTATTTTTGAGTTTTTAAGCTTGTACAAACTTTCCCTTAAGTACAAATAAGTTCCGACGGACAGACGTATCCAACTGCTTTAGCAGAAGTCTAAATGGACCGTCCTCCCTGGTGCATCAGCAGGTCGTGAAGTGGTTGCGTGTGTCTCGATTGTAACAGTGCTAATTATGTGGTTGCTATAGATAATTTCAAAGCCATTGCTATATCGTAATCATAGGAACTATTAAGTAACCCAGTCTTAATTGAATGTATACTAAAAACAATTAATTATCGAGGGGCTATTATTTTCCTTGGTTTTGTTGTTACTATTACAATGTATATCACGAATTTAGATATCCACGAGTTGCTGACAATGTTTTATATGAATTATGAGGTACCTTAGGGAAGACCAAGATGTTGATGGTTCAGGAACCTGATTTTGATCAGTGTTATGTTGAGGTGTGGGAACATTTCCATTCTTTTCTTTTCTTCCCTCTGCTTTTGCTTTTGAAAACTTAATCTTAACAAATATATCGGTAAAAATTTCGAACTGTGAAATGGTCGCCGTCGGCCATTTAGTTTTTCTTATCTGCTTAAAATTGAAAGAGTACAACTCGGGAGGAAAAGTAACCTACGTACAATGTGAAAAAATGGCTGAGACTCCTTTAATGTGAAAAAAACACGACTGCCACCTGTCGGTCACTTTTTTATAAGTCCCCAAATTAAGGGGGAGCAAGTTGGGAACAAGGGTAACCAACATATGAAATATGAGGAAAATCCATTCTACACTTATCAAGAAATAGTGATAACAAATGTTAAAAATCAAAATCCAAGATAGCCACCTGTCAGTCATTCTGTTTTTACAATCAATTCCAGAATTAAAACGACAAACGGATGGAAGACAGACTAAGATGTATTTGTAACACTGATGATGATGATGATGATGATGATGATGATGATGATGATGATGATGGGCTGTACATTCAGTTTCACACATCAACGTGATCAACGCATTTCACCAGAACTGTTAAGAATTTTGACTCGGAAAGATGTTGGTTAGAATAACGATTTTTTGCTTTCGAAAACAAGAGTCGAAAGAGAAATTGCAGCTGAAATTTAAGATCCATCTGGTCATTCTCAGAACAAAGTGTTAAATTTTGACAAAATCCAAGATGGCTTCCTGTTATGCATTTCTTTTTTCTATCAATCCTGAAATTGGCAATGTACATAAGGCACTAATGGGAAGCCTACATATAATGTTTGAGAATGATCCATCCAGTACTTCACTAGAAAAACCGATAGCAAAAAACGTTCGTCAAAAAAATGGCCTTCTGTCGGCCATCTTGTTTTCCCAATTAGACCCGAAGTAGACAATTTGCAATTAATGAGTAAGGCAAACCTACATGTGAAATATGAGAATGATCCGTTACACACTGCCCCATAGAAAGCCATAACAACATATTGCCATTCATATCCAATGGGGATGGTTTTTATTTCCGATCATTACCAAAACCATAAATAAACTAACATAACTAATGACTAACAGGAGCCTATATATGAAATAGCAATGAGTAATAAGACGGATTGATTACGGACGGGCAGGCGGACATATGGACGGAAGACAGACTAAGAGATATTTGTAGCAATGATGATGATGGGCTATAAATTCTGTTTCAATTATCATCAACGTGATCAACGCTTTTCATTAGGGTTGTTAGGATTTCACTTAATTTCCATTTGCCTTTGGCATTTTGACTCGGAAAGATGTTGATTAAAATAACGAATGTTCTTATTTTTTTCTTCCGAAAAGTACACTTGAACCGCCAATTCTACAAATGTCTTACGAACTTTAGTTTTGCAGTAGGTCAACATTTTTTTTCAAAGGATGTAATGAGAGAAAACAAAATCGAATTGGTGTCCTTGATTGTCAGAACCGTTACACGTACATCAATATAAATGATCTGGCGACCAAGTCAGTCGATATCTGTAGAAAATCGATGTCTTTGGATTAAGAGAAGGAGTTCCAATTGTTTCATGGCTTCAGGCGATTCCTACCAATCGAGAAACAAAGTGCTCTCTTGTTATTTTGGTAAATCGTTCATCATTAGACAGTCTGTTACAGTGTCATCACGACATAAATATACACTTTCTTCTGTTAACAATAGCGGTTTTCTTGCATTTCCACATTTTCAAACACCAAAATCGACTCTATGGCATTAAGTTTGGTGCGCTATCCAGTTCTTCTACACAAGTATTCCACCTCACAAATGACATATACTGGTTTCCCTCCTCTGCTCTTAATACTTACATAAATCCAAGTCTTAACTGTGGTTCATATTTTCAATTCGTAAACGCTCAAAAAGTAACATAGCTATGAAACAAAACTATACCATGCCATACATTTCCATAAAATCATTCTTCGACATCAAAGAGCTATTTTGTCATAAAAGCTCATCTGAGCTAGTGGTTCACGTTTTCTTATACACGATAAATAGAAACTGACTGTTTATCGCGCATCTTCTTATTCTGCTTTTAAAATTAGACCTGAGATCAATTAATGGAATTAAATTTAATCAGTTATTATGCCATATGAAGTGCACTTCGTGAAAACCATTCATAATAATTCTTTAACATTTTGTGTTCAGTGTTCCAACATGCCATATCTTTTCATCAAAATTACGAGTTCAAGAGAAAAACTTAATCGTTTGTGTAGAGTTTGTTTCTGCGGTATTTTCACTTGATAATACCATAAGCATATATATGTATCGAAATGTTGTCACTCTTCGAATGAACAAAGAGGAATAAGTACGCTTTACAAAGGAATGTCGTGTAGGGTTCGAGACGTGTGTCTATTGGCTACCAGATGGCTCACTATCAAATGTATCAAGGCAGTCGGTTACTTTTATATATAGATAATTTAGAAGTTACTAAATGCTCGAATGAAAGTTCAATGATATTACGGAAATCAAATATTAAGAGAAATTGGTCAGTATCCTGTCCTAATCCTTGACCTTCTGGTTAACAAGGTCAGATCAGCTGACATCAGAGAAACTGACCTGTATCCTGTCCTGATCCTTGACCTCCCTGTAAACCAGGTCAGGACAGCTAAAATCAGAGAAACTGGTCAGTATTCTGTCCTAATCCTTGGCCTCCCTGTAAACCAGGTCAGGACAGCTGACATCAGAGAAACTGGTCAGTATTCTGTCCTAATCCTTGACCTTCTGGTTAACAAGGTCAGATCAGCTGACATCAGAGAATCTGGCCAGTGTCCTGTCTGGTTCCTTGACCTTTTGGTTAACCAGGTCAGGACAGCTGACATCAGAGAAACTGGTCAGTATTCTGTCCTGATTCTTGACCTTCTGGTTAACTGGGTCAGATCAGCTGACATCAGAGAAACTGGCCAGTATCCTGTCTGGATCCTTGACCTTTTGGTTAACCAGTTCAGGTCAGCTGACATCAGAGAAACTGGCCAGTGTCCTATCTGGATCCTTGACCTTTTGGTAAACAAGGTCAGGTGGGCTAACATCAGAGAAACTGGCCAGTGTCCTGTCTGGATCCTTGACATTTTGGTAAACAAGGTCAGGTGGGCTAAAATCAGAGAAACTGGCCAGTATCCTGTCTGGATCCTTGACATTTTGGTTAACCAGGTCAAATCAGTTGACATCAGAGAAACTGGCCAGTATCCTGTTTGGATCCTTGACCTTCTGGTAAACAAGGTCAGGACAGCTGACGTCAGAGAGACTGGCCAGTATCCTGTCTGGATCCTTGACCTTCTGGTAAACAAGGTCAGGACAGCTGACGTCAGAGAGACTGGCCAGTATCCTGTCTGGATCCTTGACCTTCTGGTAAACAAGGTCAGGACAGACATCAGAGAGACTGGCCAGTATCCTGTCTGGATCCTTGACCTTTTGGTAAACCAGGTCAGATCAGCTGACATCAGAGAAACTGGCCAGTGTCCTGTCTGGATACTTGACCTTTTGGTAAACAAGGTTAGGTCAGCTAACAACAGAGAAACTGGCAAGTGTCCTGTCTGCATCCTTGACCTTTTGGTTAACCAGGTCAGGACAGCTGACATCAGAGAAACTGGCCAGTGTTCTGTCTGGATCCTTGACCTTCTGGTAAACAAGGTCAGGTCAGCTAACATCAGAGTAACATATCTTATAACAAAAGACATCAGTAAAGACATTGACAATGTTTACATATATTTATTTTGCATAATATTGTATATACACAATATCATACAAATATTTACAATTTATTTACAATAAATAAATATAAATTTGGTAAAAATACAGACTGTTCACATATTTTTTAGATGAATATACAAACAATATCATAATGGACTACGTTATGAGGTGTAATATTGATCATCCACAGCTTGTCTCAGATCTTTTATTCCAATGAAATTCAATAATTGCTGTGCTTGTATTTACTTCAGATAAGAAGAGTATACATCTGTATATCTTATATAGGTAAAAGTAAGGAAATACTTTTAAGCCATTTAATTCTGATTAATCAAATTCACAGGAGAGTGTTCACCATTACACAAAATAAATTCTGGTCAAGATTTAAAATATCAGCATAAAACAAGATATAAAATTTGGGGTATTTACGGAATGATGTATGGAAGTCTAGTTATAATAAAGAATTAAGAGGATGTGCCTTTAATTCTGAAGAATTCTTTACAAAACTATACAGTATACATATGTAAGCTTGTAATCACATCATTCAGCAATAAACATATAATTTCTAACAGATAAAATCCTTTTTTTCTACCTTCCAGCAATATAATAGTAATAAACAGGACATTAAAAAATTCTGGGATGTAGCATTATCTTGTGTATTTTTTCCTGTTTTGTACATATTTACATCTTCCTAAAACTAGCACTACAAAATAATACCTAGATATTAATTCAGAATATGTTTACAAGTGACATCTTTCAAAACTCACAAAACCTGAATGTAAATTTTGGTAAGATTATACCTATTTCATTCATAAAATAGCATGTTTGTGTCTCATATTTCCAAACCCATGTAGCTATATGTAATACTTCATACCAGAAAATACCACCCAAACTTTTAGGTAAAATCTATTCCCAGTGCTTATTATGCCCTTCATATAAACTTGCTATATAACAGAATATTGAATACTGTGTTTAAAAGGATTTGACCACTATACTTTTGGAGTAAAATGTTAATGAAATTTCCTACACAGTTAAACAAAATACAAGTTTGTCAAGTGCCATTCAAACATACCCCAGTTATTTGCATAGGTAATGGAAAGCACTTGTGACACATGGATTTGTTGTGAGGGTAAAACTTTACTGCTTAAAAGAAAAAATGCATTGCAGAATCACACATTACATGTACTTAGAGATCAGAAAATTAGAATATTACTGACCTTGGACATGCTGAAATCATCAGTGTACATGAAATATGACATGTAATATCATAATTCAAAATTTTTTTTACAGTGTTTAAGACTGGCATCATGTGTAACAGTTACTACAACCTCATCTTATATAAACTTTATCATAGTAGTAATTTTGAAAAGATTAAGATGCTGTCTTTCGAAAATAATTTTATTTTTCTTAATACATCAAAACTGATGGGCATACTAACAAGATCACACTTTCATGACAAAAATACTAAAACTTCCGAAATCAACGTGGAATTTTTACAAATGAATTGTTAGCATTTTACAGGGCTTTTTACAAAATGTAATACAGACACCCAACCAAAGAAGCAACAGGGCTATACATGTGCATGAAATGCTGAAAGGTTCTATAATATTGCTCCCTAGTGTGATGTAGGCATAAGTTGGACGGAACTTCAAAATCTAGATTGTAGCCTTGCGTAAAAAATCAATATTAAACAGAGTTCTGAATACAATATGATTATCCTTGGAAAATAAAGAGTTGCTTTCCCTAATAAACACATATTGTTAAGAAGAGACAAAAATTATCAGTCATAATAGTATAATTAAAATATTACTTGATCGGTGGAAAATTTCACCTAACGAATATAACAAGAAAAATAGTCTTTCGAAAATAACTTAAAACTTACTGACTATTCAATGAAGTATCTATCCTTTGTGAGAACTCAAGTTTGTTTGGGAATGTCATTTATACATTATAATAGACAGAAAACTCTAACATGGAAAAAAAATTCAGGGTACTTTGGATGGTGCTTATATTTACTGAGACAGAGTAAAATTGTATATAACAACCCCCACTAGAGATGTTATTCACAAATAAAGCTCATTAATGAATTGATGGAAAAAATAGATTCCAACCAGTAACAAGAAAACAGGGGTAGTCAGGTTGTAAAAACATTCAGCTAAACAAATGTGTTTACATTCCCTTACATCCTCCCAAAATACTGTGTGACAACCTGCTCCTACCCTAATGGTGTAGCCTTTTGTTCTCAATGTATCAATGTGTATCACAGATGAAGTTTATATGGAGATGGGTGGACGATCCATAGACGATGGTCAGTCAGTGGGACGAATTTGTAGTGTAATTTTCTGTTGATTGTCCAAGCACTCTCTAAGTTTGTTCTCAGTCATTGTTAGCCTCTGTTCCAGCAATGACACAGTCTGTTAAAAACAGAGAAAGAGAGGAAAATTAATTAACATCACATCATTGCATGAATTAACAATCAGACAAATGATGGGTCACTGTGCTAGTTTATTTATCAATAACTGACCTTCTTCTGCCTTAGGGATATCTATTTATGTCAAAAAAGTGACAATCTTTGTAATTTAGAAGATTGATCCTAAAGCACACCAGTTAATGGATATTCTTTTTCTATAGCAACAGCCATATTTCTGTGTTAAAACCTTCACTAATCTTAATAAAGTGATCACCGTGTGTTTTATAATACTATTGTAATGTGTGAGCATGGCCCTATCTATGTTAGATGCCAGGTATCTGTATTAAGAAAAACACTCCTACCTGTGTTAGATATTTATAGGAAGGTACACGCAAACAGCCTTACTTGAATAAGATATATGTATTAAGACATACACAAAGAGACCTACCTGTATCTGATATCTGGATTGTATAATGACATTAACAAACAGTCCTACCTGTGTAAGATTTCTGTATAATGACATTAACAAACAGTCCTACCTGTGTAAGATAGAACATCTAACTGGCCCACAATCTGCTCCAGTGTGTTGGCTAACTGTGGTGGGATAGATTTTGGCTCCAGTGGCTGGGTAGTAGATGGAGGCTCTTCGCTCCTGAAATTACTGGATGGCATCTGAAGATCTCTCATAGCGCTGTCGATAGAGGTCATATTATACTCCTGGAATCGTTCACCATTCACTGCTGATCGCTGCAATAATACAGATATGTTCATCACCAAAGATATGATATACAATGTAACTTGGGGACTATGAACAGCTGTATAAATTGGATCATATTCTCATATGTAAACCTGTGGGGAAATAATATTAAATATGGACAAACTGATCTGACATTAAAAATGAAATGACCTGTGTAGATACAGGTATATTTTCAAAAACCTGCACTATCACTTTTTTTCTATCAAAGGTATGAGTAAGTATGAGATAATGAATAGATCTGTAGAATGTAGTTCCAAATACCAGAAATGGCTTGAGATAAATTGTAATATGTTACTACAGAGTATAATATTTCAATAGTGACATTTGTGTCGTTGACCTACAATCACCAACAGATTAAGTACTGATCATCACCTGTCCTGAGGAGAACATGGCTGGACCAACCTCTGTTACTTCTGGCTCCTCGTCATCCATCTTCTTAAGATCTGTACGGGCATCCAACTTTTAAAGACAAACCGCAAATCATGATACACCAAATGTAAGGCAGCAAAGAACTTCAAGCTGTCTTAAAGTATGAGTTATCCCATTCAAGATCTATCCTCATCTAATATGTGATGAGCGGCCAAGAGGCACCAATTTTGTGGATGCCTCTGTATATGACAAGGGATTATCAAATAAAACTATCATAAACATGAAATCAAAATGAAAATATGGAACATTTTTTTTAGTCTAAAAGTAACCACATGTACAAAATACAAAACAGCCTATCTGATGACATCCTCAAAATTCCAAGAGCTACAATCATCTTTGATAAAGTTGGGCTATTATGATGGAAAAACAAACCTCATTATGTAGATTTGATATATGTAATAAATTTGTTTCACAGAGAACATTTCATTTTATAACTTCCATATACAACACTAATTATGTATATACATACAGTGTATTTTTATATCCTGTCATCCTTCAAGTACACATCTATGGTGGTACTATGATAAATAACACATGTAAGGATCAGACACAAGTTAATTGTACTTGTTGCAGTTTATGTAGCCTGGATTGTACATAACCAATAGCTCAGGGTCACAACTTATCTGATAGCTGTTTGAGGTTCTTGCGGTTTCTCTACCCTGGGTTGTATATCGCTATCAGTTTGGGGACGCAACTTACCCAAGTGGTTGTTTGAGGGCATTGTGGTTTCTGTACCCTGGGTGGTATATCTCCAATGGTTGGGGGGTGGGGGGCACAACTTACACAAGTGGTTGTTTGAGGACACTGTGGTTTCTGTACCCTGGGTGGTATATCTCCAACAGTTGGGGGGTGGGGGGGGCACAACTTACCCGAGTGGTTGTTTGAGGGCGTTGTGGTTTCTGTACCCTGGGTGGTATATCTCCAACAGTTGGGGGAGCAGCAGATTTCTCACGCTGTTTGTGAGACTGAAGCACCTCACTGAAGTCTAACTGATCAAAGTTGGTTTTCCATACCAATACCTGTCATCATAACAAATAACCTAGTATAAAGCAGGGTGATAAAATTCACTCTGAAGAAAATTTACTCAACTGTGGAAAATCTATATTCCTCTGAGCAAAATATACATAACAGTATTCCAGCAGACATGTACACAACATTCAAAATTCTTTTAAAAATTACACATTATCATAGTGTAGCAAAGCCTCCTGAAGCACATCTGAAGATATAAACTTCTACTCACAAAGGATGACATTTAAGATAAATCCAACAATGTTTATTAAAAGGTTTCATTTAATCTGATTTTAATTTCATTCACTATCTCAAAATATATTTGTTACAGCAAAATGTAATTTGTGTTCATAATCTGCATTTTGAATCAGGGTTATGAAATACTGCTCTCGCACAACTTTTTTGAACTTACTACTAAACAGCTTGCCATTCTGTTTCTGTAATGGCACAAAAATCAGGCTGTTTAAGTACACCATTAGTTAAAACCATACCTGCTCGTCTGAGCCGCCGGAAGCAAAGTATTCCCCAGACCGGGAGAAAGATACAGCAGTTGATGGACCCTTTAACACAAAACCAACATATGTTAATCATCCTGTCTTGTTATACTGCTATATCTTGACAAAATCTACACCTATGTAAGCTATCTTAAATAGCTATCAGATAGATTATATGCCTGGCTCAGGATCATATATATTGTGGACACATATTGTACATCAAAATCAAATTTGTTCCCTTCTATGAGGACATTATACTTTACGTACAAATCTAACAGTCATGTGACACATGGTCCTGTATTTTAGGTTACATGATTTACAAACATTCCTGTAGTCAAAGGACTGTCACAGAGCTATACCTACCTGGTGTCCATGAAGTGTGTAGAAGAGACGACCCTCCAGCAGGTCAAAAATCTTCAGAGTTGAATCATCTGATCCAGAAATCAGGTAGTTTCCACTCGAGTGGAATGACAAACTGTTCACAGATGATGAGTGAGCTAAAAATTAAACAAATTAATTAAAAGTATGTTTGGCAGTCAACTTTTTTATACATCATCAGACAATACACTATCAAACTGCTAGCTTTGAGAATATTTACGTTTAATTATATCTCTCTTTTTAGCATTTTCCCTTATTAACAACCATATGATTGCTTACCTGTGTAGTGCTGTAGTAACTTGTTCATCCTGATGTCCCACACTTTGACTGTGCTATCTGTACCAGCTGATGCTATACATGTACCACTGGGATGGAATTCTACGTAGTTCACAAACCTGCATAAGAAACAAACACAAAAGTCATCATTTCCTGCCTAATTATAGAATAGCATTAATGTTGAATAGTACTGGTGCTTGGCCTTAGAAATTATCATTGGAGTCATTGTTTGCTATAAATATATCAGAATTTATGTGTAAAGATGAGTAAACTGCAGATAAACATCAAAGCTGCACACACAATATGTAAAATAATGTCATTTGCAGTACATCTTGCAGTTTCTGTGTCACACTATAAAGAGTTTGGAAATAATAAAAGTTATGCTTAAATGGATCAAATCAATAATGGCCTTGACCTTTGACCTAAAAAGCAATCCAAAGCAAGTACCTCTGTTAAGGTTATTGTAAGAAAACAAATTTTCAATTTATCGTTAAATTGATCGTTGACCTTCAAACCCCAAGGAAAAAAATCTGCACAATGCATGAAGTTTGAGTGTAATTGTCCAAAGCAAACTCAAGTGATCGCATGAAAATTGATCTCCTATATATCGTAAGAGTGCCCTTGACCTTTGACCTTCAAACCTCAAAATCAATCCCAAGGAAGCACTTTTGGTAAGGACTTTATGAAGTTTTGATGTTGATCAGCCAAAGGGAACTGAAGTTATCACAAAAAACACAATTTCCTACTTATAGTAACTTTGACTTTTAGACCTGAAACATAATCCCAAGCACTTTTGGTATGGAAGCACTGTATGAAATTTTAGTTTGATCAGCGAAAATGAACTCAAATTTTACACAAAAAAAAAGACTTTGAGGGGACACGAACGTCGCCGACACAGTAATACCTGGCAGGCAGGCGACACAAAAAGCCAAATGTCAAGGACTTTCTTTAAAACTTACCCTCCATGTTCAAAGAAGGTATGCACACATTCTTTACTATTTTTGTCCCAAAGTTTCACTGTCTTATCATCGCTGCCTGATACAATTAGTCTGCCATCTGGGGAAAACCTGTATTAAGATGAAATACAATCCTTATGACACCAACCTTTAATCAGAGATAAGTCAATTCATTTCTACTTTACTGTCTAGAAATATTGACATTTTGTATTCTATAACAATGAAGAACTACCAGGGCATACTTCTGGTTTCTTTGAGAATTTAATTAGTTTCTTTCTATCAGAGGAAAAAGTATGTCAATTTTTTTCTTAATAGTTTAACATACATGAAATATAACAGCAAATAGTTAACAAAAACTGCAACTTTTGACAAAAAAAAAAGACTGGGAAAAAAAGACACAGGCACCTACAAACAGATTTGTCCCTCTACCTCACTATACCAAATACAAAATAAATAAATGTTACAAGGAACGCTATGCTGTGATCTCAAAATGAATTCTTTACTTTCAAGGAAATAAAGAAAATCCTACAAATCTCCACCACTTAAGAAGTATAATTTATTTAGAACAAAAGTTTTTATCTTTTGTATTTTGAAGTCAAATGTAAAATTGAAGGATTTTTCCTGGTGTCTAAATTTGATTAAAATCATTTACATAACAATATCACACAGACTTTATCAAACACTTGTGTTACTTTACCTGGCACAACGAACCCAGTTCATGTGTTGGTTTAATGAGAACATAAACTTTTGTCTGTGTACTGTCCAAACCTAGAGAAAATAACAACGTACTGAAAGTTTTAGTCTCAAGATTTCATTAAAGTCTTCTGTAAAAGGCACAAATAAAATATGTTACAAGGAATAACGTAGAAATTCTGACGATACAGTTTTTCACTATTTGGCAAACTTTATGAGAGACTTTACATGAAAAAAAATCATCTTTGATGGTAATTTTTCTTCGGTTAGATAAAATTTATTCCTAACCACCCAAAATAATATTCTTACACTTAACTACTCTATTAAAAGGAAGTTAAGACTGCTTGCAGAATAATGTGTGTATCAATTGTTACCTTAACAGTTTTGTCATCTGAAGCTGTAAGTAGATATTGTCCATCACTGGAGAAGTCAACACTCCTCACAGTAGCAGTGTGGGCCTTAAATACTGTAGACTCTCCTTTCCTGTAACACATCAATACTGTTTCGTTATGATACATCAATGGTGTAATCTGCTATTAGCTTAAAACATAGGTTAGTTGACATTTTCTTATAATATAAATGTTTGGCTGAATAGCACAGTAAAATAGCTCAATTGTATAAATTCCTAGAGGTATAGAGGTGACACAAAAAAACAAGAACATTGAAGTCAGCATATCATGGAGCAGGCATCAGATTGTGATCAACCATGATGATATAAAACTAGGAAAGACCAAGGGACATAACTCTTATGATTCATTGTAGCTGAAAATCATGATCTTAAACAGAATTATTTGGTATCAAAGACAACTAAGTCTTCCTGTTGGATTTTTACTTTGATTGAAACAATCTCAGATATTCTGCTTAATACCAGGAAATAAATGTCAAACATTATATAGAGGCAGAGATTAGTACAAATCATGATTAACTACTATCCAAGAGTCATTTGCATTAATTCACATTTATTTCAGGTTTAAAGTCTAACAATGTGAAAATAACAATACTAACACACTTGGGATCCAGAGTCTAACTGTCTTGTCTCTTGAGCCAGATGCCACAAGGTGTCCAGATGGAGAAAACTTCACATCCATTACTGCATCCTACAGTGAAAAATAATAGTGTAGAAAATTTTACATTATAATGAAATGACAAACAATTGTAAATTTTGAACTTTTATAATCCAATCATTTCAACAAATATTAATAATTTAAGTTAACAGCTAATTCTATAAATATTAAAGAGAACAGAATTTGCTATAGAAGCAGCTTTTACCTTGTGTCCAACAAATCTGTAAGCCCTCATTTGTGGCTTGAAGTTCCAAACCATCAGACAAGAATCCATTGATCCTGAGGCTAAAATACAAAGGTATATGGTTATCTTTAATGTACCTTCATCAAAATAAGAAAGTGCTAAAGCATAACATACTTGAAACATCATTTTTGATCATTTTTAAATCCAGACGCAGGCACATTTTAGATACACCATGTCACATCAATGTATCCATATATGTATCCTATATAAACTAATATCATAAGATTTTCAAGAATAGTATGTGACAATTCTCAAAATATTGGTGCATATTGTTTTTGTGCTGTCTGTTTGTTTGTCTGTTGTCAACTTTAACCTTGTCCATAACTATTGCACTATAACAGGTAGGGCTTTCATAATTGATCATGACCTTTGACCTACATTTGAAAAATTTTAACAATGGCCATAATTATTGCATTGCAAGAGGTAGGGCTTTCATATTTTGAATGTTCCTTGGGACAAGACCTTTCCGGAGGTGCTAAAATCTTTCACCATGGGACCTTGACTATGACCTTTGACTTTCATTTGAAAATATTTAACATTGGATATAACTATTGCATCATAAGAGGTATGGCTTCATATTTGTCATGAGTGTTCATTGTGACAAGACCTTTCTGATGGCATCAAAATGTGACCTTTACCATAACCTTTAACCTACATTGGTAAGTAAAAAAAATGATTCCCGCAATGAAGACTGAAGTGTTTCACAAAGTGTGCATGCAATAAGCACACACCTGACACAGTACAGTTTTAATGTCCTACTTCAGAATTTTGTTGCAAACTCGGGCATAGTGTTTCATAAACTCATCTTGTTTTCAATACCAATATCAGTGAAAAAATTGGTGAGGTGAGGATCATAAATTAAATGTCTGTCAAGAGTCAACTTTTCAAATAGGAAAAGAGGATGAAAGTACACTCTGTATGTTAATATAATTCCCTCTTGGACTTTTATGTAATGCACTAATTTCATTATATTTGGTATCCACAGTAACAGATGCAATACTTGAGTAATATGAAAATGACAGAAACAAATTGCATCGGAAGGGCAATTCAAGCAAATATGCTTTAATACTGCATCCCTGAATACCCTGATGTTAAGGGTGAAAAATATAGGGAGTTGCTGAAAATTAGGGCAAACATTTCACATAGAGACAACTCCGGGAAATAATATATACATAATAATTAATATGCCATATAAATGTTTTCATTGTCATATGTCAGCATGCAAGTAGCAACCAGACATTACGAAAAGTATTTATAAATCAGGGTCAAGTCAGTCTATGATAGCACGATAAACAAAATTAAATGCCTACTCACCAAGCTGCTTCATGTTTGGATTGAAGTCCACACTGGTAATAGTGTCCCTGTGGCCCTTAAAGTGGCGCTCCAGGGACGGATCCTCCTAGAACACAAAACAAAAATCTGTTAATTAGATAAGGACAAAACCATAATAACTATATAATCACCATGCAAGTTTAATTTTCTATCAAGGCAGATTATCAGTTGCCATTGCTACTGATGGGATTTGGCATAACCAATTCCTATCATATATCATCATTTTATAGCTTTCTGTACTAAAAGATACGACAGAGGGTCTAATAAAGTTAATATTCAAACTCCCAATTGAAAATTAAACCCTGCATGTTCTGCAGATGTTTCTATCCAACCAGTTATTTAATTTGTTGTATCCAAAGAGTAGATAATCTTGCAGTCTATACTTAAATACAGTTGCCAGAGTAAATGCTACAAAAGAAGAACAATATTGTAGAATTATTTGGCTATAAAACACATAGAACGCAGAGTTTTCTGTTATTATAAAATCCAGTACAATTTATTTATTGTTGTATATATATTTAGAAAAAAACAACTGAATATCATTTAAGGTAATTATCTCAAGTCTTATTTCATTTGGCCATATTTGTTCTCTACCTAGAGTGTCTCGTTTTGTTTAAAAAATCGACATACAAAGCGAAGAGTCGAATATGAAACTGTAAACATGCGTGCTTGACTGCATTTGTTTTGAGGATTATTTTGCATGCATGGAATTCGAACACCATTTAAAAACTCATAATATAAGCATGTTTACGTTTAAGCACGACTCATTTTCATCTTATGTAATTAATTATGATATGTGTTCTACAAACCAAAACATTCGTCATCTTGATTTCTTCAGGACAGCACAGCAAATGTGAACCTGTCTAATCATGTATCAGATTTTCGAAGATGGCGGGCTGTTTACCGAAGGGAGGTAACTACTATTTTAGCGTTAAGGACCTCTCTAAATGTAGAAACGAAGTGCGGATATAAATTTACGTAACATATATTCAAGGCTACGTAAAAACTTTCCAGGATGCAATATTTTCATTTCTATAAAGGCGGTTTAACTTATGAAAAACTTCTTTAATTTGACGACCAAATCCTCACCTTATTAAATTTAAGGTCTTTCTTCTCCCAAGGAAATGTCTTATAGGCCACAGCCCACACAACGTATTATATTGAAACGCTATATAGCGAATCTATCAGAGTTCACAGGACTGGCTTTGTTTATCAATATAAGTATTTTTCTCCAACAGAACATAACTCTTTTTTCCCCAAATAAACTGTAGTGTAATTTTCAAATTGATTGTGAATAATTTCTGTTAACTTTCGAAATTTATAAACAGAATGCATTGATATTTTAGCTATTGACAACAAAATTACCGTTCTATATCATTGAAGACCTCTTTTAGCCAAAGTTTGGTGAAAATCATCTGTAAATAGATAACAGTAAAAAGCAATTTTCCGATTGGCTCGTGTCAGTTTTATAATACGTTACTTTGATTTATGATATTATGTTTTTGCTAAAAAAAAAAAAAAAAAAATAGAAAGAAAGAAATTCGTTTCACACTGGCAGATAGAATGGCTCTGGACTGGTCAGCATAGAAGTGATTGGGGCATAGGTTGATAAGGTAAGAAAACAAATATTTTTGAACTGAATTGTAACACTCTGATTTTTATAATAACCATTGAATGTGGTTATTTTTTGTTTGTGATTTTGAGCATGGATATTTATGCTATCATGGATTCAAATTCGAAAGAAGTCCGACATGTTATGTTATGTATACCTCTCGACAGGTTGGTTTTATTAGCTGCATTGAATTTTAAGTGAAACTGTGTACCATGTATGCAAATGGGTGTATACCCGCACAGACGACTATATGGAACCTATATAATAAATGCACAAAAGGGAGGATGTTGCTGCTCTCAGCTGCAAAGTTCTTGGATCGAATGCTCCTGTTGGGTTTTATTTTTATTTTTTCTTATTGAAGGTGTTTTTCTATTTTGTTTCGAAAGGAAACATTTAAATATGAAACAATTAAATCGTTGGTTGTTTGAGATATGAAATGAAGTGTAAATATCAATCTAATAATTCTTACATCGTCTCCAATCACAAAAAAAAACTCTCTCTCTCTCTCTCTCTCTCTCTCTCTCTCTCTCTCTCTCTCTCTCTCTCTCTCTCTCTCTCTCTCTCTCTCTCTCTCTCTCTCTCTCTCTCTCTCTCTCTCTCTCTCTCTCTCTCTCTCTCTCTCTCTCTCTAATTGAATTCTTATTTTTTCATACGATTTAAAGTAAATCAAATTTCGTTCATTTGCAAGCTCGGGGTTTTAAATATGCACTCAGCGACAGATTTTCTTACAAAAGAAATCTAATAGTACTTGTCTTCATGAAAAGGTTCAGAATTGAGCATAATTCAGTACCGTTGAGCAGCTTCACACCGGTGTAAAAAAATCTGGGTTTTCTCTTGGTACATGTAAGTGATAAGTATCACGTGTATTTTTCCCAGTCGAATCCGACGCAATAAGCGCTAAGGGGACGTAATCCAAGGTATCCCGTGGAAATAGCTGTATATGGTTAAGTTTACATGACAACTTGCCTTTACACGTTGTGAAATAAACTTTAGAAATAAAATAAAATATTTCTTAAACCTGAACCGATCCATGCCGGTCTGTAATATTCTCCGTTAAAGTGAATTAAACACGACGAGGAACATATCAAGCGAATTCGTGAATCCCAAAGTATGCTCTGTCACATCCGTCGTTTTTCGTGCGCATGATCTGTACTTTAGACAACACCAATCAAATAATTCCGCCAGGTGTTGTGTGGCGCTACCGCAATTCATAACATTGAACAAACCACGAAGCACGTGTGACATCCTAGATGGCGGGGAATACGTTGATCTGTCAAAAATGAAAACACAACTCCTCCTTTGATATTCTGTTGTCAAATGTAATAGTTGTTATATCTTTAATGCTATTTTAAGCAAGGTTAATTTAAGCTACTTTGAAAAAGTGTGGAATTCCTTTGCGATTGACGGATTGAACGTCTGTTATTCATAATCAAGCACCTGCTTTCTGGGAGACAAAAATAGTTGTCTGCGAACGTGTAGTATGGTTGATTGACGAAATACGTTATTCTTTCGTACATGGCACTGCACCTGTAACCATATGGAAATTCTGATAGTATTATGATGAAAATAACTTAACCGTAGGCCCCGAGGATCATAGGAAGTAAGACCTTATTTATTGACACGAGGCTTTTACACAATTTTACTACAAGAAATAAATGTACTTCACTGATTCAGGTCACATAACTCTGTCATATTTAGCACAACAAACAAATGTTTTATAAAAATAAACACCACAAAGCTTTCAAGATGGTTAAAAAACAACTGGCATGACTAAATTGTGCACTGGAAACTTGTTGAAAAGAGATAACTTATATCATCTTGTATTGATATAGTGCATGACTTGCAACTGCAAGGATGTCTTTGTTACACTGGTTCATGTTGATTTGAGAAAAATAAAGAAACACTTAGTATTCCTAGAAAATTTCACTTGATCACCATTACACCACAAACATTTAATGCAATTGGTACCCTGAAATATTTGGCAGCAATACTGTAGTTTCATTCATCTTGGAACACCATTTGGTGGATGAAATGACTTGTACATGTATCTCGGGACCAAAACTGAAACGGGTTTTAAAAAATTCATCGGCATTTAAACTTAATTTGTGAACATCAACAATGTTTTGCTTGTTGTGCTATACAAAGAACACAAAAGATGCCTTAACCTTTTCTATTGCATTTTTGATGCCAGAGATCCTGTGTTTATTTTCAAAAGCTTTTTCAACCGAGTCAGGTTCACCAAAAATGGTTTTGTTTTCCCATGATGGGACATTATTATAAAGGCCTGTTTATAAAAATAACAGACATTTATTTGTCTTTCTTTCTTAATATGTGTTTAAAAAAGTTTCATGCGTTCATGTTTTATATTGATGATTTTGAAAAATTCATTTAAACTATTTTTAATTTTTGAAATGTAACAGGATTTTTATTCAGAGAAATGTTAGCTCAACATATTACAATGCATGGAAGCTGTGAAATATTGATAATTAGATTATGTATTATTTCTAGATACCTACAATGTCAGCCTCCCAGCGTAGCCTTGTGAGTCTTCGCAAAAAGGTGACAGAGAAAGTGGAGAATATCCGGGATCAACGTGGTCTGTTGGTTGCAATTCTTGACGAGTACATTGCCGAAGTGAGTATATAAAAGGCAGTGTTTATACTGCTCTCAGAATTACTTATTACTTCTGCACTTCGTTTGACAGAAGTATAACAGAAGATATTTTCTAATTTTGTTTTTAGCTTTCAGTACTTTTTAGCCCACCATCTAATAGATGGTGGGTTATTCAAATTGCCCTGCATCCGTGGTCCGTCCGTCCGTAAACAATTCTTGTTACCGCTATTTCTGGAAAAGTACTGGATGGATCTTTCTCAAATTTCATATGCAGGTTCCCCTTGGTCCCTAGTTGTGCATTGTACCTTTTTTGAACTGATTCGAATTCAAGATGGCCGACAGGTGGCCATCTTGGATTTTGGAAGTAAAAGTTTGTTACCGCTATTTCTGAGAAAGTACTGGATGGATCTTCCTCAAATTTCATATGCAGTTTCCCCTTGGTCCCTAGTTGTGCATTGTACCTTTTTTGGACTGATTCGAATCGAATTCAAGATGGCCGACAGGCAGCCATCTTGGATTTTGGAAGTAAAAGTTTGTTACTGCTATTTCTTGGAAAGTACTGGATGGATCTTTCTCAAATTTCATATGCAGGTTCCCTTTGGTTCCAAGTTGTGCATTATAACTTTTTGGACTGATCTGAAATCAAGATGACTGACAGGCAGCCATCTTGGATTTTGAGAGTAAAATCTTGTTACTGCTATATCTGAGGAAGTACTAGATGGATCCTTCTGATATTTCATAGATATTGGTTTCCCTTGGTCCCTAGTTGTGCATTGTACCTTTTTTGGACTGATTTGAAATCAAAGTGGCCCACAGGCAGCCATCTTGGGATGTCGACAGTAATACAGCACAAGCATATTGTCCATTATCCACCTGTAACTGACTGCTATCTAATAATACTTTGGGATCTTTTTCAAATATTTGCTAATAGGTGCTTAATAAAAATATCTTGTGCCTTCATTGAGTACATTCAATGAAGACCAGTTCATGAACATTTACAACACCTGTAACAAACAAAAAAAAATAAACAAATCTTCAAGAACTGAAAACAGATCCTCAAATGGTTGGCGCCAAGATCCCTCTGGGATCCCTTGTTAATAATTGCTATTCAATATTTGTAAATTGTTGTTCGCTCAGTATTCACTTAATATTAATGCTTCAATTTCAAATGCTTTCCTTCCTTACCGACTGTATTTTTTATCATATTGACAGGAAAAATATATTGCTGACATGTATTCTAAATTTATCTTGGTTTGCAAGACGTTATAGGACTTTGTAATGTTTTTGCAGAGTGAGAGGGATGCTAACAATCTGCTTGCTATCAAAGACAAAGGCATGTTTATGCAGAGTTTTGTGGATATTGTACAGAACTTGGACAGATGTTACAATACCTGTTTCCTTCTTACTACAGAAGCTGAAAATCTCATAGGTAATTTTCTGTTTGGCTTATCATAGACATGTACAAAGATGCGGAGAAGCTTCATGATATTGATTACCTAATGCATATTTTCCTATTCATTTGTCATGAAAAAAATCAAAATATATACACAATAATCCAAAATTAGACCAACTATTGTACCAGTAGTTTGTTTAATTGTTACATTTAGCTTTAAGATATAAACAATTGATTTTGTCATGAGCCTGGGGCATTAATAAGCAAAAGGAGACAAAATCTGTGTCACCACAAAAAATTATCTGAAAGTTTAACATTTTTCATATTGTATTTCTCTAGATAATCAGAACCTTCTGATACTTAGTCCCAAACTGGAACAACTGTGCAATATCAGCTTTGTGAAATTAAACATTGACAGTGGCTTTTCTTTATCAGCTGATGATATAAACATATATAGTAGATTAGAATTCTCCCAATTTCCTTAAACAATTCACATGCTACTAGGACATTATGTGTAGATATTGAAAAATTGGAAACAAAATCATTATTCTTTTATAAAACTTTACCATGGGTTTATAATGAAAGAATAAGGAAATATTCATCAGGCTGTGAAAAATGTTTACTGTAGATGTTGGTCTATGATGATAGCAGTTTATAAAGTCTGGATTGACACAACTAAAGAAAGAAAAAGCATCCCATACAATGTACGTCTTGACAAGATGATGCTTCAAGAAATTAATTTTCACTTTTGTTAATAATTGCCACAATTTAAATTAACTTTACATTTATGTTGCAGAGGAAGCACAGCGATCAAGTCCCACAGTTTGTATGCTTACACCAGACACTGACAAACTAGCTAAGCACACTTGTGAAGAGGAGAGCTTGCTCACTGTAACACTGCCTGCTACCTCCGTGGCTAAACAGGACATTGAAAAGACAGAGGGCTCTAACTTCTGCCAGCAGGATAAGGCTCTTTCACCAGAGACAGTTCACAATGTCAATTTGAATGAGAATGCCTCTAAACCAGCAACTCAGAAACAAGTATGGAACATTAAACCTGAAGATGTCAAAAAAGGTAGGACATTCCTGGATATATGAAAAGTCTCTCAAGTGATCAATCTACTATTTGTTTACATGAGTCTTTTTCAGCTATTGTTTAAAAAAAGTCAATGGGCTGCACAATGAAATATATAAGTATGTCGAGAAATTCTTCCAGTCCCATCAAAATGCAGACCTGTGGACTCACATGTAGATTTAGTGTTGTGTATATTTTATTTTAGAATTATTATTAGGTTGGATGTCATACAGTTTACTTTAATAGTTAAAACAAATTATGAAAATTAACATATATGTTGTTTTAAACATCTTCTGGTTTAAATATTTCCTTTATCATTAGTCAAACTTTTATAGTTTGCCATTTTTCTGTAGCAGGGGTAGCTTTAAAAGTGGTAAGATCAAAGACATAACGGTAAACATCAAATGAATTTTTACTGATAGGTATTTATGCTGCATTTGAAATAATACATTTACAGTTATTAGTATTATTGATGAAAACTGATTAAAGAAGTATGGGATGAGGTAACCTTTTAATTTTACCTAGACGATAGACATACAATCTATTTGTATAGAGCATACAGATAATAATGCAACTCAAAATTTGAACAATGATTTACTTTTGGTTCTAAAATGCATCTGTCTTGCATGTCACATTTGAAATAATTTGTTGCACTCTAAAATAAAATCATGATATGATTTTACACTTAAATTTCTGTGCCATTTTAGTACATCATCTTTATTTGACCTAATTATCCATGCAAATTGAACATTAAATGATTGAAACCAAAACTAAATTAAAAGCTCAGAAATCAGCTGAAATAACAATGACGTAAATCCACCTCCGCTGTCAAATGGGAAGGGAAGGGGAAAGGGAGTAAGGATGCCTCAATAAAATGATTAAATCTTTTTCAACATTCTGATTTTTCGATTTGCTGAATTACCAAGAAACAATAGTCTTATAACCATTTATAATCATTCATATCACAATGAGTATAATTTTCTTTGATAGTGTTTGTACAGGATAACAGCAGATAATTAGTGTCATATTAAGCCTGTGTTTAGAAAAACACTGCACTTGTTATTCTCTTTCATCATTTTGAAAGTAGACGATATCAGTTAAAACAGATGTTTGATATGTTAATAGGTATGTCACATTGTGTCTGTTCCATTCAAAATGTTAAAAAAAAGCATAATATTGTAATCTTTATTTTACAGAATCAAGTTCAGAAAGGAAGTGTACTGAGTATCGGAATGTAAGACATATTTTTGTATTAAGTACTGTAGCATTCCATTGAAACACCATTGGACATTCTGATTTGGTTTATAATTCTACATAATTTGTATGGGTGCAAGAGACAAGGAATCCATAATTGGATGAAAAAGATGTTTATACTGCATAAATTCTTATCAGCTTGGTTTTTGAAATAGCCATCGGATGTGTTGGATGCAGAGTTATTGCCCTTTGATCTCCTTGTGTTGCATTGTCATGAGCAGCTGTGTTTCTGTAAGGGATATGTGAGTGTTACACAGCACATCAAACTAACCCATCATATTTTAATAATTGATACAGGTTTCTGACAGTTCTGCTATCCCGAAAACTGCACAGCCAAGACTTGATATGAAGGTTGCCAAGAGATTCCTAGGGAATGTCCTCAATCAAGCAGAAAAAGATAATGAAAGAACACATCGTAATCAACGTATCAGAAGACGTTCTAAAGGTACAATAGTCCCTTAGCATTGGAGAGTAGAACTTAATGTAGACAGCTGTTTGAACATAGATCAAAGAATCTTTCAGACACTCAAAACTTAAAAAGTAGAAAACATAGTGACATTTATATATAAGAACACTCTTAAATTAACATGGCAAAGCAAGACAGAATACAGTGTAATGTGTTGAAGGGTTTGTTAGTCAAAAGGCAGAATACAGTGAAATGTGTTGGAGGGTTTGTTAGTCAAAAGGCAGAATACAGAGTAATGTGTTGAAGAGAATGTGAGTCTCAAGGCAGAATATGGTGTAATGTGTTGAAGGGAATGTCGGACAGAATACGGTGTAATGTGTTGAAGTGAACGAGAGTCTTGCAGGTTTTGTCAGAATGTGATAAAGTTTGAATAGGTGTTACATATTATTAAGTTTTTGAAAATTATGTTTCTTTCAACAGATGTTTTCTGGTTGTACACAGACGTGTAATAAACTATTATTTAATAGCAGTTTTTGTCACTTAAAGAATAGTCATTGTGATATTAAGCTGTATTACATGTACACATTTACACTAGAAGTTCTTCAAACTTAATACAAATATGTAATACACCATGTTGTGTAGACTAGAACAGTTTACATGTGAAGTGTAGGATATACATTTTTTCCTATTTCCCTTATTTTGGCTTACTTGATTCTCAGTTGCAAAAAAATATTTAATGTATTGAAGATTTATGATGCACTAATGTTTTTTGGTTTTTTGTTTTTTTAGGAAAAGGAAAATCGAAAGGAAATACAAATATGATAACTGGGAAAACAAAGAATGTCACTGTGGATTCACCAGCGTCTCTTAAAATGGAACAGGATCTTCAGTATGATGCCAACAGCAAAAATGCAGATTCCAAGGAAGGAATCTGTGTAGTGTCTCAGAGCACGAATACTTCTTCTCAAATCATAGACCCCTCGTCAAAAAAACCCAACAGTTTATCAGAAAATATCAGTGTGTCATCACAAAATATCAGCAAGGTGCCATCTAGCATCACTGAAGATAACTCTCTAAGAGTGGAAAATACATTAAAAAAACTGGACAAGTCAAATAAATTAGGCAGTATAAAGTCTGTGGAAAACAACAATGTAGAAATACGGGATGAGAGGAGAGAGTCTGACTCTAATGTAAATGCAGATGTTAATGTTTCTCCGAGAACATTATCTGATGTTGATAAATCCTCATATCTGTCATCCCCAACTGCTACCCAAATAGAGACTCCATTGGTGCCGGAACGAAAGCCTTATCAAAATGCAGTGGGAGAGAAAGTATCATATGGTCTAGGACCAACATTAAATCCGGTAGAGTTATGTGTTGGACAGCCTGTCACAGTGGAGGTGCTGGAACCCACTTCACCCTGGAAATTTTACATCAAACAGGTGGGATTTGCCCTCGACAAACTCACTGAGGAGATCTTGTAAGTCTCACCGGTTTTACTGTTTTTTTTTATACTGTAGTAGTTTTTATGCATGTTCACAGAGGAAATTTTGTGATGAATAAATGAAACAGTTTTAATAATTAACCTTGGAAATACATGTATATGATTGGTACAAGTATCTGGAGTGTGAATGATTTTGTTATTTATTTGCAGTTTGTATTTGTTGTGGAATTTGTGTTCATCGACTCACCATATGCATTGAAATTCTTATGTTTTAGTTCCTACATGATGAAACATGGAGAAGACAGGAATTTGATACTGAAACCAGAAAAAAATATGATATGCCTGGCAAAATTTTCACAAGATGGACTATACTACAGGGCTAGAGTATTGCAGGTGCATCCCGCACAAGGTACACTAATAGGGACATTTAAGGCAGAAATGTTTTTGTAATATATTCAAGGAAGATTTGAAATTATGCCTTTAAATGGCTTACTTAGTTAGTAAACTTACCACTTTATTCAAACCATAATTGGTATAATTAAATTGACTTTTAAGTTGAAGTTTCAAAATTCTTTCTGGTTAAATGAATTTCTAACTTTGTAAATCTTTTTTAGTCCTGTAAAGGTTTTGGTGATGGGTAATGTTTTAAATATAAATGACACTCTTCCTGTATTATCCTGGATTTGCGCTATATTTAATAATATATATCCCTGTTTTAGGCGAAGAGGTGCCAGTGGACGTCCTTTATGTCGACTTTGGCAACAAAGAGGAGGGAACCTCTGCCCATTTAAGAGAACTGCCAGACAGATTCACTAGTCTCCCTATACAGGCTATCCCATGCGCTCTGGCTAAGGTAAGTCACAATTTCCTTAATTAGTTACTAAAGATCAGGACTCAAAGAATGAAGTTTGCAAAATGCAAAACAAAACCAAAAATCAACCCAGTAATTCTTTCCATAATTATTAAAACAAGTCGACTTGTGAAGCATAATTTTGTTCTGTTTCATTACATGTGAAGTATGTAAATTTAAGATTTTTGAAATGTAAATGCAATGTAGGATGTGTGAGGAGGGCTGTTATTTGTGAAGTAGTTTTGCTTATTCACTTGAATCATTTCTAGCCTTATCATGTGATTTGTTGTAGGTAGCACCTGTGAACAAATATAATGTGTGGACAGAGGAGGATATTTCGGCCTTTGCCCAGTTTGTGTGCAATCAGCAGTTCAGTTGTATCCTTTTATTTGATGCCGAGGAAAGCTTGCCAAAGCTGGTGGAGCTCCTACTATATGTTCCCCGCCCAACTGTCACAGGGGGTCAGCTCTACATCCACAATACTGTCTCCACAGTCAACATTGCCACTGTCCTCATCAACCAAGGTCGTGCAAGGGATACTGCGATTACAGACCAAGTATTAGCACTACGTAGGATGTATCTACCGCCTGTGTCGGCATCAATGCAGTCTCTGCAAGTTAAGCAGGCATCTGATAAATTATCACAACGGCCAGATACTGCTTCTTCATCCAGTCAGTCTTCTTCATTACCTGACAAATGTAAAATTCCTCGACCAATGAAATTGCCACGACCTAAAACAGTTGCTCATAAAAACAAAGTGATGTCAGTGAAAACCATTGTGGCTGCAGCATCTGGTATTACAACAGAGTCTGGTGGCCAGAATATCACTGTCAAACAAGGTGGCAATGGTTTTGAGGAGTCTAAAACACAGCACAAGGACACATCTGAGTCTGATCCTTCTCACAAAGGGGGAACAGAAGCATACCAAGTTCCGGAAACACGTAACACAGCATCAGATGTGCTTCATCAAAGAGACAGTTTGAAGAGTGGATGTGTCACCACTCCTCTCAGTCTGGGAGAAGGCATACAAGCAAATTTACCAAGACAAGAGCAGATCAATAAAGATCTCTCACAGTCCAGTGAAAACCAAGATAATGCACATGATGGAAAAACAAGCAAAGGTCACCTTGAAGCAACAGTGGAAGATAGTGCAAACATGGAGGCTACGACCCAGACTTCTCAAAGTTTTGTCTCTGATAATTCAAGCACCAGCACTACTTCTGCCATGGAGACTCAAAGCATCGAAGATTTCTTGGCAGCCCTGCCTGTAGCCAACATTAAGATTCCCAACGTTGAACAGAAAGATGAACAGCTGTCTGGAATATCGTCAGTGTGTGACTCAATACCAGCAAATGAAGGGGAGACAACTGAGGAGAAATCACCATACAGAAACATTGACTTGCGCTCTAAATGCTTTAATATAATGTTATCCCATGTCATTTCCCCAGAACATTTTTACATACATATTGTTTCTGAGACAGTTGGGAAAACACTGGACAATATGATGAAGAATTTAAACCAGCATTTTGAACAGATTGGCAGAAAGCAATTACAGAAACTCAACAGGAATTACTCGCCAAATATTAATGATTTGTGTTGTGCCAAGTTTTCAGAAGACAGTTGTTTCTACAGAGCAGTTGTGGTTGAAGTTACAACATGTGAAGATTCCTCTTCAGTTGCAAAAGCACATGTATTTTACCTGGACTTTGGAGACCGAGAATGGCTACCACGTTGGAAACTTTTCCCTCTTCCAGAGGAGTTCAAGGATACCCCTCCACTAGCTCTGAGCTGCTCTCTTGCATACATCAAACCTATTGTGACATCACAAGATAGTAACAGATTGTGGCAAGAGAATGTAACTCAGGAATTTGTAACACAAGTTGGGTTTGAGAATCCCATACAGATGATTGTCCTGTCAGGCACTGTCTGCTTGGATATGGAAAGGTAAGTTTATCTTGCATTTTTGACCTTAACCTGAGGTGACCAATAGAATTAAAGTATGGATTTCATACTTCAGAATATCAGGTGATAAAGATGTCATGTAATTAGTATAATACATGACAGAGTTTGATGTACATTAAGTATATAAATGATCTGGAGAAGTTCTTAATGAAGTTTTATGCGTAGGGATATACAAGGTACAATTTTAAATATACAATATAGTTCTATCTCTAGTGTAATGCTGGAGAAATTTTACTTTCCTATACAAAAAAATTGTGATGCCCAGATCAAAATGAACAGTTGTGGTTATGGCAGGTCTTCCATTTAATATGGGGAAAAAAAATTGGTTGGCAGTTTTCCAAATTTATGTGGTACACACTTTAGAGTATTAAGACTGTTGTCTTTCTGATTGAATCAAAGATTTGCCAATTCAACTTCACTGACTGACTTTTTTCACATTTTGGACATTCAAAACTCCATACCAGAAAAAAAAGTTTTAACTGTTTAAACTGAATAATCATTATTCACATTATCTTATAGAATAAAAGGAAATTCAATTCATGAAATTTATTATTATGTAAAAATACAAGTCTATTGCAATTGATTGTCATGAATATATTGACATGTTACACTAACACCTCTTATATACATTTGCATTACAACTTTCAGGAGACAAAACTATGGCTATTATTCTATTATTTATGAAGTCTTTACTGTCCAACTTTATCATTAAAAGTCTGTCAATTAGTTTGTAGTACAGAAGTGATATGATGTAACTTTTGACAGCAATCCAGGTTGTGGTATGATGGACACTGGCATCCTAAAGGTGTTCTTGGTCAAATCAGAGAACGAGGAAGAAGTGTGTATCAACATGGACCTAATACGTCTTGGTTTTGCCACCATTGACTCTAACTACAATCAGGATATTGGCCTAACAAATGGTGTGTTAAGTATCTTAATTGATTAAGAATATGTGTAATTTTGGGATTAAATACAGGATCCAATTAACTGCCATCTCAGACTTGGTTTTCAAGGTTATAATTCAGGCATAAGTCATTTTTTATCAGATTTTGATAAACACATATGACCTAAACTTATGAACAATTCTCTCTTTTTCTGGTTATGGTAATATCATATTTCTAAAACATTTTTTGATGTGGATTATTGCTAGCTATTACAGTATTTATTGAATAAAGATATATCAAATTGTTGTATGTGACACATTTCAGAGTTTTCATTGGGAGAAAACTTGAATTTAGATATTAGCATTAAGTCTTAGTAAAATTCATTTATTTACCTCTTTCACACAAACATCAGCGGCTTAAAACAACGCAATCTAAGTTACTTTTTCTGATGGACATACAGGGTATTTAATTCTTACAATTAAGAAAACTTTATTGGAATTTACCCCAAGGTCCAGGTAAAAATCAGGAATTGTCTGTCTATGCTTTAAAAGATTAGAAAAAAAATAGCAAAAGGAAGTCAAGAGACACCATGAGGAGGGAATTTCAATCAATTTTCATATTCTGAGTTCAGTATATAAACAAGGATCTCATGGCAGCGGACCTCCACTATGTAGTAGGGGAACAACTTCCTTTTATAGCCTTATATTGACTGTACAAGCAAACAAAACTACATTTCAATTACCATATGAACACACTCGGTTCTAGTATCTCAAAATATATTTAGTAGTTTACAACAGCAATTAGACAGTGTACCAGATATTTGTGATGTGTATAATCTGATAATTTTGTGTATTGTGTAGATTTAAAGATTAAAATGGGGTTTTAATAAAAAATACTTTAGTAGATATTATTTGAAAGGGGAGGTAACACTGACAATCATCTCAGATATGTTGCTTGAATGCACCTATTCAAAGTGTGCTCATAGTAAAGCTATTGATAATGAATTGTAGCCTATATGTTATTGATGTCTGTTTATTACTCATCAAAGCTTAGTCAGCTTAATATGTTGATAGTTTTACATGATTACCAAACACTTTGAAGCTTTCTTTATATTTAGTTATTCTTAAGTGAAGTTATTCATGCTTCACGCTTTATGGTATGTTTGATTTAAAAAAATACACTGCTTTCTTCAAGTTTTTATTCCCCTCGTAACGAAGTAAGATGCATACTAAAATAAACTTGTCTATCTTTGTAGAAAAATTGTGTCTGAACAAATCCTCCTCATCATGTGATCCAATTTCACTGAAATGTTTCAGCAATATTTAGGAACATATTGCAGGTGTATAGACATCGTTTTTTCTCGAACTTTTGGTTGCCATGGCAACCTGGTCACTTCACCCTACACACATATTTGATTAAGAAAATTTGATTGCCATTGTCACTAAACACAAGATTTTTTTTATACAGGCCCATAGCTCATTAATCCTATGATTATTTTTACAAGCTTGGTCAGATGGTGTAACCAATTAAAGCTTATAACTTGACTCATTTTAATAAATTGTTAAACAAAATGGAGCAGCTTCTGATTAGTTCAGATTGAAATGTTGACCCATTAGACTGAAAATTGGTATTTGATGGTTTTGAGGAATGGCAAGTACAACAGACCTTTTTTCCCAAGCACTTGTTGTCATTTAGTTGCCATAGTAACAGTTGAAGAAGACCAATGATTACCTAGATAAGTTGTGTCCAAATTATTTTTCTTAAATTTGTTAACTAAATTCATAAAGCTTCACAGGAATATTTAAATGATGGCAGGCAGGGGTTATTAGTTTATGATATCAAATGAGTAATTCTTGAATCTCTTATCTTTTAGCTTATCAAAATTTAAACAAAATTGGCCTCAGAGGATCAAGTCATTATACATTATATAGTATTTGTTTCAGTAAAAGGTAGCTATTTTGATTACTGATAGTATTGGTTTGGGGGGAAAAATGTAAAGTTACAAAGAAAACACTAGTGACTACAGAAAACATGTTAATACTGTGTGAATTTGTTGCAGCACCTGGGGATGTGGAGATTGGAGACTGGGATCCCATGGCTGAGGACTACCTGTCCATAAGAAACAGCTATAACATTGATGTTGATGACCCAGGAGTGGCTACTGTTCAGTACAGTAAGACTGACCTTTCACCTCTTCAACGCCAGCCTCATAGTATCAATATTGGTCCAATTTCTGATGGTCCCTACTTTAAACATAATGTAATAGGTCACCAGTTTGATGTTCAATTTTGCTATTACTTTCTCAGAAATCTTAAAAGTTGTGTGAAATTATGAGAACATACTTCATGTTTTATAAATATTCCCATTACATAGGCTCTTGATATACAAGGTTTTATTAGTCCCCTGCTGGTGAAACCGGAGGGACTATAGTGTTTGTCTCCATACATCCGTCCATCCGTCCGGATGTTGGTTTCCAGACGATAACTTGAGCACAGATTGATGGATTTGGATCAAACTTCATACAATGGTAGTTTATAAGGCAATATAGTGTGGGATTTTTTTGGGTCAAAAGATGAACTACAAAGGTCACTGTTACTAAAAATAGAATCTTGTCACAATTTAGTTTTCAGACAATAATTTGAGAATGGATTGATGGATTTGGTTGAAACTTGATATACTTGAAGCTTATAAATAGTAAAACAATACACTTCTGATACAGAACAAGTTCTACATTACTTGAAAAAATAATGTATTTATACTGGAATTAGATCATGGGGCAAACATAAAAACTCAGATCCATAGTAAAGGGTTAGCTTATTGCAAACAGTTAAGTAGCATTTGCTCCCATTTGCTTTACAACAGAACATTGGTGGGCTTATTAGCAGACATGGGCTTATTTGCTGATAAATACAGAAGCTTTTACGGCAGGGGACATGTGTTGCATGTAACACTAACTGTAAGCTTGTTTTATATGTGGTGAACTAAAATTAACAGTCATTCATGGCTGTAAATTGAAATGGAAACCAATTCAAGATTCTTTTTATCATGTGACAAATCATTTAGGCAAATATTAAAGAAAATGGCTATTTTTATACTGAAGGTGATTTAAGCTCTATATCTATGGTCTCCATTGTTATGTCACAATGCAGTCTATGGATGAGTGACATGTTTCATTATCTAAACATGATGATGCATATGGTTATATTTTACATGTGCATACATAATACACAAAGATATTACTGGGCATATTTACTGAATTACAAGGTACTCGTGTGATCAAGGAAAATATGAAGAACAAATACAACCATTTTAATATGCAGCTTTATAGTACTTTTAACTTTATTCTAAATTTAACAATTTTGAATGGAAGCAATTTCAATCTAAGACACGTTTTTCCTGGTTTTTTCAGAGGCACAGGATGAGAAGCAGCTATGTAAATATTTTGCCAACAACAGTTGTTGGAGAGGAGACAGATGTCCATACAGACATGTTCAGGTCACAGGTAAATTACCTGTACACAGACGTAAAGGTCACAGTTAAATTGTGTGAACAGAGACATATGCTGGGCACAGGTAAGTTGTGTGTACTCCGACATATACAGGTCAAGATACAGACACGTATAGGTCACAGGTAAGTTGTGTGTACTCTGACATATACAGGTGATGATAATACAGACATACAGGTCACAGGTAAGTTGTGTGTACCTGGACATATACAGGTCATGATACAGACACGTACAGATCACAGGTAAGTTGTGGGTATACTGACATGCACAGGTCACACCACAGACATGTACAGGTCACAGATTAGTTGTGTGCACTGAAACATGAACAGGTTACGGTCAAGTTGTGTGCGCTCAGATATGTACAGGTCACAGGTAAGGTGTGGGTATACTGACATGCACAGGTCATAATAGAAACATGTACAGGTCACAGGTTTGTTTTTACACCAAGTATAACAGACTTTGTCTTGTCGGCGTGTATGCACCATGTATAACACTTAGAATTACTGGTATGTTATAGGAGGAGTGACCATGGACAGGGAGCCAGTGTATGGTGGTCTGGATGAAGCCCACATTGAGGCTCTACTGCCAGACTGTGACACCTGTGTAGCTGTAGAAATAGCCACAATCATCAACCCTGCTCACTTTTACATCATCTTGCCTTGGGGAAAGAGAACCTTAGATACATTGCTTGACCCTAAGGTCACTGGTAAGTAGGTGTAACCTCATTAAGACCAATAGAGAATTGTAAATGGTTTTCATTTGAGTGCACTTATGACATCATGACTTTCATTCCAACTCAACTTCCAATGAAATTCAAATGTTAGGGCTGTAATTTTAGTACAATAAATATTTTGATTATGAAACTTAAAGTGTACCTGCCCACAGAAAATGTGCAAGTGTATTGTGACTGACTTCTGTATTTATGCTCTGAAGTTCAAATGAAAATACATTTTCAGGATTGTAACTTTTAAGTGTGCAAACATAAGGTGGTTTCTATACACTAAAGTGAACCGGAAACATTCTGTTAAAATTTACCTGGAGTATGTTTTTAATTAAAATTAAAAAATGGGTAATCTGACTCCACCCTCATAGGTTAAGTATTTGCCTGTAGTCTGTCACGCAACAGGTACTCATTTGCGTACCCACAGAGAATTAATTAAACAGGCCTTTATCAGTTAGAAATCTAAACACTTAGATATTTTTGTATGTCAACATAACTTAATAATTTCATTCTTGTGGAAACTTCTATAAGGTAAAATAACCAAATGATAAAGTGTTTGGAGTCACATTGTGTATTGTGTTTAAATTGTATAAACTTCTCAAGTGTATTATTTTAATATTTCATAGATCCTGGTGATGATGATGAGACTTTGGATGAGCTTGTAATTTCACTGCAGTGAGTATGATTCTAGTTCAGAATAACTTAAGCAGGTCACTAACACAGTGCCTCACCAAGCAAGAATATGGATAAAAAATGTGTCAAAAATTGATTGATTATTTTGATATAATAGGGATTTTATTATTTTTCAATTTATTGTATGTCATTCACGTTTGCTACTATCTTAGGATACTTTTTGGGAAGAAAATCATATTGTAAATACTGAAATCAGGTGTTGATCTGTCAGTAGGGAAATACTGAAATCAAGTGTTGATCTCTTGGTAGGAAAATACTGAAATCAGGTGTTGATCTCTTGGTAGGAAAATACTGAAATAATGTGTTGATCTGTCAGTAGGGAAAATACTGAAATAAAGTGTTGATCTGTCAGTAGGGAAATACTGAAATCAGGTGTTGATCTCTTGGTAGGAAAATACTGAAATCAAGTGTTGATCTGTTAGTAGGGAAATACTGAAATCAAGTGTTGATCTCTTGGTAGGAAAATACTGAAATCAAGTGTTGATCTGTTAGTAGGGAAATACTGAAATCAAGTGTTGATCTCTTGGTAGGAAAATACTGAAATCAGGTGTTGATCTGTTAGTAGGGAAATACTGAAATCAGGTGTTGATCTCTTGGTAGGAAAATACTGAAATCAGGTGTTGATCTCTTGGTAGGAAAATACTGAAATCAGGTGTTGATCTCTTGGTAGGAAAATACTGAAATAATGTGTTGATCTGTCAGTAGGGAAATACTGAAATCAGGTGTTGATCTCTTGGTAGGAAAATACTGAAATCAGGTGTTGATCTCTTGGTAGGAAAATACTGAAATCAGGTGTTGATCTGTTAGTAAGGAAATACTGAAATCAAGTGTTGATCTCTTGGTAGGAAAATACTGAAATCAGGTGTTGATCTGTCAGTAAGGAAATACTGAAATCAGGTGTTGATCTCTTGGTAGGAAAATACTGAAATCAGGTGTTGATCTGTCAGTAAGGAAATACTGAAATCAGGTGTTGATCTCTTGGTAGGAAAATACTGAAATCAGGTGTTGATCTCTTGGTAGGAAAATACTGAAATCAGGTTTTGATCTGTCAGTAGGGAAATACTGAAATCAAGTGTTGATCTCTTGGTAGGAAAATACTGATGACAGATTCTGATAAAGAATGGGCTCTGTTATTACTTCTATATGACTTTGCAAATTGTATTGTCAAGTAAACGAAGGATGATTTTATTTATTACATGGTTCAATACTGGAATGTTCAGCATATTTATTTTCAGATACCTTGTAATCATCTGATAATGAGTGTGTACATAGACACCACTTAGCTTTAATAATGGAACCATATCATGGTATTTTAATAAAAACAGATGAGCTCAAAATTAAAAGAAAAGAAATGAACTGCTCAAAATTAAAAGGAAAAAAAAAATGCTCAAAATAAAAATTAAAAAAATTAAAAATCTGTAGGAAAGACTCATTTTTTGCAAGAATTTTTTCCTTACACTTGCAGTCAATACCCTGGTATCTCTCTAGTGTGCTGGGAGACATCTGTGATGATACTGTACATGATTTTATGTAAAGGTTTCTCAAACAGTAACACTGTCAACAAGAGATGGGAAATGCCGTGTAATAAACTCTAATCCCTTAATGGTATTCAAACTGTCATACCTATAATGACCTTTAGCCTTATCAGAACTTTAAATCATACTTTGATTAAGAGGTCACTGCATTACTGTGTTGGTTTGCCCATGCAATATCTGTCTTTCATTTTGTTTTATGAGACTGCTGAAAGTGTCCTGATGTCTCATGATGTTTTTATAACATCTCTTTATTTTGAGACATGTGTTATTTAAACCTTTCATCCTTGCTTTTCTTCAGAAGACACTATGGAAACATGTCATTCTCCCAGAGGACATTAGTACATTATGCAGAAGGTGAACTAGTGGTAGCTCGGTTTGTACAAGATGGATGTTGGTATCGTGCCAAAGTTCTTCGTTCTGATGACAGAGAGCAAGACACTAAGATTCAGGTGTGTTTTGGAAGATGGAAATATATTTATGAATTTGTATTAGATATCTAACTATTAGTACTTTCTTTTACAGAATGCATTATAATCTACCAAGTATGTAGACTGAATTCAACACCATTAATTATATTGGTAACATTTTTATGCCACAGCCAGTCTATAGAAGGCGTAAAGCACTACCCTGTATTATCTTGTGACTCAGTTTTGTTGTTTTATTAATTTGTTTTTGTCTTTATATACCATTATGTGAACAGATATAGATGTATTTATGGATAGATATGGCACAATAAATCTAATACTAATTTCAACACTATATAGACATTTAAGTTTGTGTAAGACTAGTGCCCGCTAAATCTCGTTCAGAAATTAAGTATTTTATAATTTGAAAAAAAATGCTTTGGATGTTTTCACGTTTCAAGCTGTAAAGGTAGAGGTCGGCAATACTATTTATATCAGATCATCAAATTTGCAGGGGTAAGAACTTTATTTGTTCTTCCCAGTTTTCCTTTCAATCCTGTCAATAATAATTTGTATTGTCCTCAGGTGTTCTATGTAGATTTTGGAAACAAAGAATGGGTATCAGAGCGTGATATCAAACCCATGGATCCACAGTTTCTCCATCTACCCTTTCAAGCCATTGAGTGTTTTCTGGTGGACATAGAACCAAGTGGCCATGCAGATCAATTCTCAGAGAAAGCCAAGTGAGTGAAAACCAAAGATTCCTAAAACAAAACATGCTGTGTATTAAAGGTAGCTTTGCAGTGATTTGTAGTTTGTAGTATTCTCTTGCTTTGTCCATGTCAAATCACAATAAATGAAAACAAAATTATGAAACTCTGGTGAATAGAAATTCAATAACATTTCTACTTTTATGTAGTTATAAGGGATCTAATGGAAAAATATACAATGGATGATTTAATTTTGAAAGATTTTTATTTGGCAGGACAATGTTCCAACAAATGACTGATGGCAAGACACTGGTAGCTTATGTCAAATCTAGGTAAGTGTTCCCAATGAAGGATTTATTTTGACCTATATAAATTTATTCTTTAATATCTGTTTGATGCTAGTGTGATTATTTTACTTCATGAAAATGTTGATGATGACCGAACTTTGGGTTGTCTGTATGAAGACCTGTTTGACACCACTATGTGATTTGTATTTACAAACTACGTGTTGTTTGTATGAACACCAGTTTGACACCAGTGTGTGATTAGTGTTTCATAACTATGTCTTGTTTGTATGATTAGTGTTTCAGAAATATGGATCATTTGTATGAACACCTTTTTTACATGATTTGTTTCAAAACTTTGTGATGTTATTTGTGTGAATACCTGTCAAACACAAATGTATGATTTGTGTTTCAGATCTTGGAGTGGCTGTTTGTACATTGATCTGTTTGACACGAGTGGAGAGGAAGACATCAACATTGGTAAGGTTCTCATCACAAAGGGCCATGCCCAGGTACCTAGGCCACATTCCGACACTAGCCTGATAAGTCAGTCCGGCAGTGAGGGCTCTCTTCTCCTTGTTCCTGGCTGAAAACTTACTGGATAACTGATGTAAAATACTCCACACTTTTTTCCACTGTGATTCTACATATACTTATTGGCCAGATAGTGTTTCTGATCTTTTTTTTATATTTTTTTACTTGACATATTGGTGCTATACTTGATATTGAATTCAACTTTAAACTGAAAGTGTTCTGATAGATTGGACAAAACTGCTCACCATCACACCTCTATAGGTATTTGAATGTTGAAGGTTGGGAGGAGTAGAATTTGTATTAAAAATAGATTCTTGGACTGGAAACTTGGTGGACAATTATTTTTCACTTGCACATTTTTATGAAAAAATTTGCGAGTGTGTTTTTAAGAGCAGATTCTATTAGTTTTTTGCTTTTTCTTTCAACACGGCATCAAATCACTCTAAATATGCTTATACTGTACTTTATCCTCTTCAAGCTAAAGAGTATTGGGCTTTAGAGCAATATTCACTATTGTTTATTAATTTACATATTCAATAGGAGTATTTTCTAGAAATGGTGAATGTTGAATCAAAATTTGTAGCAGACAATGGTCTAAATCACAACATAATTTTATCACTGGAACTTTAGTTTGAGGCAGAATACATTCAGTTGATCAGAACATTCTTAATTTTCATATCCTAACAAATGCATATATACTCAATGTGATATTGAATTGATTTCTGTCGTACAAAACTAGATTCATTGTAGAATCAGAGCATGGATTACTACTCTCCTGCTTAGATCTTAAATGCTTCTTCAAAAAAAATAGTCTGCCTAGCATTTATTTCATGATTGGGTAAAAATACAACGAAATGAATTCTTTAAGACTTTTATTAAGTGCTGAAAATGCAATAAGTCATAGGATGGTTTACAGTATTTGTCATGACAATGAAACCATAGTGTCATGGAACATATGACTAAAGGTCAATTAAAGATCTTGATGCCAAATACACTGTTTTACTGCTCTCAACATACTTTGGGTAGTTTCTGTGGTAGGTGACAGAAGGTACTCGACATACAATGCAAATGTTGTCTTCCTTGTTACACTTTCTAAAGTTTATTATTTTTTAATGTTATTTTTGTTTTACTATTTTGTTAATAAAGAACAGACAGGTAGTCACATGAAACATTTTTCATGTTTTTTTTTATTTCCAACTTCTTACACAACCCAGCCATACATGATTATGCAGTCAGTAATATCTTTACATGAATTTACTGTGAAACACATTTCTTAATGAACAATCCAATATTTTCTGTAAACAGAAAAAAAATTCTCAAATGATGATATAAAAAACTTTTTTAAATTAACAGTTTAAGGTCAAAATCCAAGGCTAAATACAAGTCTGTACTCTTTGATCCTGATGTTGGAGACCACACTGCAGATGAGGCATCTAATAACTTGATCCTTCTCTGTAAACACTCGTACAGTTCCGGCTTGGGGAAAAACATTGGATAAGCAAAGAAACCTTCCATCCATTTAAGTTGCAGTATCTATACGGATTTTAAAGAACTTCAAAGAAGTTTAAACCAATCTTGAACATCCTTCCGGAGAAAAAACGGTTCTCAGAGCATGTGGTATCTTGTACTCTGTACTCTACCTATCACCATTCCAACGGAAGGAATGAAATTAACTTCTGTTAAACGTGGAAGTTTTTTTTAAATAAATCAAGACATTGTCAGAATGTTTGACGTGAGATCAAATTAGAAGGCTAGTATCATTAGCTCACCTCGCCCTAAGGGCGATGTGACATGCCATGGAACTGCATCCTCGTTCGTGCTTCCAGCACCAACTTTTCCATTTAAACAATTTCTTCTCAATAACCATTTGGCCAAATTTCATGATACTTGGCTAGCGGACTGCCTGGATGAAGCTCAACCTAAATTGCAAAAGAAATTACAGTGTTCCTTAGCACCATATTCAATGTCGAAGGAGTCAAATTTAAACATTATCTTCTAATAAACCAAAAGGCCACGAATCATGATATTTTGCTGGTAGAATCTGGCATGACGCAAGACAAGGTTTACAAAAACCTATATTCAAAGTCACAATGATCAAATTCGTTGAAATCTTTAAACAACTTCTGACCCAGAAGCATGGTGTATAACTGATAGGTACACAGTATAAATCTCAACGTTTGCAAGAATAAATGAAACATGACTCGTATTAATGATCAAAGGGGTCAATTCTTTTGAAACCTTAAAATGACTTCTGGTTGAATAGAAACCGAACAAACATGGTCGATATATTTCTAGGATAAAGCCCGACAAAATTTTTCGAAAGGAAATTACCTTGACCTGTATTCAAGCTTGCAGGGTTCCAATTTGTAAGAACCTTGACTCAACATCTTCTGACTGACCAAAAGGTCCAGAAGCATGTCATTTGGGTGATATGTTCCTGTATATAACTCCTGACAAAGTTTATTCAGGATCACGGGGGTCGAATTGAAGTTTAAAATAACTTCAGTTGAACATTGATTACCGAGTGTGCAATTCATGCCCATTGGACCTCTTGTGCTATTACCTCGTGCGATATTAAGTAAGATGTGCCCGCTGTTCGATAGTATGTCTAGTGGTTGCGCATGTGTTGTTATAAATTTGGTGTGATGGGTACCCGGTGTCCTCGATGAAACCGAAGACTCAAGTTATAACCTTACTATACATTCGGTCTTAATATTTTTGTTCTTTTTCTGAATAATTCTACTGTTTACATTTTACTCCAGTTTAAGAGATCTTGAGTTTGAATTATTTTTTGCCGAAATGTCAGTACTATCTTCATGTTGTTAAGAGGTTAGGTGAACACCTGTATGTATCGTTACGTTTTTCGGAGAGAACCAAACCGAAAAGTGTCTCTGTATTGGTTGAAATAATGCATGTGGTACTTTAACACTCTCATGAAACTGATATTTATCTATATTGTATAATCGATAATTAGATTTTTTAAATGTTTACAATTTTGTTAACAAACAACTGACAAAGTGTGTAAAAACTTCTCACTTTTTATTTTTCAACAAAATTGCTGTACAAAAGGTTAATGAGTACACATACATGTTAACTCGTATTTTTGCAGTAAAACGCATCTTTTTGTGGAAGTAACATTAAATCATCAATTCTTGTCTTATACATTTGGAATGATGAAACACAAATCAAACGGTACAAACAGGAAGGTTCTTATCGACATTTTACAAATGTCATAATTTACCCAGTAACCATTATAGGAAACGAGCATAACACACATTGTAGTCAGAGGCGTAGCAATAATGTATGCTTGCATGCTGAAACATACACTCGAATTCCATTGAGATACATTTGCACTACTTTTTTAACCTTACTGCGGCCCTAGACCCCCTTAACCGGGGCTTCGCCCTTGGATCCTCTCTTGAAAGCATACACTCTTAAAAATGTTTTGCTACGCCACTGGTAGTGATTTCTTAACTTCACAAAAATTGGTTTAGCAGCAGTGGTAATGTGGGAATGGGTGTTGGAGATCCACGATGCCACTGGATTATATGTTTATAGAGAGAATATTACACTAGGGTAATAATGGATTTATCAAACGAGTTCAGTCCGAGTTAGATATGCATATAGGCGAATGACACATCAAATCATTGAACTAGTTTAGTAAATTCCACAATAAAACACGGAAACATGGATTTTAAGATTATATTTATCAAATAACTTTTCTGGAAAAAATGAGCGAAAACTGGATTAACATTCCCTAGAAGACATGTCTATTTCTACTTGGCAAGTTTTTCACTGACGTGACAAGCATATGACGCCATAATGACATGACTTATGTATGACGTCACAATAGTGTTACAATGTAGTTCACCTGTCTTACGATGACAGTACTACAAGAACATACAACTCAACATTCGTGTAACTAGAATGTTCTTTCTGAAAAAGGCAATACTTTAAATAACACAACCAATGACACTAGTTAGATACAATGAACAACATATTTTGTTTTAAATTAATACAAGGTTATACAATATATATTACCTAGTTTGTCAGCATCTACAACATACATTTTTAATATAAAAATTCTTACCCATAGATTAATATGTTGATTGAGTTGAAATATGTGATATACAATATAAATATTAGGAATATATAATTAGAGGGTTTAATTCACATGGAAGGTTGTGATCTATAATTTGAAAAGATTCTTCTACTGTTTCTGTCATACGCCTGGCACTTAAACAATTTTTGTTCTCGGAGAATCAAGTTGTAAAGCATTTATAGGAAGACATTTCTTGATAATAAAATTCCCTTTCTTTAACAAGCAAAACCCGACATCAAAAGTAGGTGTTGTCCGTATCTTCAACAAAGGAATGCTGTGACATAATTTCTTTGGTACATATTGTAACTGTAGTGGAAATATGGCAATTGCGATGTTTACATAAATGATGTTCAAAACATTGATATGATAGCTCAAAGATTTACGAAAATAAGTAATCACAAACTATTGGAAATATACCAAAGTTATCTTCAAGTGTATTAAACTAATGGTCTCGAGCGAGTTAATTTGTTGTCAATAGAAGTCGGTACGGAGACTTCTATGGGGTTTATTAGAACCTGTACAGGTGGTCATACCTGTATATATGCATACCTGTCCATGTGTAATTCTGGTCTTTTTCGTAAACTACCTCCCTGACAAATGGTCAGTTACTATAATGATGGAAACACTGTAAATAACTACTTTAGGGCTGTGTTCATCCATGCATCAATCATCTAAGTTTGTTTTAATTAAGCACGTCTAAATCCGGTTAAGTATACCTAGATCTGTGAAATAGCATTATTTCAATATTTTTTCCTGCATTCTGATACTTAATTCCATAGGTTACAGCCTATTTTTTAAAAACATAATTCACACCGGGAATGATCAATGTAACGATGCACTTTTTTCTTTCTGTGTACGTAGGAATATAAGAAAATAAATAACAGTACGGGAAAAAGGAATGCTTTGAATTGACATCCACGTAAACATGTGTTTGATTAAAGTAAACATCAAAAATAATATGACTTAATTTAGTATAAATATTTTGGAGAGTATACTCCCCTTTATATTAAATCTGTGATTAATGCATTAGGTTGGACGATATGTATGTAACGGAGTATTCCTAGATATGACAGTTACAGACGCGTATCATATTCCGCGTCCACGAGTCCGTCATCCCTCGCCTCTTCGAGAGGGATTACCCACGTGTCCACCTCTGGGCTACTGTCCATTATGCTTGTCCTCTCTCCAGTACATGAAGTACGGCGGCTACCTGCCTCCTCTACGGTGGTCTCGGTCATCGGACCCTCGCCTCGAAGTATGTCGACATCCGGAATAGGATTGGTCACCTGGCCAATCCGCCAGCTCGTAGTTTTTGTCAGTAAGGTTCGCTCCAGCTGTAAAGAAACATACCGAGAGACATATACTTCAAAATGTACAGAATATACAATATGTAAACGTAACAGTCATCTTTACACAACCAATAATATATTCATGGATGATTACATCTTCGGGAAAAAGTCAAAAAGAATTATTGAAAATCAAATTTTTTTGCAGATCTAAATTTTAGAATGTTGCCAGTTAATTGAAAGTAGATTATCAGAATGATGAAAACACTAGATGTATCCTTGGTCAAATGAATAAATGATGGAATTTCCATATTTGTTGATGGACACCAAAAATTTATACAAAGAAAACAATATCTTTCAGTACAAACTTAAGAGCCAGACACAGTAGATCCAAAATAATGGATAAAACAACATCCAACATTTGCCTCATCTCACCACTGCGGACCCGATCAGAAAAAGACATTGATACAAAGGCGTACCTGTTTAGCGTAGCGCGTCCCAGATGGACAGTACCACATTCCCGTTCTAGCCTTGTTTCGGAGGTAAACTATGGCGATCACTGCAGCAAAAGCCACGAAGCTCGACAGAATAATCAATGCGAGGAAGATGCCGAAATGTTGGGCGAAAATTGATGGAGTTCTGCCATTCTCCGAAGGGTGTGGTATTTCTGTTGGACTAAAGGGTACAGAGAACTCCACTAAAGTTGCCCCATACACACCAAGCTATATGAAGTATACAAATGGTAAAATTTATGGTAACTTTCTTTCAGAATCCTAGAATCCTACCAAGGCGATATTCATTGGTGTGTCTTTTGTATTATGACCAAAAGAAGTTGTACTGCATTGCATATTACGTACATAGATAGGTACCCATTGTACTTTAGGCTAATTTCTTCAATGTATAAACCTCTTTCCGCACAATTTGTAAATCTTGGTAAGCTCCCTAAATTTGATAGTACACCAGTAAAACGAATATAACTTCATTGTCCTTCAAACTGGGAAAGCAAAATCATGGTTGATATATCAATGCGGAAATCGTACGAAAGACACACGAGTGAATAACACATTTTAATACATATAATAGACAGAGCCAAATAATCTATCATATAGCTCTTCCGGTCTTCTAGGACCCTACAGTGATATAAAGGGCCTAAATCCTTAAAACTGAGGAGGCGATGCAGGAAAATCCAGAGTAAATCTCAAATGGAAATAACGTGTTGCTTAAGAATCACCAATTAGAATTGAGAATATCTTAAAAAAAACAATGCTTCAAATAGTGTTGTACAAATTGGCAGTTATATATCTTGATACAGTGGACTGGAATCAGCAACAAGGTAGCTAAACCCCACTAGGGAAAGTTATGTAAGGATGAGGGCGTGTGTTAAACTTACATCTTGTTCCAAGAATTGACGAACCTCACTTTTCTGAAGCAGGGACTCGAGGTATTGGTTGGGTACATAATCGCCTATAATAAGCATGTAGAAGAAAATCAGGTGATAGAACTAAACATTCTTAACAAACCTCTGGTTTAAATAAGGGAATTTCAGTTGGAAACAGCAAACTGATGTTGCAAAACAGCAATAGTTTAGTTGGCAATGAAATACTGTCAGGATGAACGGATTTCTCTCGATCAAATTTTCTCAAATTGGCTGATTAAATGAAATTAAGTAATTTGGAAAACACATTACCAGACGGGTGTTTGGCTTCCACTAACATCACAACGTTGTTTTCGTGTAACGTGGTATTACGTAAGAAGATATCGGTAGGCTGGAAGTGTGTGTTGTTTCTATGGTGCTGTGTCATATTTATGCCTCGTTTAAGCCGTCGATCATAAAATTTTGTGAGCATTTTTGAAAATGCTGTTTGGACGGATGCCTTAAAATCTCGTTCAGCCTGAAAAGTACAAGTCAATACATGGACAAAATCGTTTGCAAAGTAACACTAGGTACAATGTAACGAGATTTACCTGATATTCTGAATTGGTTAACTCTGTCTGTACCATGATTTATTTCAGGGTTGCTCCCCTTACTTAGCGTTCTTTAATGACTGGAATTTCATTACGGGACTACTAACAAAATTTGCGAAATTCAATTCTGGTGCTTTAAATAGGTAGTATAGTTTTATTGGCCATGCGTTCATACAAACACCAGAACTTGTAGTTTGTCAGTTAGACAAATACCAATGTTTTGTATGAAAGAAATCATTGGTGTGAACACTCTCCGAAAATTTTACTCCAACTTTCACTGTATGGGTGGGAAGACTGAGTTTCTATGACTAAATTTTACTTAGCGCAAACGTACCTGTTTATCGTTGATAACAACTTGAATGTTAAAGACCACTTGGATGCATTTAGTACACTGAACATCAGTCGTGTCAGGCGAATGCGATGTTGTCAGTGTGGTCTTCTCGGACGGAATTACGATAGTAGTTACTGATGGTGATGTATTGAGACGATCTGATGAAACACTTGATATGGTCAGACGTTTTGAGGAAATAATGTTATATGAAGCAGTTGAATATGGTGCATGATATGAAGCAGGCGAATAGGATGTGTGATATGACTTAGTATCAGGAGATGGCGTATTCTGTAAATCAATGGAAGAGAGAACCTGTTTTGAAGCAACAGAATGTATGTGTACGTAGGTAGAAAATGACGCCTGTATTGAAGACGGGGAAAACCTGCGCGAAAGAGTAGAAGATATTGGATGGTCTACGATACTTGAAGCGACCGTGTGTGGATTGAGGATAGAAGAAGAAATATTTGGAGCAATGGCCGAACCATGTTCTTTTGTTACTGCCCTGGTCAAAATGCTTTTTTCGGTTGAAAGATCAAAAGAAGTGATACTGGATAAGGTATTTGTAATGGTGGCTTTCGTCATTAGTTGTGATGACGCAACTGAAGGCAGAAGACATGAGCTACAAGACTCCTCATGTAGACTGGCATGGTGTCTCCACGTTTCAACCTTTTCCGTTTTTGTTGGTGATTCAATTAGTGTATCTGATCCAACATCACCGCTCTCAGTAACAAGATCAGATGCACCACCAATGGTTTTGGTAGTGAAAACACCGATTGGTTTAGACGCTAAAGAATCCTGAGATGATTGTTGGTGAACGTTCAAGTCCGAAACGACCATTGACATTTGTCGTCCACTATATGATGTTGTTGTGGTTGTTGATGAATAAACACTATTTGGGTACTCTGCAGGGGAGTGATCTCTGTCAGACGATAAATTTCCACCTATAGATAAATTAGTGGTGGTTGCAAGCATTTGTCTTGCAGTTGAAGGTGTTATATCTAAATGCATTCGTTTTGTTTCTTCTTCTTTTGACAATGACGCACTATCAAGTCTGCCCATGGCATTTCTTTCCTCATTTGTGTGCGCAGATGAGACGAGTTGCCCGGATGTAAAGCTGACTGGCGCTCTCGTTCTATCACGCAACACCGAGAAGTAAAGTGTGATCGGAGCCCGGTTCACAGAGGTAGTCGACGGTGGCGAAACTGACGAAGAATCCCCTGTGGAATATAAATATTGACGATTCCATACACATATCTATATAACCAATCTACATGTAAAACGTTTTGCTTCTGAGAAAATACTTTGAGTCGTGCTTCATCATACATATTATAATTCTACATGTCCATCTGCGGACAACCTCACCGTTCTTGCTTGAAATATATGCAAACCAAACAAGTGTCATAAATTACACCTTTTCATATTTACATATAACAAATTGAAGACGAAATAATAGTAGAGTGGCCCTGATATCGATGAATCACAGATAACCATGTAGTCGAGTACAGACCTTGAAGGCAGAGGTGAGTGGAAGCTACACATGTACCGTCTGAACATCTCTGTTGACCATCAGGACAGGGCGTGTCATCTAAAATGTGTAATGATATAGGTGTGAACCTCGGTATTTTTAAATGTCAATATTTGATTGAATGGAAAACCGTATCGAAGACACAAAGATATGGGCTAAATATTTGATGAAAATAACATAATGATGATAAAAAACAGACTGAAACCCCACAAAACACGGAAAACGACGAGCAACAATGTATCAAAATATACCGATTGGAAACGAGGCACAGAAAACTAAAGACAACGCTGCTGAAATATACCTAGAGAATCGAGGAATTTTAAACCTGAAAAAGTTTCTAAACCTAAGAGAGATATATAAAAATATTGGAAATATCTCTCATTGTCTAAGACACTATTTAGTTGTTGAATGTACAAAGTATTAGAGATTAATATGCGTCTGAGAAATTTAATAAAGCTGAGAAAATAAGAACCCCTTAAGTGCTATTTTACCTATGATGTACCTTGTCTATTACAAAAGAATCATTTTCTATACCGAGTACCATATATGATAGAATGAATGTTGAATCTATCAAAGATTGTATAAAAGACAAACAAGTGAATTGTGTCTTGCATTACAAATTTAGAATTACATTCAGAAGCGACAAAAAATAGATTGCAAAGTATCATACAGCTTTGACAGAAGCAAATAAAAAAAAGGACAAAAAATGATAGATTTAACAATACTTTAAAAATCGTAACAGCAGAAAACACTTTATCTTAAAACAAAACAAAGGCGAGCGAACATTGTATGAAACTGACATAACGATCAAAACAGATACAAACAAAACACAGGAAACGAGGCAAGACAGCATTGTATCAAAAGTAAAAACAAAGGCGAGCGAATATGTATCAGACGACGAACAAACGAGGAGTGGAGGTCACCACAAAATTTCTCTACCATATGGAATAAATGTGATTGTGTGGTTGCGAGGCAACACAATGATTGTTAGATATGTTATTACCTGGAGTGGAGACATCCCTGATTGCTCTGTCGTCTATATCAAGGTTTCGGTTGCTGGCTAATTTCCCATATGTTCGTGGTCGTCTCCTGAATCTTTCGCTTGCTTCAGAAACTGGCTCTCCAGTCTTCACAGTGTGGGGAGATATGTCACTTCTAGGTCCTATCAAATATAATGGAAGATATTACCACTTTCATAAAATATATACTATTTCAACAGTATCAATATGTTGGTTTCGATCTCGACAATTGAATTGTAAAGGAAAGTGTTTCTTTCTATCTCGACAAAGAAAAAATCATTCATTTCTATCTCAACAATAGAATTGTAAAGGAAAGTGTTTCATTCTATCTCGACAATAGAAATTTGCTGGTTTCGATCTCGACAATAGAAATGTGTTGGTTTCGATCTCGACGATAGAAATTTGCTGGCTTCGATCTCGACAATTGAAATGTGTTGGTTTCGATCTTGACAATGGGCATGTTTTAGTTTCTATTAATAGCGCAAACCTCATTATGTGTATTAATCATTATATCTATTTCAATTATATGTACATTTAGATATATTAAAACAATGAGCTTAGTCATTCCTTGATTTAAGCTCAAGTGTAAGTAACGACACCATGACAGTAAAACAGGAAGAAATTGGATGATACATCCAATATTAAATGGAAGTATTTTGAATTGATGTACCTTCACCACAGTATCCCACACTGCATCTGTCAGTGGAGCGAAGCCAATACACGAAGTAGTTGCCACAGTTGTGAACGAATGCAGTTTCCTTGACGACGCAGCACTGCCACATACCTAACACGGGGTAAGAGCCACACACAGACCCGGGAACAGTCTGACCAGGCTGTGGCAAATCTTCTCCGAGTAGATTCAGCCACATGGCCACTTCCAGTCCACACACGTGATTCTGTTACAAATCAAAAGTTACTGACTTCAAGAAAAAAATAACAAATCTCGCCGGATATAAAGACCGAACATGCAATGGAGAGTATTGATTTGAAATAATCACTGACACTTGGACTGTTATTATGATACACCCCTAATCAACATCCGGATGGGCGGACGGCTTTCACTTTAAGGAAGAGACTGTATTATGAAACCCATTAATTTTGGTTAGGATATCAATTAGGTAAAATCACACAATATGGATAACTATGAATTTCTTTACTTTTATGCAAGTTGTAGGAAGTGAGGCAGAGTGTCCATCTGTCGTCATCAGTCTGTACCAGCCTTCCTGAAGGTCTGAATCACAGTTGTCTCCACTCTTGCTTCCTATTTCCCGCCATTTGTCGTTCAAAACGGTGTGGTTCTGGCAAATTTCTGAAGGAAGGAAAGGAAATTGACAAGATAAACATCGCCATACAGGCTTAGAATTAGTGTTCTGTGTGACCTCTCCACGTCAAATATGAAACTTAGTTCAGATACTCCCGTTAAGGTTAAAATATCCTTTTAAGTTTGCATATTCGCATTCATTACGAATTAAGATAAAATATGCCACGAATAATGCCAGGAATACTGTTTAGTTGTGATGAAATGAAGTTACAAGTGCTAAAGGTAAAAAGGGAAAGGGGAGCAGTTTTTTAATGTCGTCTGCTCACTGTTCAGAAGACATTTATGAAATCGCCATGGCAATACCTCGTGCTTAGCCCAGGAATATCTTTCTGAGCGCTGCATAATCGGGTTGTTTTCAATGTCGTCCAATCTGGAGATCCTTACGAAACCACCACCAATTACCTGCATTTATTGTAACACTTCGTGCTTCGAGCAGAATATTATTACCTTGTACATGCTATGGTAGCTTAAGGTAGAAGACGCATACACCTGAATCATACCCCTAGTCAATCGGGAAAAATATTCGCACGAGGGCCATTTAATAAACTCTGTCAATACACGGCTCCCGTACATACGGATAGGAACAGTGTATTAAAATTGTACAAACAATTGGCACGCTGCAAAGTAATTTAAATAATAATGCACCAGGACTGGGCATGTTAATCATTGATGAATTGAGAACACTACCGGCTAGTGACATAATTTTAAATGTTTAAAGGAGTGTTAAGATTAAACTTGTAATACGCGGTGATGGTAAGACAATGCAGAAATATGCTGATGGTACATATGTCGTCTCCTAAGTCATGTAATCAGGTGGGACGACACAAATCACAAACTGTAATCGATATTTAGAAGGAAACACGGTCATACAGGCCAATAATCATTTCAGGCAAAAGCAACTCGTGATTCTGTGAATGCACTGGTCTAGAATGATGTTGGTTACATTGTTTCTGTGATAGCGTGTAGGGTTGGCACGTACGCCGCATACTAACAAACTGTTTGAAAAATAACAGATAGTTTTGTGCTAGATGAATCCCCCATTTGATGACATCTGAACAATATACCTACGTTTGTGCCAATAACCTTACTTACAGGGGACAGAGGATAACTTATTTAAACCATAAAGGCACCTCAATAATAAGCATTGTCTGTAGAAAAAACACGCAAGGTTAATTAAGATGAGTGCGAATACAGCTTGTATATCTTCTTTTTTTAAAATTCCGATGTAGCTACTGTGCAAGAAAGGGAGACTATCAGTGAAACGTTTTACACAAAATACTGACAATGAGAGAAATATTAAGAGATTGAAAAGCGCCCACGTAATTTAATGAAACACCGCTCCAAAACTGAAGATCCGACATTCATACACGTGGTTCGACGCCCCTACCTCTGACGGTTTGTGTTATTCAAGAAGCTGAGAAACGGACCGGCCGAGCTGTCGTGGTTTTATCGTTAGGCAGGACACGTAACCTTAATTCTCTGGATACGATGGAAACCTGCTCCGGCAGTGCATTTGATATTTCAGTGATTGACTGGCATTAACATTTCAGAGTCGCAAATTGTGAAATATTATTGTTTTTCATGTGTTATATAATACCTTACCTAGGCTGGACATCCCCAGTGCTTTTTCAAACGTTCCAGATGCCACTATAACAAAGGATGGTATTCAATGAGATTCCATTAGCTATAACAACAATATCTCGCCTCAAACTGACTCGGACTACAAACAACCCTATCCCCACCCCCAACAATATATTTTTTTTCGTAACAAAAATATACCGGCTTAAACCTGTTACAATTTAAGATTTCGGTCAACTCCGATATCTATCGTGCTGATTTTAAAACTGCCAAAATTAAATATAATAAGAAATTCTTCCACAAGGACTGACCGCCAAATAGAAAGAAATTTTATATAACACAAGTTCAGTTGTCTTCAATTCAAAAACTAATTAACAAAGCATTGTTTTTTCGTGTAAAAATTTGCTGACATTTTCTCGGTCAGTAATATGATAACTGTGTAGGTAGCTACAATATACTTGTATATCATAATTTGAAGTGTCCTACTCCCGATTTGCCTTTTGTGACATATATAGAAACAACACTAAAAGAACACACGTCACTTCCATCTAAACTTGAACAGAAATAACACCCTTACTCCCCCGTAATCACTTCCCGTATACGAATGGCCGACCAGCCCATCCGCTTGACAAACACTTCAAATTATACAATAACTCGCATCAAAATGCAAGAGCTCAACGACCTTCAGCTACATGGAATTAAGCACGCATGATTATTATTGATACATTTAGATAGACTTTTAAGTATATATCGTAAAAACGAATGATATAAATCTATATGTTCTGAAAAAAAAATCTATAAACTTTTGAGGAGACACGGGGGCAGAATTAATCATTGTTAAACTTTAGCTGTCATGTGCGTTTATATCGCCAATGTTTGTGCAGTAACATTTAAACTGGTGTAAACAATCATCACTGTTTGTTTACATTTCAATCACTACCTTAGTTCCTAGAATGACAACGCCTGTCTGAATTACCTTAGGTTATGCCATTAATTCTGGGAACGGACAAAAGGACTTTATAAAACTTACCTAGACAAAACATAGGTCTAACACACAGACACAACACAGGTCTAACACACAGACACAACACAGGTCTAACACACAGACACAACACAGGTCTAACACACAGACACAACACAGGTCTAACACACAGACACAACACAGGTCTAACACAGAGACCAAGACCACAACATAGGTCTAACACAGAGACCAAGACCACAACATAGGTCTAACACACAGACACAACACAGGTCTAACACAGAGACCAAGACCACAACATAGGTCTAATACACAGACAACATAGGTCTAACACACAGAGACCAAGACCACAACATAGGTCTAATACACAGACACAACACGGGTCTAACACAGAGACCAAGACCACAACATAGGTCTAATACACAGACACAACATAGGTCTAACACAGAGACCAAGACCACAACATAGGTCTAATACACAGACACAACATAGGTCTAATGTACAGACACAACATAGGTCTAATACACAGACACAACACAGGTCTAATACACACATACAACACAGGTCTAATACACAGACACAACATAGGTCTAATACACACATACAACATAGGTCTAATACACAGACACAACACGGGTCTGATACACAGACAACATAGGTCTAGTACTCAGACACAACACGGGTCTAATACACAGACCAACATGGGACTAATACACAGACACAACATAGGTCTAATACACAGACACAACACAGGTCTAATACACAGACACAACAGAGGTCTAATACACAGACTCAACAGAGGTCTAATACACAGACACAACACAGGTCTAATACTCAGACACAACACAGGTCTAATACACAGACCAACATAGGACTAATACACAGACACGACATAGGTCTAATACACAGACACAACACAGGTCTAATACACAGACACAACAGAGGTCTAATACACAGACTCAACAGAGGTCTAATACACAGACACAACACAGGTTTAATACACAGACACAACACAGGTCTAATACACAGGTACAACATTGGTCTAATACACAGACCACAAAATAGGTCTAATTCACAGATACAACAATTTAAGAAATACTAATTTGAGGCGAAAAGTGATTGGATGTTGACTACATTGTGAAATACAATAGATTAAAGAGATGGAACAAAGAAAAAATACTTTTAAGATAAAAGTTGCTGAAATATTTAATAAATCTATCAAGAATTATTAGTAAGTGATTTTTTCAAATTGTTCTGAAGTTTAAAAAACTATCTAACTTACCTGTAACAATGGTAAAAGGGTTAAGCGCCAGGTAGACGAACAGCGTGGCTAGGGAACCCATAGTGTTATAAGTAAAGTGCCTCACCTCGCGTCCACTAACAATATACAGGCACCGAAGCTGGAGTCTCTCATTTCGGGCGCGGGTTTAAATTCCTGAGTGTCACCCGATAGCCTGCTCCCAGTAAAACAATGATAAACTATTTTTGTCACATCATGTGTGTATGTGATTCCATATCGAAACAGGACGATGAGTAATAGACTTATTCAGTCAGCACCGCTCAGCGACATTCATCACAGGAAAATGTGAAAAAAGTGTAACTTATCAAATAGAAAACACTTAACATTATTTTACATACAAAGTAGGGTTGTCCCTATACCTCGATCCGTGCGCCGATCGCGCTCGGGAAGTTTGTCAAATCTGCACTCCATCTCGGTTGACACACCCTGCCCCACCCATAACCTTCCCTGATACATGTATATCAGCATATGACTATGGGTGCAACTTCCCGTTACAAATCTCACCATTACTGAAAACTTTACCACTCCATAGTTATGGTTGTTAAGTCAAATTTTCACCGACAGAGTAAAATATTTGATGACAAAAAATCTTTCTATAGGACATCTATACCTGTGACTTTCTCCACTCTTCTTCAAACTGGCCGTAAATGAAACGATTTTATAAAGGTAACGGATTTATTTTTTCAGGCCGTCAACTAATATCAGTTTTATTCTCATGTAGCCCACCTCTGTCTTAACCTCTAACCCCCTTCCGTCTTGTCAAAATATTCTCTAATCACCAGTCCTCCCTCCCTGCCTCATCTAAGGCCCGTATCTCTCTTTTTTCCAGCCATTGTTTCTTCTCTCCATCCGTCCCTCCCTCATCTAAGGCCCGTATATCTCTTTTCTCCAGCCATTGTTTCTTTCCCTCCATCCGTCCCTCCCTCATCTAAGGCCCGTATCTCTCTTTTCTCCAGCCATTGTTTCCTTCCCTCCATCCGTCCCTCTTTTATGGCATCTTCTTATCATAACTCTGTCAACCATTCTTCCCTCCTCCCCCTCCCACCTCTGTTCTCCACTTATCCCTTTTGTCATATCGACATTAAGCTACAGATTAATCTGCTTTGTTTAAATAATTCCCCCTTATTCCTGACCAGACCTAGTCGTTGATTAGTATTCCAGCGATAGGGACGGGTCTTGTTACGGCGGCTGGCATTTTGTAACAATCACCTTGTAACGGTGTGGTAGGTCAGGTAATAAATCCCTGGCGACGATCGCGTGGAAAACACGAGCTAGACTTAAAACTCTTGTATGGCATGGTTTAAATCATAGATAGTCTCATTGTAGTGGTCCCTTACTTCAATAATATTTTTTATTGAAATATCAGCATGATTAATCGATATATCTCTACATATATGGCTATTATATCAGATATAAACCTAGTTTCTGTCGGAGATTCATTCTGAATGCAGGATTGATTATAAATCGCCGACCAGAGGAGTAAAAGATTATGTTAGATCTTTTGACCCAATTTAGGGTCACAAGGGTCACAAGGGTCAAATGTAATATAGTCGTCTAAACACATTATGGTTATATTTTTCCCGTAAAATACTGATTTCAAGGAGTATCAAGTATGTTCAAATAAATAATCTTGACCCAATTTTCATGATCACGTGGATCAAATATATATATAAAAAATACTCCAAATGACACAATGTCGTGATATTGGCCGAGAAAGAAGGAAGGAAGGGTTGTCTTGTGTATTAAAATTAAACGTGACTCCATTTCAAAATTACGAGATCTAATTGTGACAAAATCTTCTGTCACAGTGGCGTGATATATATTTAGAAAACCGCATGCCAGGGTGAAGGGCTTCAAACTTCTTTGAGCCTCTTGTATGCGTGTTCATGTGCATGTATATATGTTTCGGTTCGCCGCAAGCTCAATAATTTCCGAAAACTCTTAAGTTATGTGCTTAAAAGGACGTGTCTAAACCTAGATAGATAATTGATTTAAATATATACACATGTACTTCCTTTGTTAAGTCTGGACCATGCTGCCTGTGATGATTGTTTTTCAACGATGCAATTTGAAAAGTCTAGTGTATGTATAGAGGATCGGAAATGGCGACCATCTAGTCTTACCTATAGATTAAGTCATTTGTCAGTACATCATAGATCAACACTTTAATATGGTCACTGTCACGTTTTATGCTATAATTTGTTAGTTCTTAATTGAAGAATAATTTCATAGTCGTGAGCTCATGATTTACGATTTATATATTATATAGAGAGAGCCAGACACTACGAATTTGTATAAACGTATTTAATCCTGAAACAAAAATGGTGACGATGGCTGTATTGATATTCCGATAAAAAATGTCACAGTTGGCAAAAGTTGGAAACATGAAATAAAGGATTGTTGACGGCATCGTTATTTCATAACTTTAAACTGAAAGTGGCATACTTCCATGTTGTACCTAAATCAAGAAAAATCGTCACTTCCGCTCTAATTTTAATACTACATTCCATACTATCCCTTCTCACTATCATAAAAAGTGTTACTTCCATAGTATTTTTCCATCCAAATAAAGAATGTTATCCTGATAGGTATGTTCACCATTCCAGAAGTACAGTCTGACTCGGACACTGTTCAGGGACGAGAAGTAGCTCTCATCGATACTAAAGGAGTTGTTTAAAAAAAACCGTTAAAATGCATGTCATTGTTTTAAGGACCGTTGGACTTAACTATTTCACAATATGTTATATGGATAATATTGTTTTATGAAATTATGTCATGTCATTTGTCTGGCGACTTATTCCATTTATATTCAAGAGTACGTATGTATTGGTGTGAGATAGCAGTGCTACAGATACTGAACACAGTCAATATATACAGTTGTGAAAGGTCAAGGTTCCTAACTCACTTGTAGATCCATGTCAGAGGAGTTGCAGAGGCTGGATGTCGAATGTCGTATCCTAGAGGTTCTTTTACTCTACTAAAACAGTGATAAACTTGTAAAAAGAGTTTACTGTAGGATGTAGGATGGAATTCGAATCTAGATTACAAACTTGATACCAAAATCCTAACTTTTGATGTCACGGAACATTTTCAGTAAAAAATAACCTTGTTTATGTAAGTAATACATCACAAAATAATGGCACTGTTCAAATGCTAGTCTTTCTTTTTTCTCGACCATAACCACTGTCTCATTGAGATCTAAGAGAAGACACTTTGAAGGCAGACCTAGTTAGTATATAATTTTAATGATTACGTTATAAGGTGTATTTTTAAAAACAATTCTTACACATTGGAAATTTCAACATATGTTTGCTGGGTGAGAGTAAAGGTGTTTTCTTACGCAAGGATATATAGTAATACAAAAATGTAGTTAAAGCTATATATAATAATTATGGTGTCATGCATCACTCAACCATTACTACTACATTTGTTTTGAAGAGAATTGTGTTTAAGTTATTTCTCTTGGGAGTTGTTCGTTACATTTGATTTGGATAGTGTGCAACCATATTTTATAAATTCATAATAATATTGTTTTTAGATATGAATAATTTTAATTTTTTCATTGTTTTAATTTTTCCATTTTTACCAACATCGACTTTGTTTTTACTTGACCAATCTAAAACGATTATTCCATACCTTCAAACATTTCAAAATTCACTTTAGCAAAATAATGTCAAGAGAATGAAGATTGTATTATGTTAATGGATCCCGTCTTCGTTGGTTCATATTTGTAAAGGCGAAAAAAAGTTGGACTTCTTTCGATGTGTCATTTTTTCATGAATAAAACAAAACAAAAAAAAAAATAATAATAGAATGAAGCCAATAGCAGCTGTGAACCGCACGACAAGTAGCGCATGCGTAACAGAACAACCTGAAAGCATTAGTAGTGAAAAGTAAGCACAAAAACACATGATCATTCTTTTCAATTATTTTAATACAAACGTTCTATACGGCATACACGTGCATATAAGTTTTACATGTGCATGCGGTTTTCTAGCACAAATGTAAAAATACATATATATATCACTATGGCGATCAGATGTGGATTCATTTAGAGATAAAAAAATCGTCTTTTGAAAGATAATGAAATGGAGATTGATGACGTCATAAAAAGAGTTTGCGAGACTTTGTCCACGCTTTATCTACAATATGGTATCACAGTTTGTTGAAAGCTGGGCTCGGTCTAATGGTTGTCTCCAATATCTAACGATTCTGATCATTTGGATATTATTTGAAAGATGATATATTGTTAAGTCTAGTTGCCACTTGGCACAAGGTTGATGAAACCGGAGGCACAGGTCTTGGCTGAGTCGTTCCATTTGAGGCCGGTTGGGCAGGTATTTACGTACACATCTCCCCAAAGATCACACTGCAGGAACTTGTTGGAATCAGCGGCATATTCGAAGAAAAGTTGTCCTGCAGAAAGGGACTCCACTGTGCATGGGTTCTTCAGGTTGTCTCCGCTTCCCGTTCCAGTATTTCCACTTCCAGTTCCGGTGCCGCTTCCGGTGTTACCACTTCCTGTTCCAGCGCTGCCTGCTCCGGGAAGAACGGTTCCTATCTGGAAAACACACGAAAGACGAGACTCTTGCCACACAAGTCCAGCTGGGCAGTCCAGGATGTTAGGATGACCAAGCATATCGCATTCAATGAATTTAGTGATATCGTCGGCAACAGAGAAGTAAATATTGCCTGCTTGGATATTGGTCTGGCTGCAGGGGTTAGATCCTACGGTGGCTGGGCCTGAAGTGGCGGGATTGACTACCACTGGTGCAGACGTTTGTGGGGCAGCTGTCACAACAGGCTTTGAAAGGTCAATACAGGAAGTGCTGGATGACACGTAGGTCTCTCCAGCCGGACACTGAACGATGAACATCCTTCCGAAGAGATCGCACTGGATAAACTTGGTGTTGTCGGTTGGGTGAGGGAAATAGATAGATTGGTCTGGGTTGGATTTGCAGGGGTTGGGAACATTCTGGAAGGCATCTGTAGAAATTTTAAAAAATGACAAGGTACTACTATATGTCAAAATGTCTTGTACGATCAGTGACGTAGAGAATCGTTTTTATCTCTGTATGCGTTTCAGCAAACTATTGAGTCCAAAGAGGATATGGAAGATGGTATTATCCCTCACATTTAGATTGCGAAATGTATTACGCTTGTGATTGTATTTATCTCTCCTTTCTACATCATTTTTGTACGTGCTTAAGTGTGTATCACACCATTTCTTGAATCTAAGACGAGTAACGTATTTATTTACTACTGATAATTGTGTGCTATCTACAGTAGATACAATAACTTACCTGGACAGTCTGCCTGTCTGGCAACTGAAAAAGGAAAGAAAGAAATAATTACGACAAATTAAGCTTGAAATAAGTTACAACTTATTTAAACAAAATAATTAAAACAAATTGGTTCCACTTATCTTTTTTATCTGCACACGTCTTAAGACTAATTCAAAACCAAACGCAGTTTTTGTTCAAACGTTAACAAAGGCAGCTAGTTATAAAGCAGATTTTTTTAGACAATGACACAGTCACCAGACAGGCGCAGTCAAAAGACAGGCGCACAGTCATCAGACAGGCACATAGTCATCAGACAAACACATAGTCATCAGACAGGCGCAGAGTCATAAGACAGGCGCAGAGTCATCAGACAGGAACATAGTCATAAGACAAGCACATAGTCATAAGACAGGCGCAGAGTCACCAGAGAGGCGCAGTCATCAGACAGGCGCAGAGTCATCAGACAGGCACATAGTCATCAGACAGGCGCAGAGTCACCAGAGAGGCGTAGAGTCATCAGACATGCGTAGAGTCATCAGACAGGCGCAGAGTCACCAGAGAGGCGCAGAGTCATCAGACATGCGTAGAGTCATCAGACAGGTGCAGAGTCATCAGACAGGCACATAGTCATCAGACAGACACATAGTCATAAGACAGGCGCAGAGTCACCAGAGACGCGCAGAGTCATCAGACAAGCACATAGTCATAAGACAGGCGCAGAGTCACCAGAGAGGCGCAGAGTCATCAGACAGGCACATAGTCATAAGACAGGCACAGAGTCACCAGAGAGGTGCAGTCATCAGACAGGCGCAGAGTCATCAGACAGGCACATAGTCAACAGAGAGGCACACAGTCATCAGACAGGCACATAGGCATCAGACAGGCGCAGAGTCATCAGACAGGCACATAATCATCAGACAGGCGCAGAGTCATCAGACAGGCGCAGAGTCATCAGACAGGCACATAATCATCAGACAAGCACATAATCATAAGGCAGACACATAGTCATAAGACAGGCGCAGAGTCAACAGACAGGCGCATAGTCATCAGACAGGCACAGAGTCATCAAACAGGCACAGAGTCACCAGAGAGGCGCATAGTCATCAAACAGGCACATAGTCATCAAACAGGCGCAGAGTCAACAGACAGTCACATTGTCATCAGACAGGCACACAGTCATCAGACAGGCACATAGTCATCAGACAGGCGCAGAGTCAACAGACAGTCACATTGTCATCAGACAGGCACACAGTCATCAGACAGGCGCATAGTCATCAGACAGGCACATAGTCATCAGACAGGCACAGAGTCACCAGAGAGGCGCAGTCTTCAGACAGGCGCAGAGTCATCAGACAGGCACATAGTCATCAGACAGGCACAGAGTCACCAGAGAGGCGCATAGTCATCAGACAGGCACATAGTCATCAGACAGGCGCAGAGTCAACAGACAGTCACACTGTCATCAGACAGGCACACAGTCATCAGACAGGCGCATAGTCATCAGACAGGCACACAGTCATCAGACAAGGCGACAGGATTATATTTATTATTAACCTGTTTACGATTGACGCTGAATATGAATTTCTAAGATTACGAGTTGACATAAATGTTCCTTGCCTAAGTACAAACAACGGCAAATAAATGCCTATACGCCTTTTTCTTCTTTGTTGACAACTTTCCGCTGTCATGTGCATTACCAAAACTGAAAGAGAGACATGACATCATAATCGAACAAATAATGAACAAAGGAGGGATTTACACAAAGACTTGAAAGTCACAAGGATAATAATACAGGGTATGTGTTCATGAAATGTCGTCTTCTTCAATGACGACACTCATCGCGTACTTTTACATCAGTCCAAGTAATGTTCTTTAAGTAAGAACCGAGTCTACAACAATAACACCACGCATTTCAATATCACCCTAATGAACAAAACATTTGCAAACACAAAACCATTACTTTTCACCTGTACCAATCTTCACTATTTATAATCTCTTTTTGTTTACATGAGGAACCAAATCATCCAATAGAGGATAACATCTCTGGTACTGAAGATAATACATTGTAAATGAACCTACAACTGTGTCTAAACACATGCGGTATTACAGTGCCCAGTACTTGTTGGCTTTTGGAGAACGAGTCACAATTAATCTGATACGACCAGGCATTTAATCCGATAGACCCTCCACGCTCCAGGTGTGGGGTGACGTGGTACCTAAGCAGTCATTCGACTTTCTATCTAAGAAACAGCCTGACAGATAACGCACGTTCCTGTTATTCACACGAGTTATTATGGCATATACCGAGAGACAGTCATATGAGGCAGGCGAGGGAGGATCACTTAAACAAGATCCGATATCGGGACAAGACTTTCACCATACAGCACTTAAAACCAGACATCAACTGTTAAGTCACGTGTCATATGCCCTTTCACGTTACGTCGTGCTCTCATTGTCTTCGACATGTATATGTGAATAACCAACTTTCAGTTATATTATTTGTGTCCTCGTGGAAGGAGATAATGCAATTATACGTGATAGTTAGTTCTACTCCGACAAGACAATAATAATTTGTGTCCTTAGCAATTGGCCGAAATAATTCATTATGGTACAACGTAAAAGCACATTTTAAAATTGAAAACTACTTTCATTTGGCATTCACTGACATGTGAATGTCAAAACGATAAGGAGGGAGGGGGTTCATCTTAAATTCACCTTATCCTGCTGGCAATAATAATACCTAAGAATATCAATTATAAGACGTCCAATGCTTCAATTGATCACTTTCAACTTCTATCTCGTTACTAGGGAAGACGACGGCATATTGTTCAAATGACTTTCAATATTCCATCGTCGATGGCAGTTCATGAGCTGGTAATTACACAACTGACTGTAAAGGTGACACTATAACAATGTCAAACAGTGGTAAACAGGCCTTTGAATATCAATTTGATATCCTGTATAACTTAGATTAAATCATTTTTGAACAGAAAGATATCATTAAACGATATTAGAAACTGACCAATATGAATACAGCTACGTGGATTGTAATAATTATAGGTACAGTAAAAACGAGTCTATTTTTGAAAACGTTATTTGACAAATAGTTGCAACGGTCGTAAAACATGTCATAAACATAGGAGCTGAGAAAGTAAGAGATTAAATACTGTAAACGTGATCGCTAAAATTATCATCAAAATACTATTTTTATTTACAAAACGAAATAAGATTGATCATTGAACTTACTTTGCTGTCGCTTCCTAGTTTCCCTAGAAACTTTGGGTATCAAAAAAAAAATTTCCTGCGTTTATTGATAAAATAGTGGTTTAACAATGGCGGTTCCCAGAGAGGCATACAACCTATCGAAACTTTCCAGAATTGTTGCGAAATTAGAAATGGAAAGACTTGAAATAGAAAGCAAATCAACTGTCATCATGTACAAAAACACGTTGACGTTTGTTAAGCATGTCACAATATATTAAACTATGTGCCTGCATTTTCTCAAGAATTTTCTATAAGGTGAGAATGCATCTTTTCCACTTGCAATTAGGAAGTTTTGTTATTGATAAATACAAACGCAAGCTACTTACATCGGTGGGGAACTGCAGCTGCTAAGCTGAGACACAGGACGAAAGCGGCGGCGGAAAGCATTTTGGAGTATTCAACGGTCGGAAGGGCTGGCGGCGAAGACGGAGACAGTGTGGAAACAGATCCTTAAATAGGGCACGGGTACTCCTATTGTCCTTATCTTCCAGATAAATTGGTCATTCGCGATCCATGGGGTCAACCAATTGTATGTCTGGAATGGACCACTGTTCCTTATCGGGTACACAAACGCGTTTACGTAGTGGCGAGTCAGCGTTGCTAGACCCCAACGATCTTCTCCGGACAAACGTACGGGGAACCTTAAAAACATTTTTAAAACTTTAAAAATCCATAAGTCGACGTTGTACAAAATTTAATTCCCAGTAATTATTATGAAATTTTAAAGTTGAAAATGTTTTACAAATTTGACATTTGTTTAGAGATTTGACAATTATTTCCATACATATGTCTCAAGTTTCCCCAATTGTTGACCCCATGATAGGTCATATTAAAATAATGACACTGGGTGGCAGTATTTAACATATTGAAGTCGAGCTGCCCCTGTTTGTCAACAGAGCCAGTTCCGTTGTCTACAGTCGTGACATAGGTAGTCCAGATTTCGTTCCCTCCCATCCGTAACTAGAGCTCGAAAGGAAATAATCTTATAGATTACAACACAGCCAAATTTTAACCATCCCGCCAGGTTTGCCCAAACATGTATGTAAAGACTGTTATACTAGTATACATCTGCTCAAACAAATAACCTGGTCGTCATTCTGTAACATTTTGTAATTAAAGTTGCTCTCTCGAGAGCGCACAAACGAAAAGCATACAAACAACCCTAATACTTAGTGTTATTAAAATGACATATACAAGCTGATTTGTTTGAAATATCAACAATAAAACATTTTTCTAATGAATACCGTTAACACTGCCAAAATATGCATTATATCGATTTAAAAAGCTTTGTACTTGAAGATATATTCGTAATTAATTACTTCACGCATGAGATATACTGTATCACCCCTGATGTCTTTCCCACACGATACTAGAAATACCAGTGATAAGACATCCTACATACATTTATATGTGGATAAGTAGTGTATCCCCCCTCTTTTTTGAATGAGTAACATTTCTTTTACATGGATGTAATTACAAGACGATTCAAATCTCCACTGGTTTTCTGGTCCATTCAAATCAATTAGCATCACCACTGCTCTTGTTGCAATTGCGAGAAACTTAAATATTCACTGCTTTTGATGTAATTAAGTGTTATAAAAAATCCATTGTTCTTGTAATTATGAAATCATTCATATCTCAATATGCTTGTTGTTATACTGCGGCAATTAATCATTAATCTTGTTGTAATGTTATTTCACATCGGATAAAATTTTGAATCGTTTTATGCATTTGGTTACACCATTTGAATATGAAAGATTTTATTGTGAACAGCCTTCAGCAATATCATTACATAATTTATGTAATTTAGGGAGTCAAATACAATGCTTTTACATGCATTGTGATAAGTATGTCTTACTGGTAAGGTTAACTCGTACGGTAAAAGATATGGATTTTGTCCGAAAAAGGTCATTCCGCCTCGTGGATATTGTGGATAGCAAAATAAAAACGATATCACATTATTTATGAACACTCAGCCGTGACTTGGCGTAAAACCAAATATACTTAGAATTTCGAATGAAAATCTGATAAACTCAAAACCATAAACAAATACTAAAAAAAAACAAAGCATTAAACCAGATTAACTAGTTGTAATGCACTTTCATCAGAAATTCGTACACTGGTTGTGCCAGGTACACTCTGCGTATGTGATCGATGTATCTCATTCAAATATATAGACCCCTTGTAACACTGTCTGATATTACTAAACATTGGAAGTGGGTTTTCATTCAATGCATTTATAAGTCCTCTACTGATGAAACCGGATGGGGAACTAAACTTTTCCTCTCCATCATCTAGACCCTCGTTCAACAACCATGAAACTCGCAATGGTTAACGACATTTTAGTGTTTTTTGTGTCAAGTTGGCTAAACTCCCGAAGGGAATGAAGCTGCTAGTTTGCCGAAAATGTTTTACTAAAATTGATTTATGGTATTTAATTGAAATTACATGAAAGCGCCTTGTCCATTTATATGCTTGTTTTATATTTGACTTAAGAGTAAGTTTCCAATAGGACCATGGGTATACTTCCACTCTCATTATCATGTATGGATGAGAGTACTTTATTGTTGGGTCAACGTCAAGTCATCGTTACTATTTCTAGATAATCGTCAGCATTCTAGCGGCTTCATTCCTTACAGGATCTTGATCTTACCTTACACACAAACAACCATAATTTCTTGAACAAGCTCGTGTGGTTGGGTCAATGTCAAGGTGACTGTTACTATTTTATCTTAGGAAATCCATCAAACTTCACACATTTCTAAAGTGTAATAGTTTGCGAGGGCCGATAGGGAACGCTATACGTGTTCACAATAGAATGCAATATTGATAAGACTTGAATCAAGATTAAAGAAAGCTTTGCCGTTTAATCGAACTCCCGCATCGACAATACTTATATCTCAGGCCGGAAAACGTGTCCACTTAAATTTATCTAAAGATATGGTTGAAATATTGTCTTGTGATACTTTCTTGTGGCAATTATAACTCATATTTAAGATTACATTCTCTGGGGTTTAACGGTCATCTGACTACAAAAACTTTCAGCAGGGAGAAGGGTTATTTTTCTACTTTAAATGATATCTTACTAAGAAGCTGTTCTCCACGATGCAGATGTTAGTTTTGGTACAGTAAAGTTGGAGCTCAATCCCACCCGTGAAACTTAAGAAGTTTGAAATAGGTGGTGTTGCATGAGAAAACCATGATTGTCATAAGCAGCTATTGGGGACATATCGGCTCGCGCATGCGCGGACTTCTCGCTGCAGGTGAACGATTTTTTTTTACTATAGATTACATAGCGGCATTTCAGAAAAATATTCATATATCGTTTTGCAGATAAAAAATTCCAAAATGTATGCCTCTGATAAGTAAATTTCACATTTCTTTACAAATAAATATTTCAATCATTTTTAGATGAAAGTTGTCATTTTCAGTTGAAACTTACATATGAATCTCCTTCATAGTCTTACCTGTATTTTTAACTGAACGATTATTTTGGCAACTAAGGTAACAGACTTTCAGTAATTGTCTCATCTCCTATTCATCTTTTCTTCAAATGTTATGATACTTGCAGGTCTAAACACAGCTAAACTAAGTCTGATAAGAATTAGCTAACCATCAATTCTTTGATTTAAGTGATATCAGTTCAAACATCTGTGACAAAATCTTAAAACTGTCTGTTTTATGTGTTGTATGGTAAACACTGATATCTAAATTCAAGTTTCAATCCCAGAACTTAGCCTATAACTTACCAGTGAATGTATTTGATAATACTTAAAATCTAATGGTGTGTGAATAATATATACAAATACAAAGGAAGCAAAACAGCAAAGCAGATTCTTCATAATTTATTACAATATATTCATTATTCATTCACAATTTCCTGTTATATCAACACAGCCATAAACCACTGGTAACCTTGCTCTGAAACATACATTTATGGAGTAATTTCTCTCAAAAATCTGTGACAAAATCATACAAATCTTAGTCATGATTTTGTTTAAAATTTGTAGAAGTTGGAGCTTGTATTTTAACAAAGCTGATAACAGTTTTGGGTTTGTTGATCTTTTTCCCGTGGTATCCAGTTTTCTTCTGTTTTAAGCCACTACTCGGCCTAATTCCTTTCCAGCGATTTCTACCTGCCTTTCCCATTTTTTCATCTTGGTGAGTTGGGTTGGAAACCTTGCCAACTGTTGCCATAGCATACTGGTCCACACGCATTTCTCTTTTAGATGGCATACCAATAATAACACTATTGTCTTCTAGTTTTCGAATAATCATACCAGATGATCCGGCCGCCCGAGCCACCTGGCCACCTTGAGACGGTATCCGCTCTATATTGTGGAGAATGGTTCCTACTGGTAAGGATCCTACTGGGTACTGATGTCCGTTCTCAGGGGTCACTGTAACAAGACACATCAAATGATATCAATTTAGTTTGTAAATCTGTAACTTTAGTCAGCACCTTTGGGTTAACCAAACTTGTATCACCGATTGATATTAAATATATCATATCAGATTCTAAAGCTGACAGATCTAGGTGCCTACCCTTGTAGTATTCAATATCATCTGAATTTACAAATAACAATAAAAAATCATATCTGACAATTGACATTAGTTTTATGTATATACATTTAATTGATTAATGGTACATGAATATTGTATAGTAAGGTAACAGACTTTCAATAATTGTCTCATCTCCTATGCATCTTTTCTTCAAATGTTATGATACCGACAGGTCTAAACACCGCCAAACCAAGGACATATATGACTTAAGAAATACACTTTTATCACATTGTACATTGAAAGAGTTATTAGATATCTGTTAAAGAACTTTGTTAGGTTACAATATCAGTACATTCTTCCTAGTCTGAAAAAAACCTTCAAGGGACCACTACCATGGGAGAACAAAACTCCTTGGAGAAAACTAATACACAGAATTGTACAAGCTTGTCTCGGAGGGGAAAGGTGAGGAATAATGACCAACATACAGCAATCACTTCAATTTACTTACCTGGAAGTTCAGGGATGTTAGTGTGGGTCTTTATCACATCACCATTCTGTGCACTCTCAGAAGCTAATATATAGCGTTTCCTATTACCACTTGCTGCTATGGCGATGTGTGCAGTACGACAGGGATCCTTGCGGATATGGAGAATTTTTTCATAACCAATTTCTGATCCTGCTTTTGGCAAGTTATAGTCAAAGCTAACCAATCGTAGCGACTGTTTGTGACCACCTCCTATTTTTTTGTATTTCACTCTGCCTGAAAAAAATATGAAGAAAAACTATGATATAGTATTTTCCTCTGTATATGCATGTGTATATACATTCAAAAGAATGAATAAGGAAAATAAAAGCAAAAATATACAAAAAGCCAAAAGGGCCTGTATCTCTCACCTGGATCGTTCAGCTGTCACATCAAAATATTATTATTCACAATTACAGTGTATATCCCTATCTAGCCTTATCCCTCCGGTTCCAGCACTCTGGGTCCTACCATATACACAACATTGATTTCACTTTCCTTAAGGATGCTTCTGACCAAAGTTGGTACAAATATTGTTTATAGCTAGAAGTTATTTTTAGGAAAAATAAATGACTGACAATGCAACATGGTATAACCTCATCTTATTCAAACTAACTGAGCTAAAATGTTAGATTTTTATTACTCTGCATAAGGCTTATCTCACCTTTAGCTGCATTGACATAATATGGTCAAAATTAAAAATAATAATTTTAAATAGAAACATACAGAAGTATTGAGAACTCTATATGTTTATCAATGTTCTTGTGTAATCCATGTTAAAATTTTCACAAGACTGGCTGCTGATAAATCCAAACTTTATTGGGTCACTATCCTACCTTCTGATGAACAACAGCCAAAATAAAAAAAAAACTTTCAAACTGACATTTGGCTGATCAGTGACACTTGGCTATTATCTCTCAACATACCTGTTACAGGGTCTCTGCCTCCACTTTTGAACAGTCTCTGTGGTTTAAGGGTATCTTTAGTCAGGTCAATGTTTTCATCTGTATACCTGTGTTTGGCTGTCAGGATAGCTGCAGTGTGAATCCCATACCTGTAATGTTAAAAGGCCCAACTAATAGAGATGATTGGGAATTAATTCAACAAAGCAGTCTTACAAACCAATTGTAAAATGTAGAACACATTGGACAAAGGTGCTATATTCAGAGAAAAAATATGTTTTCTTAAAGACAATGCAATACTCAGGTGACTGATATAGTGTCTGTACTGCAACATACATAACATGGACACACTAGAATAATTGAGGAGTGGGTTAAGGAGCCATTGACACCTCAAACTGAAATTGTTCCCTCCATATTTCCATTCTCTATCAATTTTACATAGAATTGACCACTGTTATTTCCATAAAATTAGCTGGGAATGACCCATTACTCTAAGTACACAGTATTTATAAAAATGTATCAGAAAAATGGGGCATTGATGGCAATATACATCCATATTGAACACAGACATGTCAAGCACATTATTGTGGAGAAATTCAAGCTACTGACAAAGTTTGATTATCAAATTAACTGTATAGGTATGATATAAAGCAACATACATGCATTCATATTACAAATCACAACTTATTTCAGCTAATTGAGGTTTAAATTAAAGAGTGTTGTGTATACATTGTATGTTATCACAGAAATCAACACATTCACCAGGTTCATTTAATTTACAAATGATTCTTCATCTCCCATCACACTGACTTCAGTTTTTCATTGTCTCCTTTGTGTTACCTGTACTTCTATATAAGCAGGATTCAGTTGATTCTGCAGGTTTACCCTACATTTGAATTGAGTACTCTCAAAATTGAAAATGCTGATCCAAGTTTCACTCTCTACAATCTTTATGATGTCAATATATAAAGGTCACTCAATTTGATTTATTGGAAGTCAGTTCTCACCTAGGACTTTTTAATTTTTCACTTTGGACTTTTTCTTAGCTCATTTGTGACTAATCCACATATTTGTCAATGATGAATGAGAAGATTTTCTATGAAAGGGCCAAATAACACAAGAGGAAGTGCAATTGACTAAACAGTTTTAATGACTGGCTAATGAATTATGTACAACAGTTGATACAGATAATAAAACGCACACAAATATAATCTAATAATTGTACAAATATAAGGACAAAATCAATTTTCACAAAACTCCAAAGAATTTTATTAACAGATGCATTACATTGTATCTCAATACTGATATACATATGTACATAACATTGTATATATCATCATCAATTATTCTGAATTATCATCTGATATCACATTCATTCTGTCAACATTTCCACCACACAGATTACAATAATAATGACTATTGTGCAAGAAGGAAAAATAAGATGAAACAAGCTACATGTATTCATATTTTATGTTTTTGACACATTTCTATCTTTAACAATTTTACTTTGACTGTACAAGAATCCATTCTATTGTACCAAAGATTTAAATGCACTGATGCTATAAATAAATATTGTCTTTCTTCTTTTGAGAAATATTGATATTGTCTAGATGTATTTGATATTAAATTTTATTATTTACAATAAAATTTGTGTTACAGTTTTAATTACACAATTAAATTTTTTAATTAATTTTTCTCATCAAAACTTAGAAGGATCGTACACCTAAAATAAATTTTCCTTGTAACTCCACTTGCATTTACTTTCTCTCAAACAAAACATTTCATGAATGCAGTGAAAAAATTGTGATATAGATTAACAAGAAATAATCATAAACAAGTTGTATAAAAAACTAGAATAAATTTTCTATGAGTAATCCGATTCCAGATATACTATTGATAAATATCTTATATGTTTTATCAAAATTATTCCATAATTTTCATTCATTTCAAAATGAATATTGCGCAATTTGTACATGTATACCCGTTTTTAAAAGTTCAATAAATCCTAATATTTATACATTTTACAATTATTGCATTTATTTTCCATTTCAACACAAAATAAAGCATCTTCTAGCACTTTCAGTAACATTTTAAATAAGCACATCAATAGGTCTGTACACTGGTGTATATGACATAAATTATGTCAAATGTCCTAACATAAGTCGAAATTTTTTACTTAGCTGAAAAGTAGTTTTCTCCTTTAAGAAAAAAAAAATGTCCAGGTAACTAAAGCAGCTTGCATAAATTATCAGTCTTTCTCTGGTTTTTTTTTCTTAGTTTTCATAAAGGGTTCCTGGAATATGTCAAAAACACGCTTCGCTTTCTGAGGTCCAAACCCTGGACAAAGTGACAGATCTTCCTTTGATGCTTCCATGACACCTTCCAGAGTTTTGAATGTGGACATCAAAGTTGCTGCATCTGTTTTATTTACTGACTTAACACTTGTTAAACAGTCTGTAAACTTGGACACAAAGTCATGATCTGTTTTTTCCATAATGGCATCTGGTGGTTTAAATTCATAAACTTTGTAGGTCTCAAGGTAGCGTCCAGCTTCTTCAGGTGTGAATGCCAACATCAGCGTACAGTCTGCTAGAATGCAGATCTTTGCAAGTTCCTTTAGAAGATGGTGAGGTTCCTTGATGTCAACTTGTACAAGCATAATGCGGAGATCATAAGCACGACCTAACTGCTTCAAACGGTCGTGGATGTAATTTGGATTAAGCTGGTGGTACCTTAAACTCAGATAAAGAGCACATGTGCTCAGGCCCATCACATAATCTGGTACAATGTCACCAAATTCCCAGGCTACATTACGTACTGACTTGAGAATGGGATTACCTCTCTGTCTTGGATTGACAATGAGGGCATTACTTTTGCTTCCTTTGCCCGCTGTTACAGGAGCCAAAATTTTATCACTTGACTTTGTAGATATTTCACCTTTATCTTTAGTCTCTGATATTGTGAGTCTTGTAGATGACGATGATGATGCATCATCATCAGCAGTATATTTTGGACCCGATATCCTGGTAGTAGTGCTGGATTTTGATGTTGATGATTTAGATGAAGTTAGAAATGAAGCAATTTTAATTTGGTTAGGATCTGTGTCTGTTTTCTTGTTATCTGTGGTTTTATGCGAGTCATCTTCCTTTTGCTGTCTTTTGAAAGCCATGAGGGTGTCTAGTGGCTTCATTACAGCTGTTGATGATTGCTCCATCTCCTCAGCAGAGGGAATTTTGAATTTCTTTTTCATAGCAGCCATCTTTTTTCCAGACGAAGGAAAGGTTCACAAATCAAGATTTCAGCTTCACAGTTCACACACTACAAAAAAATATTGTTCAGATCAAAGTCTGCCTTGATTATTTTTTGTTTCCGAACAATGATGACAAATTTACAAATCTATTTCTTCAGCAACAAAAAATCCTTTGTAAAATTTTCAATGGTGATAAATGTAGCTCTTACATGCCATTCACTGTCAAAATGGTAATATCAAACCTGATATTTCAGCTTAATGATCATGACCATGATAAACATGATATGCAGGTTCAGCAGGTTGTGCTTTATATAACACATTGTTTGAAGAAACCAGTAGATATTTCAAACATTTAAAAAAAAAAATGCTTGCAGGGCAAATGCGACTTTTAACAATGAATTAAATGTGCTTAATTGAATGTTGTCATACAAACATATATATATAAATAAAAGCATTAAAAGACAATAAAAGGATCGGTAAAACAGTAAACAAATAAGTGGTTCAAGAAGTGAAACAGATATACCTATCAAAATACAAAGATATATATCATTGTTGATTATATGGGTAACAATGAAAGCAGAGTATATTTATAGCTATGGTACAGGCTGCAGCCACATGCATAAGGCAGAGTACTTTTTTAAACTTAGAAATGGTTCCGAAGGTTAACAGAGTTACCTCCCTTCATAAATGTGTTATCCACGATAATTGTATGGTCTTTAAACTGAAACAGTATGGCTATTGGAAGTATACCATTAATGGGAAATGCAGTTTCGATACTAATGCAAAACCTTTTCAAAGAATGACCTAATCTGTTGTAATGTAATCAGAGTTTTTATTGTCTCTAGCTATACCAATAAAACAACTAACAAAGAGTACCTTGGCACATGTATACTTTATTTATTCATGAAGTCAACTAAAAAGTAATATCATGACATTACAATATATAAACAAGCACAAGAAAAAAAAAAGAAAACAAAACGCTGTGAATTATGGTGTATGGTCACCAACTGTAATGTGGCGAATATTGGAATTCCTTATAGAATCTATCTAATGTCAAAAATTTACTGTAATCAAAAATTGTTTTCTTTCATCTTTCAACAGTCAGTACAATTTGTAACCAATCCGTATTACTAGTCATACCGTTTATATGTTAAACTTATGCAACCCTATGTAGGTAATCAGTAATACACAGAGGAGGGGACATTTTTCGTTTGGCAGATGTTTGTGGTTTTTAAGTACATATCTCACATAATTCGTGTATGTACATCTTATTTGAATACTTAATTGCCCAATTCTCAAAGATCGAACAATATTGCATACTTTCAAAATAAAAATAAATACAACTTATGAATGCCAGTTTTGCATAAGGAACAGTCAATAAGTAAATTAACTTTAGTCTATACATTTATCTATGTACCGTATAAGGCTCGTTTTAAAACACTCCACTCTGCAGAATTTCGACCAAGCACAGTTTCGTAATAAGGGCATTAATTATACACAATCAAATATACTCAAATACAAATAAAAGCCACTATATTTTAGAATTTTAGCATGTATTTGAGTATAAAGTCAAGCCCGTTTGGAACAGTTACCAAGGTCAGCGGGTTCTTTTAATTACACGAAAACGTACCTTTGATGAAGCGATTGTTGAGTAAGGCTATTTTCAGCGATCGTTTTACACAAGGAAGAAAATAATCTTGTGCATAAAAGTTTGGCCATATCTGGAAAATTGCGGTGACTGAAGTCAGCTACCTCTTGGCATGGGTTCCATGGAGGCTGCCATTTACTATTGACTACGCATGCCCAAGGGGACCATTCATGTAAATAGAACATTGATTCGAATTGAATAAAGGATATTGGGGGGATATCTAAGTCTTTAATTAACATATATGATTGCAATAATAGTATATTACTAAAACTGATATTTTAGAAGATACTGTTTCTGTATTTGATTTTCATTAAGAATTATATTTGTCGCCTAAATCACAGACAAGTCCCCAGTCTACACAAGATGGCTTCCGCACTTGAATCGTATGTGAATCGTATCCTTTGAAAACTGCTTTTGATCTGACGGAGCATGCAACTCGTCTTTTTATACACATACTAGGAATCTGTAACAAAATGCATAGACAATGTCTTCATCAAGGACATGCAAACATAGCACAGCACCAAAAATAGAATACTCTTTTGTTAGTTTCAGCACGTTCGTGTTTAAAAGGAGGTAACTCGTTTAATGTAAAGACTATAGTATGAGTTCAAATCAGTTGCTGATCAGGAACAGGTAACACAAACACTGTTGTAGTTTGACCTTAGTTGTAGTTTGGAGCTCGAGTGAACCAATGTTGTAGAACTGTTCATATGTGTATATATATATGTTGAATATCAAGATATACTTTATTCAAAATAAGCCAGGATGTGCAAATTTTCTACAGAGTATCATTCTGTTCAAGCATTCCTTAATTCCAAAAACAGATACTGTGTCTATAGTGACAGCAGACGGCAGAATAATTGTGGTATGTATATATACTTAGGTCTGAAACAGAATAGGCGAAATATTAATACAGTCCCAAGTTTTTGCTTCATATCAACTTAAATCATTGAGGCACTACATATTTGAGCTTTGACTTTTTAAAAATGAAATTACTTTTAAAACCAGTGATGGTTTGTCCAATTGACTTTCATCATAGAAATGGAATGGATATGAATCTGGTCTTATTCTAAATATAAAACCCTTTTAGGACATTCTGAGGTGCAGATTCTTTCACTCATGTTCAATAACTATAGATCTGCTGATAAAAAGACTCCCTCACGGTGACACACTTACCTACTTATCTGCTGTATGACATAAAAATTAACATGCTTCTTGAGGTAACACAGTATAATTGCTGTTTAATTCTAGGAAATATGTTTGTAATGGAAAATATTTTTTGTTCTAGTGTTTCATTTTGTAATCTTACTTGTGGTGTTATTGTCAAATTTCTAAATTTGATTTATGAATTTTTTAACTTGCAGGGAACATTGAAAGGTTTTGACCAGACCATTAACTTGATTCTGGATGAAAGCCATGAGCGTGTCTACAGTTCCTCTCAGGGTGTTGAACAGGTCATACTGGGACTGTACATTATCAGGGGAGATAATGTGTAAGTTTTTTTTATTAAATACTTTCCTGTTTAGATCAGAATTTAATAAGAGAAGATGCAAGTCTTATCACTATTCAATTTCAAGAATTTTACATAAAATCTTAACCTGTTACTTAAATGCATGTTTTGTGTGTGATGGAAAGATCATTTATGTACATTTATATTTTATCAGTTGAAAATTTCACACTTCCTTACATTAAGTAGTGTGCAGAATAAGTTCACTAAGTTTGTGTGTTTTGTGTAGTGTTATTTTAATCATTAATCTAAGGGGAGATAATCTCAAAGACTGGTATTAACTTGTTTGATCAGTTTTATAAACAGTATGTATGTAGCATCATGCTTGAGGGATAATTGGATAACCAGTCCTGAGGTAACTTGTGTTCTGACATCAGTATGATGGTAAAAGATTGAAATCAAATGTAGATTTGCTTTTGTGAAATGTCTGGTGTGGATATTTTAATTTTGATTTCTTCACTTACGAACTATAAGGGGTCCGTTCCAGCTGTGGTCATTTAATAATTGCTCCTGGTCTGCTAGCTTTACAGTTAACAGGACCATCAACATGGTTTTAATTTTAGGTTAATAGTATTACACTACACATTTTCTAGTTGCATCTTTGTTCATTGACATCCATTATTATGTCCTACGTTCCTTGAATGTTAGGTCTTTGGCTCACTTTCAGCCATGTTTCTCATCCTATCAAGAGTAGTTTTCTAAAGTACTTACAGCTACTATGCAGAATCAGCAGCAGTCTTTTTCTTTGGATTCACACATAAATACCATTCTGGTCTCTTAATTAGCAGAAGTATAGCGTTAATACAAGAAATTTATATTCTGGTGTTTGGTTTTGTAAAATTAATCATTATGAAGAAACTCAAGTACATTGTTTTTAAAACAATTTCTGGTTTCAGAGCTGTGATAGGAGAGATTGATGATGATACCGATGGAGGACTGGACTTTAATAATATCAAAGCGGAACCTCTCAACTCCGTTATACACTAACCCCTGGTAGTGCTGTCATTGTGTCTCATCTTCATTGTCGTTTCACCATTCATCGAGACAGACATATGTGTGGACACTTAACTAGTTTTAAGCTAACATTCATTTAATGAAACGTCCACACAGTTTCCGTAGTTACAGTGTTTATTTGTTGACATCATTGGATATGAGTGACTGGATGGAACTTTGATCTGTTCACCAGCAGGACTAACACTTTCTTTGTGATCTTTGGATCATAAATTCCTGCAGAATGTGTTCATTGTGTCATGATAATATTTAGAGATGATTGAGAGCCATACATTGTAAGGATGAAATTTCTGTAATGTATGAAAGGTGATTTGGGAAAATGTTATATGAAGAATGATAGATTTCACAATACATTTTATATTAAGCATCTTCACTGTCATTAGAAATATTTTTGGTATGCTGAAGATTTTCTGATGTCAATAAAAAAAGGGTCTTAGTACATGAAAGTGTGTGTAGTCAGATGGTCGTTGAGATGAGAGAATCTGTATGTTTAGCTTAAAGTCTTATACCGTAAAATCCTGTGTTGTTAACTTGGAAACACTTTATTTTGTGAAAGGAAAAAAGAATGTAAGAATTTTAATAGTGTAAATAAAATGGTTTTTTTTTAAAAAAGAGTCTGTGTTACTTTATTTTAACTAATATTTGTACAACAATAACATCATGTATATGAAAAATTAACATGTCTCATAACATGTCAAAGACCTCCATGGTTTGATTCACAGAATGTGAATAAGTAGGGGGTCACCAGACTGACCATGTAGATTTTCCCTTGGTGCTCTAGTTTCCTCTCATTTTAAGACTCCTGTATGCTTACATCTAGGCAAACAAGAGTGGAACATGATTAAACAATCATTGGTTCCCTGAACAATAGCTATTTTTTAAACGCCGCAAGTTCCACTTGTGGGTTCTAACTTAAACGTGCTTGAAATGATCCTGACCAAGTAAAGTATTTTCGAGTTGGTCAAAAGTGCATATGACTACCTCCTCCATAAACACATTTTAAAACTTACTCTTGATTCCACTGCTGCCATGAAGCTAGTGAAATTTTGTTAAGAAACAGAAATAAGGATTATTTTTTGCCTTAACTGCTAAATATTCCAACTACTAACACTACTGCAGCTATATCCTATAAAGGTCTTTATAGTCATAGAACTGTTAAGACCCATGGGCATCTTGTTTGATAGTCCATGAGTCAAATGCTACAAAAATGAATCGTCCTCTACAGTTCAAATACTTAGGGTCATGAAATTTGACCAAAAGCAATACTGTATTGAAGGATTACCAAGTTTGCTTAGATGGATGACCTTGATCCAATATCAAAGTCACAGAGGTCAGATTAAAGGTTTTTTTTCCAAATTGTAAATAAAGTACACCGGCATGTGTTATTATTTTTAGCCCACCATCATCAGATGGTTCGTCCATCTGTATTTTTTTTGTTATCGTGATGAGCACTGGATATCTCTCTCAAATTTCATGTATAGGTACCTCTTGGTTACTAGTTGTGCCCATTGATTTTGGGTCCGACTAGAAAAACAAAATGACCGACAGGCGGCCATCTTGAAGTTCGGCTTGTGAAGTATGTTATCACGACTTCTTAAGTAGAACTGACTTGACCTCTCTCCAGTTTTCATATATATGTTCCGTTGGTCCCTAGTTGTTTGATTCTTTTTATTTCAAAATTCTTATCTTTAAGAGCAAAATCAGAGAAGAGAAAAAAGGGAAAAGACCCAACTTTCAAAGAACAAATAAAGATCAAGCAATTGTGGGCGCCAAGATGCCTCTGGGATATCTTGTTGAAATATTCAATAAATGTTTAAACTACATCTAAATATATCAAAGTCATCAATATACTGCTTGTCAGTAACCAAAAGGCCCAGGATATTTGGCCAAAAGCCCCCTCCCATCAAATAGAGAGCACTGAATTGTGGTTTTCTTCCTGGAAAATTATCATATGGATTTGTTACGTCACAAAAAAAAAAAAAAAAAAAAGACTGAAATCAAATGGAAAGTTAAGATAAACTACATACATGTACATAGAAAAATAAAATCCAAGAGAATTTAACTGGTCATCAGGTCATCATTAAGATTCAAACTAGAATGCATTTTCTTTTTTTATGTTACAGCTCGCCAGAATCAAATGATCAGAAGTTGTAGATGAATGATATTTAGTCTAAAGACAGAACATATTAGTTTAGGAAGTTGCCAGTTGTGTAATCCAGATATAGGAAGATTAGATATCTTTAAAGCTGTTCCAGGATCATAGTGTACCGATCTGGAAAGCTTCAGAAGGACAAAGCACGTCTTCCATTTTTATTATTTTATTCAACTTTTTCAATTCCGCCTCCTATTTAGGAGAGTTAGAAACAAAAGTGAAAGTGAAAGTAGAATTACAGTTACCTCCCCTTCCTTATGTATTTCATAGAATGACATACATAATATCCCCCCACAAAACAAAATTTTGCAACCAAATTTTCGATGGGTATGGAGATAACATGAATTGTAAGAGAAAATATGGCAAAAGCATTGACATATATTAGCAAATACTAGCAAGCTCACTTAGAAACAAGGAAGATAATTCACTATCATTTGAATTAATACAATATAGTCTCAGAGCTTCTGTGATAATAAGCAATATTTTCATAACTGAACTACTTTTGGTGTCTGAAAATATACAAGGACAAAAATTATATGCCAACAATTTGGACAAAATTGTGATGAACATTAACTAAGATTTCTCAAGTACTTAGTATCCTTTATCTACTCTTGCAGTACATAAATCTGAAGACTTATATTCAAGCACATTGTAATTGATTCATTTAATGAATATTTCTTAATACATGTACATTTGACCAAATATATAGTCCAAATTTGCTGAACAGCATAATACCACAATTTCCATTATTGCATTCAAAAGAAACATCAGAAAGTAAGATTGATATATTCAAAATCAAGATATTAAAAAAAAAATAATTGCATATGCAACAATATCAAAGTATTATCAACTTATGACCATGCATATAGGAATTAAGTCACATTACATTATCTTATTACATCATATATTGTATTGAACAAAATGAAATTTGTAGATGAGTCACTGGAAAAACTGCAGAATTATGATCATTACTAGAATTGGTCATTGTTCAGTGTTCACCATTATGAAATCCATCCAAAATACAATTATCTTGTGAGTTGATTATCATAAAACTCAGTAACGTCATAACATGTATTGAACTCACAAAAATGAAAAAAATTCTTAAAAATTGGATACTATTCTCATGGTGTAAATAAATGAACATTGTTACTGTATGCTGTGGAAAACAACAGTTCATAAATCATTGAAAACTATATGCTTTGATTATGTGAAATTCACTCAAATACAATATGGTGAATAGAAAATGTCAATTATATCAAACACCAAATATCAGTGTTACCATTGTTATACAACATTTTCAAACATTTTAGGATATCCCTAATTAAAAAACCAAACACTTTGAGTTTGAAATGCAAAAATTACATGCAACTCAGAAAGTTCAAGAAACAACTGATTAAACAAAAACACATTTTTGTCATCACATTAACATGTATCAAATTTGAACTGTCTCTATAAATGTACATTATTAATATACCAGTTCAGTGCAGAGTGGGTGGCGGATTTTTCTGTACAGCCTTTCTAACATTTGCGTTCAAGTCAGAAAATGGTACCCACATGGCATTTTGAGTAGATTCTCCTACAAAATGTACCAGATATTCAATAACACCATTGTGCTTTCTCTGCCCTATCACTTTCTTAACTTTATAATACACATCATTTGTGTCCATTGCGACCTCAGAAGAGAAAGTGTTCACATTATCATCACTGCAATATCGCTTTGGTTTCGGCGCATTACGACGAGGTCTGGTTAGTGAAGGCAAATCTGCAGCTTCAGATTCAACTTGCTGAGGCAAAGCAGGCAGTTGTCGACGTTTACGAGAAAGTTGCTGTTGTCTTCCCAAAGGAACGTCCAAATTAGTGTCCTCCGAGGAAAGTTCCTCTGATCTTGAACCAACCGATGAACCTTGAGACTCTTGGCTGTTCACAAGTTCTAAGGTCTGCGTTGAAACATGTACACGAGTACGGCTTTGCTCATTGGTAACTACCTTACCCAGAAAGTAAGGAGATGGATGGGGTTCTCGCACATATGCCATTTTAAGTCGTTCGATATGAACAAGAGAATCCAGTTTTGTTTGAGAATTCGGATGTCGCAGTTTCACGGTATGTTCGGAACAGATTTCCTTAACAACAAAGGGACCATCATATTTGTCCTGCAGTTTCTGCCCTGGACCTGTGGGGTCATGTAAACGATAAACATAGTCACCTGGCTGAAGTTGTAATTGTTTCACACCTTTGTTCATTCTATCAATCATGGTTGCCTTAGATTTCTCAACCGTTTCCAACATGTTTGTACGTATGGTTTCCAACCATTCCATGAAGTGGTTCAGGTAAGTTTGAAGATCATCAGGAACACCTCCTAGCTGAGTATGACAAGGTGCCAATGGGAAACGAGGACGTGTTCCAAACACAATTTCAAAAGGTGAGTATCCTGTACTGGCGTTAACTGCAGAGTTTATAGCAAAAACCGTTCCTGCCACGTGTTCATCCCAAGATGGAGTATCTTTTTCCAGTACTGTCGTCATACGTACAGCTAATGAAGCATGAGTTCTCTCACAAGCCCCTAAGCAGTGATGTGCATAAGGTGGAGTAAATTCCTGCTTGAGTCCCAACAATTTACATACTATCTTTGTAACTTGTGCTGTAAACTCTGAACCATTGTCAGTGATGAGAGTGTCACACACACCATACTGTGTGAACATGTTGTATATTGATGTAGCCACTGATAACGCATCCTTTCCTGCGATTGGTGTAGCCACCAACATTTTACTGTACATATCTACTGCTGTAAAAACGTATGAATTGCCTCTGTAACTTACTGGTAAAGGTCCAAATAAATCTGCTTCCCACACTTGAAATGGTGCATGAGGGGAAGGGAACGCTGTCATACCATTCTTTGTGTGCCGTTGTGTCATTTTCCTACGCTGACATTCATTACATGACCGTACATAGTTTGGTATGACAGTGTGCATACGTTTAAAGAAATAATGTTCTTTGACTTTATGCAATGTATCCTGGATACCACCATGACAAGCAAGCGGTGAATTGTGGTACAAATCAAGGATTGTCGTTTGTAACACTTCAGGTACCACAAGTTGATATGGGTTTAGATGTTGAGCTCGCTTTGACTTAGGCACTCGAGAATGAAACAAAATATTGTTCACTAGAAGATAGTCACTGGACTCCAACAGAATTTGACGAGACAATTTTTGAGAATTTGGTAGATTTCCATGTTGTAAATATTCAATAAGTGGCTTTAAACCTGAATCTAGTTTCTGAAACTCCCTGATTTGTTGGTCTGTCAAGTTAATCCGAGAAACCGAATCTAGCCTCTTTTGTAAATGCTCCTGATTATCCGAATCAGTAGGTTCTAGAGTTATGTCCCCTGAATCACTTTTCAAAGTACTTGTAGTGTCTATCTCTGCAGTTTTATCAAACCA